AGCTCATGTCGGTGCCATATCTCGAAAATTCCTCAAGCCGCAGTAGTGTCCAGGTCTGGGGCTCTCGCCAACGTTTCCGGGCCACAAGCAACGTCCTGCCTGCACGGAGCAACGGTAAAGGGTCAGGTGAACTCATGCTTCAGCGTCTACATGCTTTCTGGGGCAATCCTCGTACTTGGATCGACAACGACGGTAGGAACTGTAGGGAGCCGCCGATGCATGCCACTCGCATCTTATTTTACGGATGTCCAACGAAACAAAAAAAAGTAAATGCAAGGCAGGCACTTCCTACATGACAAAGTAGTTCAAACATCCAAGGACTGTTTCTCACCCATTTCATGTTTTGCAATGTTAAAATGTGATGTGAGGGTCGAAGACCGGAAGTTGAGGCCAAGCCGGTATCTGGCCGTGCCGCACCTCCGATGCCATCATCACCTGGGCGGCCTTGATCTTTTCAGTCGCTCAACCTCAGTGATCCAACTACCCTCGGGTGATGAGCTTTCACGTGAATATTATTTCGCCACTCTTTCTCTTTGAAGCTACGCTGAATCTGCTCGCGTATCGTCCTGACGCATATTGAGACACAATTCGGCAATCTTTCCCGCCAATCGTCGTCACGATTGCGCCGTGACCATGGAACGCTGCGTCCGAGTACCCATTGAAGGAACATGATGTAAGCGTATCACATCGCGAATGCGAGCGTGGGTACCTTATACCATCGTCAAATGGTCGGGGTCCTAGCATAAGAGATGAAGCAGAATCCTGCGCCGATCCATTACGATTAGCGCATACCCCAAAGAAGAAAGACAAGACTAATCGACGAGTCATATAGCGTCGAAGACCAACAATTGGGCCGGAAATTTCGCCCACCCCCTGCCTGAGGATCTGTGGCGGTTCTTGTTGCAGAATAAATCTGATGGTGATATCAATGGCCAGTGTTCCTTGCATAGGCAAACGCGAAGGATGCAAACGCAAGCCAATCTTCTGTTTTTCCAATACAATATTGCGGCTGGCTGCTTAGGATGTACCGGACCCCCGAACCAGCGTTCGTCACGGACGGCATTCGTTTGAATGTCACTCCTTGTACCTGGAGTCAGGGGATACGGCATGACATCCCAGAATGAGTCCACTCAGGAACCGCGCGGCTGAGCATACCTCGGAGCAAACACGAACACAACTTTCAGTCCTTTTGAATCAACAACTGCAGTAATCGGGAGCTGAATGGTGCATGCGAGAAGGTTACCGGATACATGGAAGGTACAAAAGCAATCCCTTGCGCAACGCCCTCACCGCCGTAGTGGAACCTACAATCGTGGCACGCACGAGCAGCATGTGGAGCGGATCCTAAAGGTCGGAAATCGGTCGTCCAGGTCGCGTGTCTTTCAACGACACCCCTGCATAAAGTTTGGGCGAGGACCTGTCAAATGCAACCATCCGCTAATCGAAGTTCGCTTATCACCTAGCGTGGAGCCTCCAGCGCGTCTCCACCTGCGTTAGCCCTGTGTGGACGGCATAAAGCTCGTGCTTGGCAACGGCCCTGAATCGTCCACAGTAGCCTCGTGGGAGGCGGCAGACGGTATCCTGTCAGTCATTAGGGCTTGCGGTCCCGCCGTGCGGCGTGGGTCACAGCCTTTATAACAATTCTGCACCTTCCAGAACAGCGCCGGCGCTGGTGTTGACATCAAGACGTTCATCAAGATGGCAACATGGGAGGAAATGTATACGCAGATGCTGCTGGACGCCCCGGACCCAGATGAGCCGCTGCCTTTAGCAAATCATAAGGCGACCATGTTCGGTACTACGCTCACCTTCCTGGTACGATTCTGTGATCACACTCAATACTTCGACTACTAACCCCGCAAATAGATCGTGGCATGGTGCGCAGTCATTTTTCGTCTCTGGGTCCGCATCAAGATCGTGAAGGAAGTTGGTTGGGATGATGGCTTCGTGTTGCTTGCTCAGGTACGTTTCATTGTGGCTTAATACCAATGACATAAAGTTAATTCATCTTCTAGTCCCTGAATACTGCAGCGACTGTTGTCATGTGTCTTTCGGTCAATACTGGACTCGGTCACCATATGCTGTACATTGGCTACAACAATTTAGTAAAATACTTGAAGGTGAGTATTTCCATTGATTGGCATGTATGGTTCACTGACCGAGCTAGCTGTACTACATCGAACTAGCCCTATACATCACCAACTGCGCAGTGATCAAGATTGCTCTTCTCCTCCAATACCTCCGCATCTTCAAGTCGGGGCCTATGCGATGGGTTTGCGTTGGCCTCCTTGTCGCTGTGACTCTCTGGGGTATTGGCTTTTCTTTCGCTGGCTGGTTCCCCTGCTTCCCGGTCCGCGGCTATTGGAATCGCATCATTGAGGCAAAGTGCTATGGCTTTGGGCTTGGAGATTTGGACAGCTTTATCGCTATCTACAAAGCGCATTCGGCCACCAACATGATGTTCGACATCTTTATCTTCCTTGCACCTATGGTGTTATTCCGAACACCGAATTTGCGCTACAAGAATGTGTTGGCAATGGCTGGCGTATTCACCTTTGGTGCTGTGTAAGTTGCTCATAACTCAAGGAGCGAGCATTCCATGCTAACTCACACGCAGTGTTGTTGGAACATCAGTATGGCGACTCCATGGCATCGTCGAAACCAAAGGCGCAACCTCCCCCTACGTCGACTACACATGGTGGTCACCCACTCTCATCATACTCTCATGTCTCGAGATTGATCTCGCCATAATCTGCGCCTCAATGCCCATCTTCTGGCCCATCATTGAGAAGTCATTCAGCGCCATTTTCGTTAGTTACGAAGTCCAGGTCGTTGAGGAGCGCGTCGATGATTACGGTCTCACATACGAGCTCGAGCACATGAAGGGAGAGGACAGACCATGCAGCATCAAGAGTAATGGGACGAGTACACGAGAGCTGACGAACGAGGACGAGGAGGCACATCCGAGGGCACAAGTATTCACCGTGGGCTTCGATCCGCTGAATGAGGAGCAAAAGGCTAGCGGGCTGAGTACGAATGTCCACTCGAAAGCACAGCCAAAATGGCAGCTCTAAATGATAATGCATATACATGTCGCACACTTTGGTTACGTATATTCGTACTACGTCCACGTTACTCGTTGTGTCAGTCTATAACAGTAATGTCTTCTCAGCACCTTGACCTTCCAACTCTGAGCTGCTAGCAACTAATTGACAAAACACTGTAGGCACCTGATACGTCATCTCACGATACAGCTTGGGCCACGACGAAGCTCTTGTCTCACACCCCACACTTGCATATGCATACCATAACTCTAATAAGACCCGCCCTACAATCATGAAACACAAAACCGCCGAAAAATCCTTGTCGAGACATGCGCAATACTGCCTTGTTCTTTCCCATGCAAATTGTACCTTACCTAGAGTACGACCGAAAAGCACATTCGGTGTTCGGCCCAAGTTACAATTGTCGCAAAACCACCGCTTATCATGGACCGCCCTGGACCCATTCGGCTTGTCTCACGCTACTACTCTAGTGGGCATGTACTCCGTGGGGGCAAAATTTCTCCGGGCCTTTAGTGGGGTTGCAGTCTGATGAGGACGACGGCGGAGGGCATGTGGTGATGAAATGGACTTGTGCTGTGGATTCCATGTGATCCTTCGGCATGCGAACAATCGGACGGGAGGGGAAGGGAGGAAGGTGGAAAGTCTAGCGGTTAGGTGGTTGTGGTAAGGTTAGACCATTCGGTCCGATTGGAGGCATATCGATAAAGAAGCTGGCTGAGGAAGATGATCTGGTCTTGGGCGAAAAGCCTCATTCAAAGAGGCGTAAGGAAGCTGAGCGAAGATGGTGTCCACGTGGCAGAAGGGCGTGTAGGTTGATGATGTGTAAGCTGACAACCATACTTTTTACATCCACATCTTCGCTGTATTTGTCAAGCTTTTACTATCCATGGTGTTGTTTGACGCAGCCTCTACACTCAAACAGCTCTTGTGTCACTGATTCGTCTGTTTACGCAATCGGAAGTCATTGTCCCTTGTACCTCTGAAGATATCTCGGCTTGCTGTTGCCGTCCATCCAGGTTGGTTTCCTACGTGGAGTCACAGATCTTCCAAAGATCTTCAGGTATAGTACTGAAACGCGATTGACAAACTGAAGGCAGGTTGGTTGCCTTATTTCGGCAATTAATGCTACGATAGCCGCGTGCCGGCTCAGTTAGACTTTGCTGGACGGCGCGGTGTTGAGAAGCTAGCGGTTAAATAGATGTGTAGTGGTTTGAGGACGATGCTTTTAGCTTTCGATGCTTTTACGAGGTGCGCTTGCTTTTGCAGATCCGGGTGCGCATCACCCGCCTGACCGATCAGGCACCCAGCAGAGCTTATGTTCCCGGACAGTGCGTTGTGGCGTTCACACCTGAGGCAGACCTAGGATGATAGCGTATCCTTATGAGGAGGGTTATAAGTAAGGTTCAGACAGTACGTGCAGTTTGGTAGCGGACTGCACCATTGCGTCGAGCGCCGTCCTATCGCATCCTGCTGGAAAGTACTTTTGCAGGTCAAGGTTGGATGAGATGGCAAAGGTGGTGGTCGTTTCCAAAGATAGACGTTGCTGGACGCGTGGGGAGACGCGACTTAGCGCGAATGGATCGGGAAGTGGGGATACAGTCAGTACCCTACACGTTTCCACATCTCACATGGGCACACAATATACGACTGACATCACAGAACAAGACAAATTTCGTGATGCTTAATTGATTGATTAATAGGGAGTACGATGGTGATATCACAAACCAAGTCGTTGCATAATGAAATCAGGTGAAAGGCGCGTTGTGGTCAAGTACTGGTGAGAACGAGTTAGCGAGCGCAATAGCGTGTCCGACCAAACATTCTATCGTCTTCTATCAGTTCACGCCTCGTCGCTCAGCTCAACACTGAACTCGAATTACCTTTCAAGCATCGAGAAATCCTTTCGCAGGACGATTACCAACCTCTCAACACGTCATGACGTCGCCCTCAAGTGAACGTATCATCATAGCTGACACTGGTGATGTCATCTTCACGCTACGAAATCCAGGTGCACCATTTGCTGTATGGGATCAGGCTGTCGAAGAAAATAGTGAGATTCAAGATCCAGAAGATGAGCATAAAGACGAGCCGTTGAACGATGCGACTTCCGATGCATGTGCAGACGACCTAAACCAACCTGTGCCAAGGCAAGCCGCTCTGCCGGATGTTGTCTACCAGGTCTCATCGCAGCACCTGGTATGCGCTTCGCCGAAATTCAAGAGTGAGTTGACATCATGGAGTGAGAGTTTAAAGCGGGATGATGGCCTTTATCATGTAAACACCACAGATTGGGATCCGGAAGCCTTCGGCATATTGTTGAACGTCTTACATCTTCGCTTCCGTCAGGTGCCAAAGTCACTCAGTTTGGAGCTCCTTGCTAAGATCGCCATCTTGGTGGATTACTACAGATGTTGGGAGGCTTTCGACTTGATTGCTGACGTCTGGATAACGCACCTGCGGGCAAAATGCTCAGTTCCAGAAACTTATAGCCGCGATCTGATGTTATGGATACTTATCTCTTGGGTGTTTAAGCTGGAAGAGGAGTTCAATGAATCCACTTTTTGGGCTTCAATAAAGAGCGATGAACCAATTCTACGAAACATGGAATTGAGCATCCCACCAGCTATCCTTCGTAAGTGATATCCACCAGATATTACTGGCAGGCGCTAACTGTGGTAGGGGGAATAGAGACTTGCAGATCAGAACTGATCGAAGGAGCGATAGATGTCTGCCAAGGGTGGTTCGACAAGTTTTGCAGCGGCTATTGTTGTATTCAGGATGAGAAATGCTCCCTCGAATGTGGCTCCATGCTTCTTGGCGCCCTTACAAGACAAATGAACAATATGGCCATACTGTCACCGCGACCAACTGCACCTTACGCCGGACTCAGTTTCGCCGAACTTCGGTATGGCATCAAGTCTATTAAAGCGCCAGATTTGCACATCCGTTACGAACGCCGCTCTCGCAGTCCAGAGTATCGAAAACATCCCTGTTCCCTTGATGCAGTCATCCGTGAAGTCAATCAAGTATACAAACGAGCAGACGGACTAAGACTGCGTGAGTTCGTGGACCGTGCTGAGTCTGCAACGGACATAGTTTCCCGCCACTCTGAACTTCAGCGATGATCATTGCGCACTGTGCGTCCACGTCTGGCGGTCTTTGGAGAGCCTACGGTGTGTAAGATCAAAATGCAGGAATAGTTTGGCGAACGAACTCAGCGCACACTCTTGAATGTCCAGTAACAAAGAATCTTTGCTCAAACTCTATAACTGAGTGATTTATCCAGTCTACTAGTTTTCGTTAGACAGCCTGCCACCGATCGTGCGTCGCTTTGAGCGCTGGACCATGATATTTCTTCAAATGTGGCACAACAGTCTGACCTTTCGCTTGCTAGGGACCAGAATCCGTTCCAGTAAGGCTGTTTGAACTTGACAGCCCTTGCAATCAGGCTACGTCCACTAGCCCACTTGAATTAGAAGCTTTCAAGACATTCGACAAGCTTGATATGCCTGTAACTGAGCCCGAGCTACGGAGATCAACGCCTTCGTGAAAGAAAAACCGCAGGTTAAGATACGAAGGCACAGGAATCATGTCGTGCGACTTTGTCATGTTTTTCTAGCCCACATGGGCAGATGAGAAAGTCCTCCACTTTGTGTCATTACTCACGATACTCCATGACGGGAGTTCATGCTTAAATCATGAGTCGTATAGTCGACTGATTACCCCTTCTATCGTATTTTGGTCGAGTCCACATCAATCACTGGTACTGCGATGAGAAGTTCAAACCCTCGGAACTGCGCTGTGATATAACAAAAAGACCTTCGCGCCTTTAGAACAATACAACACGTTGCCGCACCTCATAACATATTCTTGACTGGACGCAAACCATCCCTGCACAGTACTACGTATGGGTTGCATGATGTCTTCGTCTTCTGGCGTAGTGCTTCGTCCTAGGTATGCACTTCCCAGTTCAGAACAACGCAATACTGACATTTGCACAGCATGGCGGCGGGCTCAAACACCATTGTCGTCAAAGTTGGTCCGAACGGCAAGGAGTACAACCTACATACCGGCCTTCTCATACACCACTCAGGCTACTTTCGTGGAGCACTTTCTGGCGCATTTAGAGAAACCGATGCCTTTGATGTGTTTGTTGATCGGGCGTACCAAGGCACTTTGAGGGAAGACTTGGAATACATCCGACACAGTTACAGGAGTGGCTTGGCCACCGCGTGCCGAGCTTATGTTCTGGCCGACAGACTGCTAGCTCCTGGCCTGAAGTCCGCACTGATAGATGCATATTTCGACAAGGATATCCACAACCTGGACAGATGGTACCCTAGTTGCCGCCGTGTCATTCACGCTTACGAACACCTCGCCGGAAACGATCCGTTATTGCGCCTTTACGTCGACCTTTGGGCTATTAGCAATATTGTCTATAAGATGGACCTGTATGACAAGGTTCTAATGCCAGACTTGCCACAGGCATTTCTCGTTCGTTAGCTGTGCAAGGTGAATGAAGTGGGTTATAAGCCGCTGCTGAGGTCGAAATTGGAACGCAAACACTACAACGAGGTTGTAATGACTCGGAGATAGGAGAATGAACTAGTTCTCAAATATGGAAGTCTACTACGCGCTGTCTTGAAGCGAGGCTCTATCCAAAGTTGCTCCGCATCCGCGATCTATATTGAGAAAATGCTATTAGTTAATTACAATAGCCAACGCTTGCTGTAATATGCGCCATACCCTACTCTATTGGTGAATTTCAAACAGACAAGCTGGCTTGATTTATCTAGTATCGTATCCCAACCGTCAACCAGCAAAGGGAGTCTTGCGATCTCGGGCAATTGCCAACAGACTTTCTGGCCCGTGGATTGCAAAACCTGCACCAACCAAGCAAGCTGACCGGGGCGGGCCAAGTCCTTTCACACAAGAATTATCATGTGGCTGTTTGAATGCCAGAAGAGAGTCCAGATGAAAAGTAGCTGGCTTGCAAACTGGTAGAACCACTGGGAGTGAGAATGACATTCGGGATAAAGAACGCAATTGCGGATAGCCTTTTGCATCGCACAAAATCTGAATGCTTGGCCTCTTAGAAGACTGAGAGTGAAAAGCAGAGTGTGGTCTCTATGATCAAAAGCGTCAACGATTACGTAGTGAAAGGAGAATAAAGAAGGCGTTGGTCTTTGTGTGTCGCAACTGCAAACATGGCCCGTGCTTACATAATAAGTGAGGCTCCGCTGCCTTGTTAGCGGCGCGCTACGAGCTTCCCCAGTGCCATTCGTCATTTCGTATGAGCAACATCACCATCACTTCCGTCAGCTGTCTTCCAACCTACGAACACCGCACCAGTCATCTACACGTCGTCGCATTTGGTGCTCGGTTTAATCATACTGAGAGTGAAATATTAGCGCCCAACGATCGTAGTTTAATTATCATTCACGGCCCGGAACATTCACGTTAGCCCGGTAAGTCAAGGGCGGCCCGTCAAATGGTTCTTGGGTACTAACTTTCCTACCAGACACTCAACCTTTCCTAAGCCACCATGTCCGACGCCGAAATCGAACAGAAGCGCGAGGAGGATGAGCGCCTCGATACCGCGGAAGACCCCAACGAAGAGGTACGATACAATCCACATCGACGCGCTTGGGACACTCTTTGGAGAGACGACACTATCAAGTGCTGCGCGCGCATACCGAGTCTGGTCATGAAGGGCAACATGCTAACAGCGCAATACAGGAAGAGATCTCAGCAATGAGGCGACGCGTACAAGAGATGGAGGAAGAGGCCCAGAAGCTGCGCCAGATGCAGAGCGAGACTGATCTCGAGCGCCACGAAATGCGCGAGAGTAAAGAAGACGTCGACGCGCGAAGTGTCTTTGTTGGCAATGTCGACTACGGCGCGAGCCCCGAAGAGATCCAGGCACACTTCCAGAGCATCGGGAGCATCAACCGTGTCACTATATTGCTGGACAAGTTCACCGGTCATCCTAAAGGGTCAGTACTAAGAGGAGGTTTTCTTTGACGATTTGCGCATGTTCAACTTTTGTTCTCGCCGTTTTGACAGTTCGCGCGCAACTAGTCGCGTAGCGCTGGAGTCACAGTAGTTGCGAAAGTATCTTTCGCTACCTGGCAAGAGTTTGGCAGAAAGATCGGAACGCTAATGAGCGTATGCAGGTATGCGTATGTGGAGTTCACAGAACCACATCTGGTCAATGAGGCCTTGGTCCTCGACAACAGCCAATTCCGCAGCCGGAATCTAAAGGTACGAGACACAGAACAATCCACGCCAAACCTGCGGCATGAAACTAACTGTCGCCCAGGTCGTCCCCAAGCGAACGAACCTCCCCGGTATGACACGAGGCGGACGCGGCGGCCGTGGTGGCCCTCGAGGCGGATACGGCGGTCGCGGTTCACCGTATGGACGTGGCGGATACGGTGGCGGCTACGGCGGCGCTCCACGAGGAGGCGGCTACCGTGGTGGATACCGCGGCGGAAGAGGCGGATCGGCATACCGCCCATACTAGGTGTGACACGAGATTGGCACGCACTATATACCACGAGACTTTGGTCGCCTTTCCTATCACTATCGGGGCTTCAGGCAGGGCAGGCGAGGGACACACAAAATTGGATGGGAATCGTGGTGGAATTTGTAAGACTGAGGCTTGTACTATTAAGATGATTGTTGGGAACATGTGAGGGAGCAGTAATTAGGCTGCTAGACTTCTTATCACTGGAACTCTGGACGACCAGATGGGTTTAATATATCTTACATCATTCTGTTGCATGGTATCTTCTTTGACTCATGAATATTACGTTGGTCGGACAAGGCAGTAGCTTTGGTCTCCTACGGATCTCCATCGCTACAGTAAGCTTATACCTCCAGTCTCGAACGCACCGGGATCTTGAGCAACAGTCAACGGAGATGTGTAAATCATAGAGATTACTTCGTAGGTAATATGCCAGAAGACTAAGAAGAAGTCAGGTATCATAGCCACATAGGGCTTTTCTCCCCATCTAAGCACCCATGATATGCTCGGTTGCTGCCCCAAACGCCAGAATCCCCATCGTTCTCGCCAAAAACGTTCTGTCCTGATCGCGCCGAAGCTAAAAAGTCAAAGCAAAGAATGCAGAAGCACACAGCCCTCGCCTAGACACTACCCAAGAGCTTATCGACCTGCCAGACAATCGCTTGTACTTCTCGTTTACTCAATCCGGCCAAAGCGTGTTTGTCAGGTTTTCCATCAGCCTTCTCGAGCTGTTTCTTCGTCTTTTCATTGGCATACTACGGCGCTGGGTTTTCCTTGACGATCTGCTTGACCTTTCGCTCGTACGCAGCCTTGTCTTTCTTGAACAGGTTGAATGCGTCGGCTTGCGCTGGGGACTCTGGGTTGGGCTCGTCGAGAAGTGATTGGATGCCGAGAAGGATCTCCTTGATGTTTATCGCGGGCTTCCAGCCTTCTTCCTCGTTTAGGATGGACAGGCAGACGGTGCCGGATGGGTAGACGTTTGGGTGGAATAGCGGGGGTACGAATTTGCCTAGTGTGCGCGTTAGCGACGTTCATGAGGATGTTGTGAGGATTCCGAGAACAGAGGCCGCTCATAAGAGGTCGTGGACGTACACTTCGGAGGCTTTGTCGGGTACTCGTCCGGAAATGCGACCTCAAGCTTGAACAAGCCACCTTCCCATATAGTTTTCTCCTTGCCAGGTACACCGCATTCCCATCGTTTAAGGTCCATCATGCCGTTGGAGCCGCGCATTGGCTTTGCGAAGAAACCGAAGGGGTGATCTCGTCGCCATGACTTTCTGGGGTCTGAGTTAGCAAAAAGATTATTCACTGGAAAAGAATGGAGCGTACCTCTCTTCTGAGAGTCGGTTTACGCAAAGAGACATGGTGAGGCTGTAGGTATAAGCCTGTTGCGCCTCTAGCTTGTCGGGCGGGCTTGTGTAATGGAGTATTGGCGAAGCGAGTGGTCGAGACAGAAGGGTCTGGATGTCGCAAACTGAGATTAACGAGCTGCAAGGTGTGGCTTCGCGCTTGTATGTGTCTTGCGAGTGTGGTGAAGGTGAAGATGAGACACTTTCGAGAGCCAGGTGAAGTCGAGTTACGGTTGCACGTGACTGACAACAATTATCGGGCGCCGCAGCGTTGGGATTCGGGCTAGATCCCGTCGCGAGGTGGAAGGTGCGATGCGCGATCTGCCCCGCGCTAGACTTTGGCCTGTTGCCCCGCTTATGTGAACGAATGCACATTACGGGCCGAGGCTGACATGGCACATGCCTATTCCAAACAGCTACGATCTGCCTCACCTGTTCCTATTCCTGTTACCCATACTTCAAGTAGCCTTTCCCTATATCTAGGAGTAGGTTTAAAGCAACATGGCGGACGCAGCCGTGAAGAAAGAAGAGCAGGAGCCTGCCAAACCCACAACCACTACCACTGCCCCTCCACCCGAGGTAGCGTCAGATCCCGAAGAAGATGACCTCTCCGACCTTGACGATGTGCTCGATGAGTTCGCCAACACCAAGCTAGACGCCAAAGCTCCTACCGCCTCGTCGATAGAAGCAGCATACCCCAAGTCCAGCAATGCGCCGTCATCCTCCGGGCCCGGAAGGCCACCCTCGGACATCTCTCCTGCCGAACTCATGATGGAAGACCCAGATGCGTTCCAGGAACAGTTGAAGAAAGAAATGGAACAGCTGCTCGGTCAAGGTGACTTCCAGAAACAGTTCGAGGATATCATGAAGGAGATGAGTGAGGAGATGGGTGGCGCGAACCCACTGGCAGATCCCGGACATTTGCATGCGCATGCGCAAACCGATGAAGGTGCAAGTGAAACGAAGGAGAAGGCGGCACCCAGTCAGTCAGAAAAGGAAACCGCTGCGAAGGCGGAGAAGAGCTTCCAGGAAACCATCAAGAAGACTATGGAGCGCATGCAGTCTTCCTCCGATACCGCAACCTCCGCAGCTGCATCCTCGTCCCAAGACGACATCCTTGCGCAGATGCTCGCATCCATGGAATCTGGTGGCTTCGGTGGCGCTGGCGAGGGCGGCGACGAAGACTTCAGTAAAGTGCTCATGAGCATGATGGAGCAGCTTACCAACAAGGACATCCTCTACGAGCCCATGAAGGAGCTAGACGACAAGTTCCCAGCGTGGATGGAGAAGAACAAGGAAAAGACGGAGAAGGACGACCTGAAGAGATACGAGGAGCAGCAGACTTTGGTTAGGGAGATTGTAGGGAGATTTGAAAGGAAAGGGTACAGTGACGACAACGCGCAGGACAGGGAGTACATTGTGGAGAGGATGCAGAAGGTATTTTATTACTTTCTGACGCATGATGCGATAAGTGCTAATGCTATCTAGATGCAAGCCGCTGGCTCTCCCCCACCCGACCTTGTCGGCGATATGAACGCTGCCCAGGAGGCGCTTCAGGATATGGATCAGGGCTGCCCGACTCAGTAATCTCCTTGTGCGATAGCTCGTCTGCTTGATTCTTTCCAGATACCCAATGTATACACGATGCCTTCTCCCAGGTAATCTATCTTGTTGACCTGCCAACATTCCTGTCCTACAATATGTACAAAGCCCTCAAGCCGTAATTCCGAGACCAATATTATCATCGTGTCGATATTCCTTTCCTGGACAGCCTTCAGCCGTCGGTCATGTCCATGTCCATCATGTCTTCACCTCCAAACGCGTCTTGTGCGTGCTGCGGTTGCTGCTGATTTTGATCATGCCCCGCCGTCGCGCACTCCATGAATATCGCGTCGTAGTCGTCATCGTCGCTACCGTAATGCTGTGATCGTGTATCCGATTCCTGCTCCATCGACGCGATCAATTGTTCAAGTTCGTACTCCTCTTGTGCAGCGACGTAATCGGCTTCGGTCATCTCGGGATCGTGTTGAGGCGCGTAACTCGGAAGTTCAGGAAGTTCCGCGTCGTCCAACATGTACTCGATGATATCATCGTTCTCTTGAGGTGCTTGACGCGCTTTTTGGGCTTCCCATCGTTTGCGCTCAGCCACAAAGTCCAATTGCTGAATCTGCATCGTCAATTAGTATCGCTGTTCATGAGGTATGTGGATCAATTCCGCGTACCTGTTCGCCCCGTGATTCCCATTTCTTGTCGTCTCGATTGTTCTGGACGCGCTTGAAGAACATATCCCTTCTTCGCTTTGTGGTGGCGTCGCGCGTCTGCATCACCGGATTGGCCTTGAAGGCGCGTTGCGGCATCGCGGATTTCTCTTTAAGGGGTGAAGACATTGTGAAGTTGAAGGCTCGTGGGCTTGCATTTGTAGAGCGCTCGGAAAGTGGTGATGATCGCGGTGGCGTATATGCAGAGTAGTGCGGCATTTCGTGTGAGAAGAACGATGTTGTGAGCATCATGTTTTGTCTTGTCGTGCTTTGTTAGTGACAGTAGAAGGATAAAACCTGAGGAATCGTGCGATGGATATTGGGATGTGAGGGAGATTTGGGTAGATGGGGTTCGGTGGGAAATGATGATGCAGACGCGAAATCGACGGGAAGGCGCGCTCGCGCGATGGTAGGTGCGTATCGATAAGTCACGTGTCGTCTCATCGACTCAGATAGCGTCTACTCGAACAGTACTCTGTCAACTGTAACACTATTTCTCGGCTTCAACTACACCATGTATGCTTCAATACCCGTTTAAACGACAATAAATTCGATCACAATCGTTGGGAGAATCGTTCAATTCCTAGATGCTACCCGCAATGACACAGCTGCTGCAGGACCAGGACGGAAGACTCTTACTCATCATTAACTTCGCCCTTTAGGCCTCTGCATCTTCCAACCCTTAGCTATCAAACCGGATCGACGTGCCACATGCCGCAAGTGTGGGGGTGCTGGGGTCGGTGGCTGCATTTTCGCGATATGGACGTTCTTCGAGCTTGCAGCGGTTGCGGTAAATCGATGACAGTTCCCATACATGATGACAAGGAGTTTCAGTTCGCATCCTGCTGCTGAACTTTGGTCGATAATCTGTTGCAGATATCCGGAGAGACGCTGATCCCAACTGGAGTCATGTTGGTAGACCTTTTGAAGTGCTTCAGTTTCGATAACTATGAAAGCTGTCGATATCTTGGAAAAGAGGAGGCATATAAGGTCGACCCACTCGCCTTCTGTATGAGTGGCATTGATCTTCGAGAGGTTCAATTGCTCGGAAAAGCTGTTGAACAGATCGCCAGAATGTTGCAGTGCTTGAAAGATGATGCTTCTGAACATTTCCGCCATGGTGTGCGGATCTGAAGGATTGCTTGTCAAGGGTAGATTCCAGAATACACATTGGCTACCGAGCTTCAGACTGTTGATCACATTCGTGGCCAATTCTTTTGCTTGCTTCTGCGCACGAAGGCCAACCTGCACGACCAGAAGCGACGAGCCCCTTCCTAGAGCCCAACCCAGGATCTTTTTTCGCACTTTCTGTTCATTGGGGCCAGGCAGGCTTGGTGTCAAGTCTCGTCGCATGAAAGACTGAACCTTAAGCAGTGCTGTCTCGGGCAATACTTTGGGCTCAAAGAATTGCATTACCCCATTGAATTCGATACGATATACTGTCCGGCTTATGCTGCAGACGTCGACGCCTATTCGCTCTGTAACACTCTTGTGAGAAGTTGCAACCTGTAACAACTGAACCACTTGAGCTTTAAAATTCTCCTGCTCTTCCAGCACCTTGAGTAGTTTCAAGTCAAGCTCTCGAATCTGTGCATGTTGCAGTTCTGTTAGAGTGCGAACGTCACGAATTTCAACTCGAGCCCCTGCGTTGGCAAGGTCATCCACCGCTTTCGAACACTCTCGGATATGCTCCACCAAGTCTTGATAGCCAAGTTCGAAAGGTGTCTTGATAGCAGAACACATTCGACCAAGTGGACTCTTCTTGTACCAACGGACACACAGACGTAAGAAGAGGATGATGTACGTGAACAGTCGTGAAAGAGCAGCTTCCATGTTCTTCGTCTGATACAATTCCGCACTGAGATTCATTCGTGGCAATACGTTGGCAATGTCGATGAGAGCTTGCGATAACTTTTCAAAGAGTGTGGCTCGATTGATCACGCCCTTTCAATAATGCATCAGCTTTTTGTAATCAAGGGTATATGCTCAACATGTTGCAACATACCGTCAGGACGAGTTTCATGGCGCCCCAGACCAGAGCTACGTACTCAGGGTGGTGCTGCGCCAGAGTGTCCATGACTTTGCCGTAGTACATGATGCGCGAAGAGAGCCGTTCAAGGGACTGTTTCATGCCTGTATGCTTGTGCTCCCTGCTCCTGTCCTCGTACTCCTTCTTTGCGGTCTCTACCACTGAGAAGACGTCCTTCACAGATGCGTTGAATTTACTTGGAACTGGAACGTTCAGAGATATGTCCAGCTCATTCTTAAGGTGCTCGATGGCCGTCTGGTACGCTTCTACTGCGATGTTTCTGTTCCTGCGCCCGTCAGCCTCGTCTTAGGTACACTCCGTGCGATTGGTTGACTATACTCCTGGCCTGGAACTGGTGTATACCAGGATAAGTGCACATCGTGCACCACTACTGTGGACATTTGAACCTACGATGGTCCTTGGTCGCAGTATAATCCGCTGCTAACAGTTGTTAATTCGTGGTGATGAGCCATCGCTGGCCTTCTTGCATGCAGTGTCTTGGAAAGCAGGCTGTGCAGGGAGGCTGAGGCTGAGCCGAGAAGATGCAGACTGCGCACACGTTGACGCACATGCGTCTGTCACAGCCGATGTATATCTCCACACGGCTTCCTCCCTCTCATTGACCTTGCATTGCTTTGATCGCATACAATGAGATGATGCGCTCGCCGGTTTCTTGACTTGTCGTTCTTTCGCTACCCCTCCCCCAGACACGTCATCAACCACTCCATCGCGTACGAGGCGTTTCCATGGCCGCACGGCCGCCCCGCGGTTCTATCAGACGAGATCCAACATTTCCCTACACTGCTTAGCTAGAAGCAAGGAATGTTCAGCGCCTTTGGTTCCAGCCGCCCTAAAGTCTTGCGCTCCTCTTCGAGAGTCGGAGGCCGACCAGCAAGACGAGTGTCAAAAGAGCATAAGGAGCGAGCGACAGGCAGGAGTGCGCGAGGCATTATCACGACAGGAGACAAATTCCCATTTATTTGCTCACACTAAGCCTTCCTATTCGAACCAAAATTCCACGTGATGGAGGTACCCCCGTCACGACAAGTATATTCTCAACCACCGACACATGCACAACGGCAGCAACAGGCTGTAGTGACTAGAGCAGTTAGACCACCCATGGCCTCCCTTGGCACATCGCAATGGACACCAAGGCCCACATTGTTAAAGAAGCAATCCCCACTGGATGCGAGGAGAGAACTATTGTCGGGTCTGACGCGCTCGACGAGAAGACGTCTTAAACGGGACGAGGTGAAAAGTGACCCTAACCAAGGGCCAAAACAATATTGGGATACACAGCTCAAAACGCAAGCCGGTGCTCTACCAGAAAATGATCTTCAAGCTCTATTTCCCGACAGATCTTTAGGCGGGTCGATGCCCCAGTTTACTCCTCTCCATGGCGCAGCATACGCCCCACTACCCTTCCAGCACTCTACCTCATTTGAAAGCTCTAACTCAGACAACGAATCTGTCTTCTCCGCGTGTTCATCTGCCTCATCCGCATCCTTAGCATCTTCGTATCAACACGTTTCCTCTTCCCAGGCTCCTAAATACTCTTCCCGAGTACCGCAGTCTCAACAACAATATATTTCTCAGACCCCTGCCGATACGTGGTTCCAGCCATTCATCCAGGCGGCCAACCTGGTCAAGGATGTGACCTTTCAGCCGCCTCTCTTCCAGCATACACCCTTGCTCGACCCCGAACCCAAACGAAACGACAAACATGGAAATGTCACGATAGGATCACAATTTTCCATGTCACCTGCGATGCAAAACCTCGAACTTCCCAGCGGATTGAAGAAATCAGGTACACCGGAGCTCGGCCAACAACCTCTGTTTGACGAGCTTATGGGACAGCAACGTAGATCTCCTGGACCCAACGTGGAAGCTCAACACCAGGCAGCAATGAATCGAGATGAACACATGCGAAGAGAAGCTGAGCGAGACGCGAGGGAACGGGGAATGCACGAAAGCCATGCACGAGATGCGCATTATAGGAAAAGCATCATGCGAAGAAGATCAGCGATGCCGCTATTTCGCGGGCCGCGTGGTAGGGAACGCAAGTCTAAGAAACAACCCCATGATTCGAAACCACGTGAAAAGACCCGTTCCCCAAAGCTCCAGAGCGCAGATTCGTACAAAGCTTCCAACCCAGAAAAACTGTCGCAGAATCTACGAAGCCGCCAACAAGAAGCGCAAAGGCAATACGCGATGCGCTTGCAACAGCAACAGCAGTTGGGCAACCTTGCCGGAAACAACACGATCGTGGATACGTCACCAACAATGGCAAACAACAAGCGACGGCGTCCAGTATCAGACTCCTCATTTCACAGGTTTGATGATCAGTCATCCACAATGACAAACAAGCAGATGATTAACTCTGCTCACAACTTTTCCCCGAAAACCTTGAAGTACACGATCTCGGAGGATTGCACAAGGAACAATCTCAAGCGTCATAAAGCGAAATTCGGGGCTTTGGGTCAGCACAATAGTCAACAGGTGCAGCAGCCAAAACACACCTATAATGATCCATCTCCAAGCGACGATGTCAGAGGTGTGGCTGAGGATCTATTGGTCTTTGACAAAGGAGACGGCAGTCAATCTGCCCATCCTTTCGGAGGACTGAATAGACTGACTGAACCCTATCGTCCTCGCGATCCTCGTGACGCACACGATTTTGACCCACGTCACTCAGATCGCTATACCATTCGTGAACTATTTCAAAGGACTGAATATCTATGTGAACAACTTTCCAATCCTCCATTGCGTGCGAACGGTCCTCCAATGCACGAAGATATAAGGTTTCAGCTCCAAGATCGAGGATATTAACCTGACGTTCGGGTTCATTCTTATTGAAAGGTTCACCGTAGAGTTCTATCTCTATTCCGAGATGAAGAACCAGTCGTTCGTAGATCTCTCATAGCTGAAGCAATATTCTTTAATCTGAAACCTGATGCAGTTTTGCATAGGCTTGAAATGTGGCCCTCCTTTCTTTCAGACAGGCCATTTTGAGATGCACAAGAGTCACCACACTTAGAAACTGCCTCTCCCTAGTAATTCAGAAAGAGTCTTCAAGATGAAGATGTGCTGTCGATGTGGGTGATGTGCAAAAAGGGTTCCCGGTTATATAGCGATACAACATTAGCGAGTCATACACTACCTAGGTACAAAGCGGTGATGCGAATCCTTTTGAAGCTTCGTTAAACAGACCAATTATACCAAAGTACATGCGACCCTGCAGATTGCATGTAGCTTGACGAAGTTTTGCCTAGATGAGTTTAGCCTGCGTACAAGCCACCTGCGACCGGTGAAGGTGGGATGAGCAGCATAATACTCGCTACCTTGTGCTACTGCTCCCGTCAAATTGCAGTCCCTCTGACAGATTGTTTTTCTTTCACCTTCAATTCTTATCGCCTATATTATGGAAGCCCAAGCGCACAGGAAACGACCACGGAGTCCTAGCGACACTTCCACAGACAGTGTCACTAGCGCTACGCAGCAACGTCCCGATAATGGAAGATGCAAGCGCGCACGCCCACGAACTGAAACTTCCGTAGAGCGAAAAATCACCATACATCGTGTGATATGTAAACGTACCCAGAAGTACCATAAAGCTCACCATCCGAGTTCACACTACCTCGACGTTCCAGCTGTGAAAGCGTTCGAGAATTGTACTACTGCTTTACATGGTCAGAAACGCCTGAAAGATGTGAACGATTACTTGGAGGAAAATTCAGGGTTCAGTATTGTAATCTACATTGATTACAACTGCGAAGATTACCATGAGAAGATCAAAGACGCTTTCGTGCGTCATTCTATGCCTTCGATGCCTCATGATATGAGCGTTGCTTCGAAACCCTACTTTCAAATCCTCGAACGCCACGGACCGATAGCGGATGCGACTTCTGAGCGAATGCGCCTATCAGAGAGTCTTCAAGGGGCTCTGCACGCGCTTCGAAGCCAAAACACGGACATGTTTAAAGAGTGGGAAGCTGATGAAGATCTCATCCATCCGTACCCAAAACTGTACTACTCCAAACATCTTTTTGTCGGTTCTCCGACAAAAATGCTTGAGTCAAAACAGCAGATTGATCTCGAGGTGTTGTTTCATTACCTAACTGATCACTTGGCTGCGGACTATGAAGACCTGGCGCGCTTGTCGGCTGCGGGTTTTGTGAGCCAAAAGCATTGGCGAATGCTTTTCCGGCCAGATGACACGGTTGTCACCATCCAAGATGGCCATATTCGAGGGTTTATTATGAAATATTGCCGTTTACGCAACCAGAATACATTGGAGCTGGATTGCTGGTCTTGGGAGTACGATGGCAATTTCTTTCGAGAACCCGTTACGATACAAATCCTATGGCCCTCTCAGTCGAAGCAGGTAGCCATCACAGACCTGTCAGTTTATCCTATATGCTATGCAGCAGAAGAGATTCAGCTCAAACTTCGCAAGCGTGGCCACACTTTCTGGGGATGCCGGCGACGAAAGTATGTGAATTATGATGTGCCATTACAGGGACTTGGATCACAGCTCGTAAGCACCATATCTCGACTGCAGTGGACTATACTTATATGACCAGACGAATTTACGATACATGGTCGATATGGAAGCTTATAGACTGATGCACGGGCGTGATGACGATCCACCAAGACAGAGCGAGCTTACAGAGGATGTTCTTGGGAACGATGAGATCCCGGAGGGCTCCTTCGCTCTTCTTTTGCCAGCGACTATCAATGGATATGGATTCCATAACAAGAAGTGGAGTAGGCAAATCGAGATGCCAAGGCGTGCAAATACTAAGAACACGAACAGGTGTGCTACTCGTCGAACACATAGATGCCATCAGATGGAACAAAGAGGTTTTTGAGCATCAACTGGTTCTTCAAGAAAGCAAGAAAGAGCTAGTAAAGGCTTTAGTTTCAGTCCATATAGAGAAGGATGATACGATTGGAACTGACTTCATGGATGGTAAGGGAGAAGGACTGATCATCCTACTTCACGGTGGGCCAGGTACTGGGAAGACTCTAACAGCAGAGAGCATTGCAGAACTCGTTGAACGTCCACTGTACAGAGTCACATGCGGTGACATTGGCACGGATGCCAAAAGTGTTGAGGAATATCTTGACTCAGTCTTATACATCGGCAGCAACTGGAAATGCGTCGTTCTAATGGATGAGGCTGACGTGTTCCTAGAGGAAAGGACCAAGTTGGATATGCAGCGCAACGCTCTCGTGTCCGTATTCCTTAGAGTTCTCGAGTACTACAACGGAATCCTCATTCTGACGACGAATCGTATCGGCACCTTCGATGAGGCTTTCAAATCTCGTGTTCAGCTTGCGCTCCACTACCCACCGCTGGATAGGGAAGGTCGTCGGGAAGTCTGGAGGAACTTTGTTCAGTCGTTGTCGGAAGCTGGTGAGAACATCAACAGCGAAGAAATCAGCAAAAAGCTCGACATGCTCGCACGACATAAACTGAACGGTCGGCAAATCAGAAACACGATCAACACAGCTCGGCAGCTGGCGCGATACAAGAAGGAGACTTTGCGCTTTGCACATGTAGATCAGGCGGTTGGAGTGGTCAATGAGTTTGAGAGATATGTCACGGATGTACACGGCCATGATGATGAAGAGTATGCGCGAGATCAAGGGTTGAGAAATGATGGTAACTCACGCGAGGTAGAATGAGTAAGGGCCTCGCCATCGATGATTCTGTTCAATATCTTTCTACGACTTCTGTCATCCTTTGTCATGTCGTTCGTTGTGTAACTGGCGGTTTTAGCTTCCAACAGCCTTGCTGCATTCGGGTTGTTAATAGATTGAAACTGGATACCTTTTCTATGAACATATGAACAGCAAACTGCTTGGGAGGTCACATAATTTTTATATTGTCGTAATCTCAGCAGCGATACGGGAGTCTCCATATCCGATAAACTGAATTTGATGGTCGTCTGAAGATCTCAGTCCTAAATCAGATTCCTCACAGGGCTCCAAACGTGCATTCTTTCAGTATGCTGGAATGTGGGGAATTTTAGAGCTGTGACAGTTACATTGGTTTTCCTCAAGAGCGTACTCGTGTCTCTCTATCACCCTTTGAGTAGAGGATGCTGAAGTCGTGAATACTGTCCCGAAGCAGTGGTGCTGACTGCCAGTCGTACCTAGGTATCTGGAACAAGGCCGTGATCGGCTATCGGGAGACTGCATTGCCGACGCGCTAGTATCGTGACGCACTCAACAAATGCCTATCATCCAGTACCAGCACTCTTTGTATTGATTTTCTTCGATTTCGGCATCTCACTCTAGTCTTTGAGGTAGTAGGATACCGCGCATCAGTACATGCCTCCAGCGCTAGACTGCTCTAATTACCTAAGCAGATTCACCTACCACGTTCCAGGGTGTGCGTCCGCCGCATCTACAGCCGAACGGCTCTAGGCCTTTTGCGACCTTCATTGGAATGCAGTCTGGCGGGTCGAGATTTGAGAATGCCTATACGCACTTCTAGACACTCTAGGAGAATTCTAGATGCAATAGGCCGGCGGAGCACGATCCCTGGCCAGTGAGAGGACACCACAGCGGCATTAGCCTGGCACAGCCCACACCGGCTAGCTTCTCATCGACCCGCAAGACTAATTGCCGCCTGTGTCGAGTCGATTCGCCTCGTGTGGCAATCGCAAACTTTCGCTCCACACCCCACGATGTCTTGATGCTTGGTGAATGCAAATGATTGCCGTTCTTTCATCACGCTTTTGATGGCAGAGCATGGAGTCTGAGGCAGCTTGTGGACGTCCTCGACCTTTTATGGCGTAGTGCCCTGGGTTACGCATCATGAGTCAACAACCGAACGACCGCAGGGAGACCAAGACCGATCGCCATGGGATGAGGAGAGAACGAGACGTGCTGCTACTCTATGGCGCAGCTTTTCGCAATATTCCACGCACCGACAATGTGGAGAGCCATGTACCTCGGCCATCCTTGGACTCAACTCTGACAGCCTTGTGTCAACTTACCGCCATTCGGATGGGAGCGCAACGGTCCATGATATCACTCCTTGACGAAGAACGCCAACACATACTTGCGGAGGCAACCTGTGATCTACCTCTGCAACCAGATGCTTTGGGTGATGCTTCAAAAAATACCCTCTGGCTTGGGAACGTAAGCATTCCGCGGAGTTGGGGTATATGCGAAAAGGTCTTGAAATTGGGTCCAAACGTTGAACCTATCCTGGTCATCAGTGATCTTACCACAGATCAGCGTTCATGCTTCCGAGAGGATGTCCAAAGCAATCCCGATATGCGCTTCTACGCCAGCGTCGCATTGAAGTCCCCGAATGGTGCGACAGTTGGAACGCTTTGCATCTTCGACAACAAGAGCCGAGACGGTCTTTCCAAAGAGCAAGCCGAACTATTTAAGGATCTTGGTTCCACGGTTGTTAATTATTTGAACACATACACGATTAGAGACCAGTACAGACGAGGGGAGAGGTTCACACGCGGTCTTCTCTCTTTTGCTGAAGGCGCATCTGCTTTGGTACCTTTCGAGAGAGAAGTCCGGCAAGATTCGGCATTACCTTCACAAACATCATCTGATATATCTTCTACAACGGACAAGGAGATAGTGTCTACAGACGACGCCGAAAAGGTGCACGAAGGTGTCGAGTTGAACGAGACTACTCCCGATCATCCCTTATCAACGATATCAAAGACAGCTCGTGCTAAATCCGCTCGGCACCGATCAATACGTTCGCTTCGTAAGCAACATCTTTGTTGAAATTATGTGTGAGATAAAGGCTAATTGAAAGACCAAATCTAGAGGACTCTATCCTGCCCAATGACTCAAAGTCCATGTTTTCACGTGCTGCGAACGTAATTATGGGCTCGAGCGACCTGGACGGAGTGCTTATACTCGACGCGAGCGTTGCGGCAAGCGGTGGACGTCGTCGTGTCAACAGCGCCTCAGGAAGTGGTACTGAGGCTCCTTCCGAATCATACCAATCCAGGTCCTCCAGCGACGATGCAAGCTCAAACAGTACTGAGGAACATCAGCGCGGCTCTTCTTCATCGAGTTCCAAGATGTGTCAGCTGCTTGGTGTGGCCACCCCGTGCGACAAGGAGAATCCCGAGTATGGGACATTGTTAGAGCCTGACCTTTCACGTTTGTTCCACGAATACCCACATGGCAAAATTTTTACATTCTGCGCCGAAGGTCATTCTTTATCCTCTACTGAGGAGTCGACATCAAACCCTAACGATACTGAAAATCTGTCACCTGCCACATCATCGAAGCGCAAGACCAACGGCCGGCCACAGCGAGGATCGACTGCTATCCAAGCCATGTTCCCTAAAGCACGCAGTGTCGCTTTTGTTCCCTTTTGGGATTTCGAGAGGGCTCGATGGTTCGCTGGTTGCCTGTGTTGGAGCAATGATGCGTATCGATTGCTGTCCGCTTCAGTGGATTTGGCATACTTCAAGATCTTCAGTCATTCCATCATGAGGGAATTGTCTAGGTTAGATGCTGTAGCTTTGAACCAGGCAAGTACTATCTGACGGAGAATCGGAAACAAACTAATGGGTCATTGTAGGCTAAAACGACGTTTGTCGCTTCCATATCACATGAACTTCGTTCACCTCTACACGGCATCCTGGGTACGCTGGAGTTCATCAAAGACACCCCCCTCGATTCATTTCAGACCAGTATGATGAATTCTTTGCATGCTTGTGGCTCAACTCTTCTCGACACCATCAACCACGTCATGGACTACGCCAAAATTAGCGATGCTAAGAAAAGCGTGTCCTCCAAAAGACTGAAAAATGCGAACACGATACGACTATCTTCGAAGCCATTGAAGAACCGACGAAGAAAAGATCCCGCATTTGATCTTACCATCGCAACCGAAGAAGTAGTGGAAGCTGTCTTTTCTGGATCCTCATATACCCCGGTCACCTCAAAAGTCGTGGAAGCGCCTTCATCGCCTACGGACGAATACGCAATCCCGTTTCCGCAACGCAAAGCACGGTTTATCATTCTAGATATGGCTTACGATGATGACTGGGTCTTTTCGTTTCCGATTGGGTCTTGGAGAAGAATAGTAATGAACTTATTCGGCAATGCCATTAAGTATACCGACACTGGATACATTCATGTTTCTTTGCGTTCGAGCAAACTAACAGAGAACACAAACGCCCCCACTGCGATCACACTCACCATCACGGATACCGGCTCAGGTATGAGCCCTGGGTTTCTTGCAAATCGGATATTCCATCCGTTCTCCCAGGAAGATTCCCACGCGCCGGGTACAGGCTTGGGCTTGAGCATAGTAAGAATTTCGACATTCAATTGCACGTGAGACATACACTGACTTCTTACACTATATGTAGGTCCGACAGATCATCGACACCAACGGTGGCAAGGTTGAGGTCAGCAGTGACCCCCAAGTCGGCACCAAACTCATCGTCAAACTGGCCCTTACCAGACCCGAAGCTCCTGTCTCGTTGACAGCGGAAAGAGCGCAATACCTGTCTCACCTACCGAGGCTAAAGGGCCGGAGAATATGCATCCTTCGCAAGAAAATAGCGGGACCAAGCGAGAATACTAGCGTCTCAAAAACGGACGAAGGCCTTCTTCGCTTCACCAATGCGCTAGCCTATACCCTGGAGACACAGCTCAAGATGCAAGTTGTGAAGACAACCGAGTGGGAAGGCCACCATGCAGATATCGTCATCTGCCCTGAACTGTCCTTTGATTATCTCGCTACGATTCGGAAACAAAGAGCTCATGGTCAACGCGCCCCAGTAACCGTCTTCGTCGGGATGGATGCACTCGAGGCTGCTACCCTCCGTTCTGATGTCCGTGTGACAAATCGGGAATCTGTCGTTGAAATTATCACCCAACCTTGTGGCCCTTACAAGCTGGCCTATGTTCTCAATCGATGTCTGGACCGCTTTGATCATCCAGCCGAAAACTTGCAGTACACTGCCCCAACTAGCCAGTTACTACAGCCATTGTCGCAAGAGATTAAGCAGCATACCTATCCCTCCTCACCGACCAACTCACTGCAAAGCACCCTTGAGTCTTTGAATTCGGACGCGTCTGGACCAGTCGCTTCATCTACAGCCGGATCCACCACTGCGCAGCCTTCGGTTACGTCGCCTACCGAAGAAGAGGATCCTGTAATATCGCATACGCTCATTGTCGACGACAATTTGTTGAACCGAAGGCTTCTCATAGCATACATGAAGAAGAACGGACTTCAATTCGAAGAAGCATCAAATGGGCAGGAAGCTTTGGACAAGTATCGGGAAGGGTCGCGAAAATTTGATGTCATACTGATGGATATGTCCATGCCAGTCATGGACGGCATGAGCGCCACACGTGCCATTCGCGAATACGAACGAGATAATAACATGCCAAGGTGTTCTATCGTTGCGCTTACTGGCTTAGTGTCATCAAGTGCTAAGCTAGAAGCATGGAGTTCAGGGATTGACCATTTCATGACGAAGCCGGTCAACTTCAAGGCGCTTGGAGAGCTTCTCAAAAACGATGAGACACGGAGGCATACGAGAATGAGAAGTACAGGAATTATACGGGATGCTGCTAATATAACCTCTGAAGACGGCCAAGCGACATGAAAGGTCATGTAGTACATTCATCGACTCTATCCGAACAAAACTCCGCTCACGTTATGGTGCTGGAGTAGCTACCATGTATACGGCTTTCATTGCCCCACGAAAGCGACTGCAATTCGCCGCTATGCAGTACATCTAGCATACGCTACGCCGCTATGGCCACAGCTCAGCATACTATATCCACAAGAGTAGATGATGCACGCGTAGACTTCTCTCCTGTACTACGGATTACTGCCATGTCAGGAAAACCCCGAGATCAAGTACACAGTGCAGTATGCATAATCAAATATTCATGTATCCTGCGTCTACTTTTTCAGTCTTCCGTGACAGCCACTTACAACTTCTGCAACACACCATATACCCATACTCTCAATCAACTTCTTACTTTCGAGCAGAATCGCAAAAACAACTGGGTTTAGCCTAATGTGACGATGAACTGCGGCTCTTCTAGTCCATACATCACTCTCCCATCTAACACCCAGTTGAAAAGACAAGCTTCACATCCTGATAGCGCACCGAAAGGGTTGAGCTCCACTAACTGTACGCCCCCATCTCTCTGCAACGTAACATCAAAACTGAAACCATACTTTAGCAACAACTCTGCGATGTCTTCACTAAGCTCCTTTATGTAGGCTACGATGTCCTCTAGAACCTTCACTGCACCTAGGCTAACCAAATCCATCGTCTGCTGCAAGTCAAACCCCCATGGCGCTTGAGATGCTTTCGGCCGCCTATATTGGCTGATCGCACTAATCGCAAACTCCGTAGCATGTGGTTCCCTTACATTCTTCGCAGCAGGTGGCGGTACAAAAACTCGAAACTCTTTGTCAGGATCCATACCCTCGTTCCAAGGGTTCAGCACAAGCTTGATCTGCATCTCCCTGTCTTCCGTCTTCGCGTCGTCGAATTCACGAGTCAGGCAGCCATATGCGCGCATGCTGGTACAGATTCTCGTGATGACCTCGCGAATTGTCGAGCTAGGCAACTTGCCACCTATGGGAGAGTCCTTTGGCGACATCTGATCGAGTCGGATAAACCATTTCCTCTCATCATCAAGCAGTGTTGCTAGTCTTTTCCCTGACTTCGTACACTTCAGCATCTTGACAACGTCATCGAGAAGGGACGTGTGAATCCGATTTGTCGCTACCCAAGCGCTGTGAAAACGCAGAAGGTCCTCGTAAAGAAAGGCGGGAAGGAGAATTTCATGATGTTCGCTTAAGTTTTGCGATTTGGCGATGAGCGGATGCCAAAGTGTATAGCCGTATGGTTTCCAGGGTAGTGTTTTGTGGATGAAGTGCGCGTTTGAGGGCACGACAGGCGCGATTTCGTCGAGGCGATAATGCGCGGTAAAGAAGCGTTGGGAGCGAGAAGATGGGTTGGACGAGTCTTGGATGGCTTGTATGGCGGCGGTGTCGGCCGCGACGAGTGAATAGGGTATTTTTCGGAGCTGCATTGCTGTGAATGTTCTGAAAATTCGATGGGAAGAGTCGTTTGGATGGTCGAGAAGAGGATGTAGAGATAGTGAGTATGATAAACTACCAGAGACTAGAAAACAGATGCAGCCTTTGATCTTGGTCCGTGAAGATGCGCACCGTGGTTGCGATGTAATCACATATCCATATCTGGAGAACAAAGGGCGCGACCAAGATCTCATCATTGCATAACTCGCCGTCCAGGCTGACCTAGTCTGATTTGGAAAGATGCACAAGCTTTATCAGGAAGTAGAAGAGTCGGCTGATCACAATAGGTATTGTGTTCCTGGTTATTCCTTAGTTACATCTCCTCCAAACCATCAGCATGGTTATTCTGGTACTACCGGGAGGTCACAGATGGAACTTCGATGCACAAGCAATCGATCGATTGACAAAATTGTTTCCGTCACAACCTCCCACTTCATACCATCTTCTATGCTGAACTACCTCACCAAAGCCTACTCGACGGGTTCATTACGGGTATCTGTTCACTGTCATCATTCACAAAGCTCAGAGGGAAAAACATACCTCAGTGTGACTCTTTCCATTCCCAGTCTAAACCAAGGCCATAACCGTTTGTGCTAAGCTACCGAGCCGCACATACCCACTCACCCATTCATTACAAAAGGGCAGAAAGAAAACTAGACTTACCATCTTGGAAGCCTCCATATGGCGGCATGGTCAGTATTAGACAATCTTTCTGCATACAAAACAATACTTACACACACAAACACATCTGACAACAACAAATTCCCGACTCTGAGGGCTAGGTTGAAGTCTCCGTGTTCATGCGGGGGCATGTCTGTCCTTTGCTGGCTGGTTTTGGCTATCGCAAGAACAGACGTTTCAGTTCCTCCGCGCGAAACCGAATGGGTCAATGGGCCGGAGGTCTGACGAAAGGGAACGGGGGTGTTCAAAGGAACAAGAATAAGAACAAATCAAATAATGAAGACATTGTTGGTGCATTGTGTCTCTCGTGTAAAGTGTCCCGTCAAAAGTTCACAGTCGAACGGGTGCCGGAAGTGGTTGGTGAGGTTTCGCTGGGTGCTGAGATATTGTGGTGGGTGGATAGATTTGACGTTGCACCCTTCTTGACATTATAACTATGAGCTTGTTAGCATCAAAAATGGGAAACCAATACGATGGGGTTGAAGGGGATGAGTGGGTTGTGGGTGGTTGACTACTTGAGAGGAAGACGATGGGAGAGGAAGACGATGGGAGAGGAAGAATGGCCGCTTATATGTATACAAAAGGCATGTGTTTGCTGTCTCACAAGGATTTGATCAAGAAGCGCTTGTCGGAGACTCTTGTTTCTACTCGCAAACTAGAAGACTTGCCGGCCTGATCAGTTTGCTGATTCTTTGTCATAGTATCACAAGCACGTTCATCCAGGCTCTTTAGGATAATTGCTCAGAGGCATACCCATCACTCGTTGCCATACGTGGTCTGGCGTATTCACAGCAAGCAGAAGATGGAGAGTAAGAAGAGGAACACGAAGAAGACTATATCTTGCCATAGCCAAATGTACAGTAATTTGATTACATTTTCCTGCCTATCCTACGGAGGGGCCTCGACAGCCCATGGTACTATATCTCCAAATACGCCAGTCCCCTTGAACGCTAATGCAGGAAACCAAGAAACAACAAACACCATAATATCGTCCAACTGAGAGTAGCGTTATGAGTGTGGGGCATAGGGTGTGTATACAGAAGGCGCCACAAATTCGTCAAGCACATTGCTGCTTCCTTTGCGTCATGTGCTTCCCACTGGTGCGCTCCACCGCGCCGAAGATGAAGGCCCTGCTATCGCTGCGGTCGAGCTTTCAGACATCATTGTCGGCGAAAAGCCGACATGAAGAAGAAAGAGAATAATCCCTAATGTGTTAGGGATTACCTCTTCTTGCTTCCCGGCCTCGGCTTGCACTCATCCCCGAGAATGGGGTGAAGCTTGATCTTGATAGGGTAGTTTTGTGTGTTGCCACCGAAGCCCTTGCTCCAATCGTAACTGACGGCGTAGGCGAAGATGTTGCCGTCCTTGCTGAATCCTGTTGCGACAATGCTGCCGCCGACCTCGGGGTAGCCCTTGAGGCGGTGCTTGGCGTCCTTGTCCCAAAAGTGGAAAGTTCCGTCGGAACCTGCAGTGGAGAAGGTGCCGTGTTGTGGGTGGAAGGATATGGCGTTTACTGAGTGGACCTTGGCGATGTCGCGGTTGGCGGGGTCTTGTTGGCGATGGCACTTAAATGAGAAGTTGAGGCTATTGAGACGTTAGATGGTGGGAGGCTGAATGCGCAAGGAGAAATGCTTACCTGGTATCCTTGTCTTCGACATATTGAATAGCGCATCGTCCTTCGATGGAGCCGACGGCAAAACCAGTCGCATCCGAGAAACAGCTCACAACCCTTGTCTGCCACTTGAGAGGGCTGGTGATGGTCTTGTAGATAGTTGTGGGGTTTGAGAGGTTCACCATGTGGATATGGCGCTCAGCGGTCGCGATGACTAGCAGTTGATCTTTGACGTCCATGCTGTAGACACGCTCCTGGCACGTCAGTGTACCGACTGGCTCAGCGCCTTGGAGGTTCCAGAACTTGACGGTCTTGTCCCAAGAGCCAGTGGCGACGTAGTCCTGACCTCCAGTCTGGAACCAGCGGACGCACTTGATGCCATTCTCGTGGGCTTTGGCTTGTTGCGCAGGGACGGTACCGCTGGCAGGGGCGGTGCGGAAGTCGACAATGTTGAGCATGCCTGTTGAGTCGCCGGCTGCAATACGAGTGCCATCCTACGTCTTGTTAGCATCCGGTTACCGCATTTGCGTGTCATCAGTAAACGTACCTTTGACCATCCCAGACCCAGAACATGACCCGGGCATTCGAACATCCACTTTCCTTGCGCACCGTTGCCGTTGACCTCGTAGATGTAGACCTTCTTGTCCCAGCTTCCCACTGCAAGGAAATCGTTGGTCGGCGAGAATTGAAGGTCAGATATGCTGTCGCTGGGTACTTGGCCGGCGGGCACCTCGACGTCTTTGCTGGTGTCGCCTGTAGTGGAGCTTGCAGCGGGAGCTGCCGCTTGACCGAAAAGAGCCATCTCTTGCGATTATGTCGTGTGGACTGGGCGCGTTCAAATCGTGGGTGTTGGTGGTTGCGAAGCTTTGCGCGAGCTCGCGGTGTTGATATCCTGGGCAAGAAAAGATGAAGCGTTTGTACGCGCTTGTCGGGAACCTTGTAGTCGCAGGGAGGTGTTTCCAAGCTGGTGGCAGTGAGTGACAGGTAGCGCGCGAGGGAGACGGGATAGCCTTTATGTTCTTCACCGACGACGCGCTCAGCAAAGAAAGAGCCGATGCACGAAGCTTCCCAGGCACCCTTGCAGGCGCCAGTCCGCTTCCGCCTAGCCAGCCTGCCCGGCGTTACGATCCCCCGGCCTCCGCCCCATCTAAAAAAGTTTCCGCTCTCCAACCTGATTTCTTTCTCCAACGTTCCTCGCTCAAAGAATCGCAACGAAGCACACGCACGGAGCGCCTCTCGAGGTGTCTCTTTTCGCGCTTTGGGAGAAAGTCCCCGGACAACGATCTTCGCGATCGCACTTTCAGCAATGAACCGCCATAGAAGCCGCGGCTTCCATTACCGACTACGACACTTTCCGCGTCTCTTTACCCGTTCGCACTCCTTTTCGTCGGCTGTCCGGAGGCTGTGAGTGGAGGGGCTGGCACCTGGATGACGATATGAGTCCGTTGGCTACCTTGCTCACTTGCTGAAGAGCGCCTGGCAATCTGGAGGAGGAGGGAGACATCGGGGAGGGCCAGGTATGGAGGGTCTTCTCGTCCAGTTTGATGGTTATGCGATTGCCTTCCTGCACTTTGGTAAAACAAGGTGACACGGATGGTAACTCAATGGGGCTTATTCTTGATGCGAGGAACGTTCATCGCCACACACTTTTCGGATCTGAGGGTAGACGCTCTCTGACAACGGTCGGAGATGACGTGCTACGACGTGCTTGGTCGAACAAGCCAGATTCATCCAGCCATATACGGTTTATATGATGAGACACATGGAAATAGAGTCAAGCTCTGAGGCTGTCTGAATCCCAAAGCGGTAGGACGGCCTTTGCTGAATTTTCTACGACGGTATCTGATAAACCTTATGGCTTAGATAGTTTTCTATCAATCGAAAAAATCAAAGACATTGTCCTAATTCTGCTTTCTCGACTTGTTCCATGTGGTATCATAAATGTTTCTTGTCAACTTTGGTTCTCTTCACGCCTCGGTGCCGACAACAAACTCCTTGACCTCCTTGTATGCCTTGTTCAGGTCGTCGTTAATGACGATCTTGTCGTGCGGCGCCTGTCCACTGTGCGCAAACTCCATCTCGACCTTGGCCTGATTGAGCCTCTTCAAGATAGCCTCCTCCTTATCCGTTGCCCGACTCCTCAATCGCTCCTCCAGGATCTCCATCGACGGTGGTTGCAAGAACAGGAATCGCGGGCGAGGGAATGTAGGGTGGTTCGCGACTTGCTTGACGCCCTAGACCAGCACATGTCAGTTCACATGCACATTGTACAAAGCAACTAGAAGAACATACCTCCATCTCAATATCCAAGATACAGATCTGGCCCCTCTCCGCGATATCATTCACAGCCCTAATACTGGTACCGTAGTGGTTTCCTCCGAACTGCGCATGCTCCACAAATCCCTTCTTCTCTACCAAGTCCAGAAATTCTTCCTTAGTCACAAAGTAGTACTCCTTGCCATCTTGCTCGGTTCCCCTGGGGCCACGCGTTGTGTGCGATATGCTGAAACCGAATTTACCTGGGAAATCGTCAAAGAGACGCTTGAGGATGGTGGATTTGCCGGCGCCCGAGGGACCAGAGATCACAATAGGCTGGTTGGCGGCGAGGGCGTCTCTGGAAATGGGGACAGAGTCGATAGGCGACATGGTGGAGGTGTTGTGGGTGAAGGTGCGGAAAGAAGGTGTGTTGTGGACGTTTTTGGGATGGAGATTAGACAGGGAGGGGTGAGTCAGGCGTAAATGCGTCGGAATCTGTAGGTTGATGCTTCGTGACTCTCTCAAAAGGCTTCTGGTGATTCGCGATAGAATCAATGGCATGCCTCTCGTGGATTTGGAGCTGCCGGGCGCTGCGGGGTGTGATTGGCGGTGAAGCTAAGGGGTCTTTTGGGGTTTGGTGGGGCTGCAAGTGGGATGGCGGCGGGACCTGGTGACATCGCGTTTTCGTGTTGGTACTGACCTCATCGAGCTGGGATTTAGCTTTCCACTCCATTTTCCTCTCATGTTACGGTGATTGCGCCCAAGAAGCAGGCCCTTAGAGTTGCGAATCAGTTGCCATGGTATGTTGCTTTCTGTGCACTGCATACGTCATTCTAACAACCCCAGTCGAAACAATACCTCACCCTCCACACTGTCGACTCGGCGCATCCCAAAGCGAGCGATGTCTTCGCCGTAGCACCGACTAGCACACAATTGCTCTCAGCTTCCGGTTCGAGTAGCATCAACGTCTATGACACCACCCAGGCCGAGTTTCCAGTAATACAAACACTCGACAAGGCGCATCCACTCGGTATACACCACCTCGTGACCGCGCGGGAAGACAAGGCACGACGGGCCGCAAGCGCAGGCTTCGAAGGCAAGGTCAAAATATGGAGCCAGGACGAGGATGGTGTCTGGAGTGAGGATGGAGAGATTGTTGGTGGGTACGCCTCATGCTTTCTTTGAGATCGCAGGAAGTGTTGTTTTTAGTGAGCCAGAGTGGGCTGACTTTGTCGCAGACCAGAACAAGCCTGGTGAGATATGGGCGATTGCACTGAGTGCAGATGGCCAGTACCTCGCGAGCACCAGCATAAACGGCAAGATTAACGTCTGGAGTCTGAACAAAGAAGAAGGAATGCCTCGGATACGCGAGTATGAGACCAAAGGCAGCTTTGGGCTCTGCGTAGATCTGGTAAACTTCGCCACCCTCCACCTATTTTTGTCAACGACGGACATGCTGACGTACATATCAGAGCCGCGATGGTACCTTCACAGCCTCTGGCCACGAAAACGGGTCCATATACGTCTTCAACAATGAAACCGGTCGTCTCGCACACTCCTTGGCCGGTCTCGTACACCCAGTCCGCAGCGTAGCCTTCTCCCCAGCATCCAAACTCCTAGCCGCGGGAGGCGATGCTCGAATCATCGCACTCTACGACGTCACATCAGGCGAGCAAGTCGCAAACTTCACCGGACATGGTGGCTGGGTACTCAGTTTGGACTGGAGCGATACAGGCGAGTATCTGTTATCAGGGTCAGCATCACTCCATTCACTCTAGCCAGAAATGCTTACTAACGTTTCGTGTCAGATCTCACGATTCAAAGGCAAAGGTATGGCGCATAGAAACACGGTCATGCGTTGCTACCCATTCTCACGGCGATAAACCCCTATGGAGTGCAAAATGGCTGCCAAAGTCACCTATGAAGAGTGAAATGTTTGCGCTGGCAGGAGGGAACAACTCAATCAGCTTCTACCGTGAAGCAGCAGGTTGAACACTTATCGACCTTTCTCTCAAACAACGAGAAGCACCAAAACAGCTATGTATCCGTAATAGCAGGGACGGACATGCGGATGATACGAGAAAGCTGCTGTAGCGTAAAGCGTGGTCTTGCAAGACTGCCTACCTGTATGCGCGGAGCGGCGTGTGGCAAGCTCTGTATAATCAAAACAACTGAACGACCATCACGTGTGCTATACACTGTGCATATCTCTAGTGCAACATATCTTTTGCCAATGTAAAACAGGAAACTAAACTGAAGACCCAAAGATAGGTGCGCTTTCGGTAAATTCTAGAGAGGCATGTTAACACGAAGTCTCGCATGTCCTTTTCTGGACCGACGATAAGTATAGGATGTCAATCTTTGGTAAACATATTTCGATTGTTTCATCATCTTCTTCTTCTACTACCGTCACTATCGGAGTAAAGATAACAGCTGGTTGTGAAACATGACAATCGCTCATTGCCCCCAGAAAGATAACGACCATCAGAGATATGCATACTCCTGCTAGAGCATTTCTTTCTCATCGCTCCTTCCCTGAACGCCTAAACACCGATTCCGCACCATGTAGGGAACGCCTCGTCCGCTAAGACCAAAGTAAAAGAGCACAGTTGAAAGAATCTCGAAAAGGCGGTCAGTTGCATACCTTACGTACTAGCGACACCAGTATTCTCAGCACCAGGTGGCGCATCGACCCTCTGCTTCTTAGCGTCTGGGCCTTCAACACCCGCAACCCCATTAGCACCAACATTACTGACATCCTGTAGCGCTGGCCTTTCTCTCTTAACACCACCAGGGCCGGCGCTGTTCATTGTAGGTGGCTTGTATGCGCCACGATTCGCGCTAGGACTCATGGCGTAGTTTGGTGCGCCAGGCATACCAATCCGGCGGTTGGCGTCCATTTGTGGATTTACGATATTGGGACGGTTGAAGGAGCCAGTTGATGTAACACCTGGTCGTTGAGGAGGTGGTTGAGGTGCAGGCGGCGCACCAACTGCGTCACGTTTGATGGGAATGCTGCGAGCGTGGTCGATTCCGGGTGTGCGTTTCTCTTTGGGTATGGGGGAATCAACGTTAGGATTGAAGGATGGAAGATTGCTGAGCGAAGTTGCGTCTGATGCTTGGAGAAGCTCCGCAGCACGAGAGGTGACGAAGCCTACCGGGGGACGGTGATTAGGAGGAGGTGCGTTTGAAGCAGGTGTGGTCGATTCTGAGGGTTGGGGTCCTGGACGTGTTTGATTTGGTGGTTGTGCTTGGGGTGGTGTAGGCCGGAGCGGTTGATTGTTGGGAGCGAGTTGTTGATTTGGTGGAGGTTGTTGTCCTAGAGGTCTTGAAGCAGCTCCGTTTTCCATTGCTGGTGGAGCCATGCGACCACCGTTCTGCACAGGTCGAGCCTGTTGTTGAATTGGAGTCTGTGGATGCCTTCCGTTCTGCATAGGGGGCCTTCCAGGTGCTTGATTCGGTTGCTGCTGTTGCATACCAGGATTTCCACGTCCGGCTTGTGGGGGCCTGCCATTTGGTTGACGAGGAGGGCCCGTATTCCGAACAGGTGATGTGCGAGCAGATGGTACACCATTTGGTTTCGCTGGTCCGGCTGCGCGTGATGCTGTGGTTTCTGAGGCTGACAATGTTTCGGAGAATGAAAATTCGTCACCGTGGCCCTCCGTGACATCGACTCCATCAAACAAATTCTCATCAGCATCGTCGTCGAAGTCAGCGCCAAAAGATTCGTTATTCAAATGATCGGTACGTGTGCGAAGAATCTGGTTGGGTCGGGACGGTGTTTGCTGTGGTTCCTGCTTGACCACGGCTTGCTCTTCAGGCTGGGGTGGAGGTTTGAAGTCGACGTGTCGGTAGAGACTGTCCTCCTGGAATTTGATAGGCTTAACCTTCATAGACTGAACTTTTTTGAGATACTCTTTGTCGTACAAACAGTTGCCGAGTACGTTGCCGAACGTGCGTAATGATCGTTTCAAGCCATCTGTCGCCGCCTCTTTCTTGGCCTTCTCAAATGATGCGGCTTTGCCTTTGCCGTTCTCTATCGAGCCATAGCCAATGTCCTGAAGAGCTATCAGTAAGAGTCAGATTGAGGATACGACGTATTTACCTCGTGATATGTACCATCCTTGAGTGTGATTCTCACCACTATTGAGAGACCCAAGCTGACCTTGCCGTTCTGATGCTCGTCGACCTGCTACTGTCAGCATGCATTCTATAGCCAGTGAAGTGAGCACATACGTAGTCAATCTGCACCTGCCCCAGCGAGCTCGACCAGCCATTGAACCCAAAGACTTCGTTCGCCAACGCTATCGCCTTATTTCCCTCTAAATACGCCACCTTGCCGCCGCCATTACCCGGTCGTTGTGATATGTATTCAGGCCCGAGTTGCTTGTTCAACCTGCTCTGTAGTGTCGCGATTTCCGTTGCTGTAAAGCCATTTACGACGCGTTCTTCGAAGGGGTTCTTGACGTTGCCGCCGCTGTACTGGTCGCCTGGCCTGCGTGATCGTTAGTCAACATTATTGGTATCAGAAAAAGTATAATCAGAAGACGCGTGAAGAGACTGTACGTACGCAGGCATTGTTGTCGTTACGAGGTGCTGGGCATGGGTCGCCGCTTTGCTGAAGTTGAGGCCTGGGTGGCTGAAGATGACGCGCCTTGGGAGGGCAGGAACGCGGTCACGCTAGTCCCGCGCTCACGTGCTCACAAAGGCAGCACCGACCCACCATATACTGCCTACACGGTAACAACGTCAACAAGTGTCAACCTATGGTTTGTTTAGCGGGCGAGATGCGCGTCAAGCAATCAAAAATTACTCACTTGAGTATTAGGTACGCCTGTATTGTACAGCAAAGCAAGTCAAATAGGCGGTCTCAGCGTCTCGGACGCGTCAACACTGAACATAGTATGATCTGGCGAGACGAAAAGATTCGATTTCGACGTCCCGAGTACGCCTGCAATGCTATATGATATCGGTCCCAAAAAACGTAGTAATCCCAATCTATCCCGATGCTTCCTTTCTTCTGCCGCGATCACTGGAGCTAGCCTCCTCATCATCGCTGTCTACGCCCAAAGAGAACGTAGAGTCGTTGTGCGACTCCCTCGTCTTCTCCGAGTTTGCGCGCGCATAGCCATTTCCTGGCTTCTTTGGCACATCATCAAGATCATCAAGCTCCCGTTCGTCAAAGTCGGCAGCCTCAAGATCCTGCCTGCGTTCTCTTCTCCTGAAGTTGTCAAGGCCCATGCCGGTTAGAAGAGACTCTCGTCCTTCGTCACTGTCGGTACCCTTGTATTGGCTGCTTGCAGCACGCCTACTGCGCCACCACAAGAAGCCGCAGAGGCAGGCAGCAATGAGGACAACGACAAGTGCAGCCTGGCCGGAGCGAGTGTAGGCTTTCCATTCTGCCGCCTTGAGCTCTTTCGTCTTGTCTTCTTCTGCTTGAGTCGAGTTGGGGTGGTCACCAACGCTGGTCAGTGGACCTTTCTCGCCGTCGATAAGGCTGTCGGCAGGAGCACCACCGATTGCCTCGATGTTGACTCCCATGAAGCGATCGAGCATATCGCGGGTGCGCCTGGGGTAGTCAAAGGGAACCATGTGACTGGAGTTGTAGAAGACGACGTATGTGAGGTTACGCGCCTCCTGCCATGTCCCAGCAGCTTCGCCCTCGAACATCCAATCCTGTTTAGCATTCTGTACACCGGGGGAAGCTTCGAAACCCTTGCCACCGTTCCACTGCATGTTTCCAATCATAGCTTCTGTACCAACGTGATTGCAAATAAAGTCTTTGTCACCAGAGAACAGCAAGACTGGAATCTGCTCGATGATTTCGGGCAGGAACTTGACAGCAGGCTCGCTCTTCCTGGCACGGAAATGGCCAGAAACGGCCCCGTTGCACTCTTGCCAGCCGGTCTTCTTGTCGGGGTTGATGTGAAGTGCCTGAATGACATCGGGGCGGCGGAGGTAAGGAGTGACTTGCGCAAGATCCGGGGGCCAGTTCATACCACACGACGAATCGTCACGGAGACGGATATCGTACATGTTGAGGCACTGGTTCATGTTGTCGGCCTTTGTGTCTTTGGTCTCCTCCAAAATCCTAACCATGATCTGCTCACACTCGCTTGTGTCGACAGTGTTCATTCCACCGGCGTCAAGCTTCTTGATACAGATCCTCTGTTGTTCTTCCACACGCCTTGCCATGTCCGTATCAGCCCGCATGAGACCATTCTGGTAGGCAAAGGGTATGTAGGCGAGATACTGGTCGACGGGGGATATCCAACCGTTTCCAATCATGAGTCCCTTGAGCGCCCATGGGGTTTTGGAGGGGTTCTGTTTGTTTCGATTGAGGATAGCACGACCGATGTAGGGGATGTGTTGACCAGCGTACGATTCACCGGCGATGTACAACTACGACATGTCAGTATCCCCGCGTCTCCACTTAGTCAAGCCACTCACATCGTCATTTTCGTATTCGGGGAATAGCGCAAACCACTTCTCCAAAAAGATGAGCATGTGGTCGGCCATTTGGTCGAGTTCAGTGAGGTAGCTGTTGGTGTTCACGTAACTGAAACCAGTTCCAACGGGTTGATCCACGAAGAGCAAGTTCGCGAACTCGTCCCATGAACCGTTGTTGTATTCGAGGTTGCCGCCTTCGCGCACTCTGTATGGGCCGACTTCCATCATGGCGCCATCCATCGAGGAGCAGCCAGGGCCGCCATTCAGCCATAATACTGTCCGTTGACGGTCTGCAATGTGGCGATTCTCGTAATGCCAAAAGAAGAGGTTGCCGTTGTTCTCTGCGTCGACTTCGATGTGTCTAATCAAGGGGTCAGCACTGCCTGCGCGCGCATCTGCCAAATCGCGCTTACCCTGCGTGCATCTTCAGCAACGGCTTTGGCGCACCGGGCAGGTCATGTATGAAGTAGTCGGCCTGCGTCTTCTCCTGTGCCATTATGCTCGGAAGCCATGATACTGTCGCCAGGAGGCCGCCTAGGAGCGCCGTCCGCCATCGCAGCGGAAAATGTGATGAGGCCATAGTGAGGCCGCGTGTCGGAGTGTGGGTGCCGCGGAGGATGCGGTGCGCAGTCGCTATATCATGGGAACTCCAGAGGTGGAAAGAGCAGCTGCTGCAGGCTAAAATAAGATGAAGTGAATGCACAGCCTGGCACAGTGTAAGGTATAGGCGCTGAGGTTGTGAGAAGTTCGGACTTCAAAGATACAGGTTAGGTGGCTACTGGGGCGGCTGACGAGTCCGAGTTGGGATCCAGAACCAGGGGCCTGTTGACGGTAGATCGTGAGACGTAATACACGCGAGCGTTCCACAAAGTGAATGACAGTTTCAGCGACTAGCCTGAATGTTGAACATGTAAAATAAATTGCAGAAAGTTAATTGACATGGATAATAAGTCCATATCGCTATTGAGGTACGTCTTTGGAGTGCTGTCCAAGCTTCGTTGTAGGGCCAATCACAGCACACAAGGCTCATTCCGGCTACTGCCTTCTCCGCGTCTCGAGAACGCGCATCGCGCATGCGATCTGACACGATTGAGCGTTCACTCATGCTTCAACCATGTGTCAGCTCCGCCCTCAGGCCGCGACTTTGCCGAATATATGCACACCACTGGGCGTGTCCGCGCGTCCCTAGCTGCCGATATTCGCATGCAATGGTTGATCCCACTTCCTAAGGTTCGGCCGGGCTGGCAATAACTTTTTGGACTACAGACTACTAACTATCTAGCACTAACTTCTCTATGCCGTCATGCTGCACCAACGTGAAAGTCGTTCTAGAGCATGGTAGCATCCACATCGGTCCGTCTGGTCAATACCCCGACTGAGAGCTAGAGTCCCGCCTAGTACTACACCGCGGACCCCTTTCTCATCCTTACAATGCTTTTTTGGGATTCCCGGAAGCGGTACATGTCAACAATCGTTGATCACTGTGTGCCACAGTGGCGCATGCTCATCTCCCATACTGCTGGTACGTAAAGATGGGATGCTTATGGCATATTGATTACTGGTCTTCAGAAGAGATCGTTCAAGCTCTTGGCTGAGTCTTTGACGATCAGCTCACGCATTCCCTATGCATCCTGTCAACATTGCGTTTTGACGCAGCAAATCGCTAAGTCTGCTCACCTTGGGCATGATTAGCTCTCCGTTTTCATCCTTGACATAACGGAATGGCATCTGTGTGCTCTCGTTCTTGTTGATCTTGAGATCAGGATGATCGATGTATGAAATCTTGTCGACGGGTACTGCGCCTCGTCAGCATCTTACACCAGCATCCGATTGCTCGACTCACCCTTGTCCTGCACGCAAATCCTGGTGACACGTACTGCTGTGTCGGTCGTCATCTGTACAGGTCCCAAGCGACGTCCTTGGTATCCTTTCTTGCGCAGCTCTGAAGTACGGTCTGGAGAGCACGTTAATCAACTGTTGCTATTTCGCACAGCGCTGCCGGTTTCACACACCTCTTGGCGGGTCGTCTCCTGATCAGGAATTAGCTCTCTCTCTATCGTACAACTTTGTCTGGATGAGCACGGATGCTTACCAAGTATACCGCCGAATAAGAAGATGTCAAATGTCTCGCCGTCCTCTGGGCTCAAGTCCTTGGATGCGGCAGGGTCCAGCAGACACACCTTGTCTTTTCTGTCCGCATAGATTTCTTCAATACCTCTTGTCTCGACATTGAGTCCCTTTGCACCCTGTAGGTTTGCCGGCAATTTCAACGACGTCGGTACGGAAGACAGCAGGAACTGTGCACCAGACGCATGGGATTCTGCCGCGATACTGGCGTACTCCAGAGAAGACCACTCTTCAAGCTCAGGGTCCAGATGTTCTACCACAAAGGTCTTGCCGGTGCCAGCCATTCTTAATACGATTGAAAGCGGGATGCGTTTCCGGTCTTGTGTTGTTTTTGGTGTGAGATTTTGCTGCAACAATTAAGCGAATTGGCCAACGGGCGGCGCTTGTGTGGGATGTTCCTGAGCTTGGATGCTGTGTTTTGCTTCCCGAATTCTGGATCGATGGTGAGAACCTTGAAGTCCTGCAGTAGTATCTCGCTAATCAGAGTAGGTGGTGGTGGGGAGCATGGCTGACCATCAGGGTTTGATAAAGTCTAGAGCTAGCGCACTCAAGCAGCCTATCACGCTCAAGCAACTATTTATCATGGTAAGCGGGGAAGCATGCTTTCGTAGTTGCAAGATAAAAAAAGTGCATCGTGATTCAATCCAAGCAGTCTGCGAGGCGTGTTCCATGTGACGACATTACGCACACACGCCAATGGCACGGAAAATGAACAATTCAAGCCTCATCGAGATGGGCCCTGGCGATCAAGGAGGTTAGGAGGCCAATGATGTGTACGCGTGACGTTGTGAGGGTGCTGAGTCTGGTAAGGTCCACGGCAATCCAACGTGCATCCGACCAACGCGCGCAAGGGCTAAGGTTTACACTTCTCGCGCGGAAACGGCTGCTCTGCCATTCATTCCTTGTGTCTGCTGCGTCAATTCACCCGTCAAGTAAGCCACGTCTTGGTGATTGTTTAAATCGGCCCACCCGTCGCCTGCCTACATATCCACTGCATCTACCCCTCCTTAGTTGACAGCCTCCCTCGTGCGAAGCAAGTCGAGAGAACACCAACGCTCGAGTCTATTACATCACTCACAATCCTCTGCATACTCTACTGCTGCTGTACACATTCAATCCTTTGCTCTTCTCGTCATCACGATCCCTCGCTTTGTTGCTTGATTCGCATCGTGCAGCGTCCCGGGCCGTTGGAACCTCGGGCGATCCAGGCTTATCGCATAGTCGACTGGATAGAGGGGCACTCCTCCCACTTGCACCAAAACATTGTCGTTTCAACAACGCCTGAACGATAAACCAAACGAGTCATAACACGTCAACGCTGTTGTGTTGTCAGGCAGCAGCAACGACCTACGCCCGAGCTCTGTCGGCACCCAATCGTCAGCGCTGGAAGCCGGATCAATCACGTCTATCCACCCTGTCCCTGTCACATAACGGGTAACGGTACTCGCCCAAAGTGGTCAGCGCGAGCCAACGACAACCATCTTTTAAACAAATTGCGACTTTTTGACCCTATTTCGTGTTATCCACCACACAACAAAGCCTCGACACGACACGGCGCCTTTCGCGAGCAGCTGCCCCTCTAAAGAACGTCACTTGCGATCCGCAACACCACAACCCTCTACAGTCGCCAACATGAACCCCCACCAGCAGAACAAGGTCGATGTCAGCGTACGTCACAATACTCCCTGCACGTTTCTGAGAAGCTCAGCAGCTAACATGGTGGTTTAGAAAATGTCCGAGCAGGAGGCCAAACTCTTCCGTCTCTATGGCAAGCTTCCTAACAAGAAGGACCTGCTCCAGAACAAGCTGAAGGTATGTCAAGCCTGCGAAGTACTGGGTCCCGACTAACGATCGCTGCAGGAGCGCAAGTACTTCGACAGCGGCGACTACGCCCTCTCCAAGGCTGGCAAAGCTGGTGACGTCGGCGTCACCCAAGTTGGTCGCGAGCACCCCAACCCCGAGAAGATCCCACACATCGCCCCGCCCACCCCAACCGGTCAGAATGGCAACGGCAACGGCAACGGCCATGGAAACGGCAGCATCAGCGGCCAGGGCGAGCTAGCAGGTAGCCCTGTCAAGGAACACACCTTCTTGCACCGTGAGACCAGCCTGAACCGTGAAACATCGGCCTCCGATTTCGAGAACAACGAGAACAGCGAGGCTCAGGGAGGCGCAGTCAAGGCATAGCTGGCACGCCCATGCCACTAGACCTTTGCGCTTCCCTTATCTTGCACTCGTTTGGCGCAACCTTGGATGACGGTGCCCAAAATGTATCTATACGCACCTTCGAACGGCCTGAACCTATCATCGTTTACGGAGTCGGATGCGGCGTTCCGGAGAGCCTTTGATGGCGGCCTAGCCTTTGTATCGGCACCACAACGCCTTACGGCCAACATCTCCCTGGGTATGAAGTTGTCGAGCACAAGGACATTCTTCACTTCTTGTGTAGTAAACCTGACAGAGGATGGTTGGGATTGCTGAGACTGGAGCTTGTTCCGGGTTCATCTCGCAATCAACCAGACTCCATCTTTCACGGCTATAAGCGTGTATGCGTATTTGAGTAGAAGACATCGTAGCAATATGAATACTGGAAAACTCACCGCTGTCTGCTCGTTGCAAAGTGACAACTTCGTGACTGTCAGCAGGATATGCTAGTGAGTGCGCTAGACCACGTGATCGTTGGTGCCTTATCCCGACACGCGTACATGTACATCCATGAGGGACGTTGCGTGCCTTCTTGTATCCAGTCGTCTTTGCAAAGCTACCAAACGTCTAGTTTTTTAAGCAGTTGTGTGGAAACATCGCTGCATTCGTTTGTACGAACAGCATGGCTCAACACCGGACCACGCATAGCTCTTTGAGCTCGTCTTCGACCTTCTGCCTGATACTTTCCCTCCCAGCTGAGTTGCGCGATATCATCTACATGTACTTTTGGGGTTTTCGAACGATTGAAGCCTCGATTTCTTGTACTCCACCGATATCCATCCTCGCCATACCCAAAAGTATCGTTCATGACCGATTGTCCAAATTGTTACTTCGGCAAAGAGGCTTGCCGATCTGGTTATCGACATGCAAACAGATGCTAAAAGAAGGTATGAGTTTGCTGTCGAGAGAATTCGCGTTCACCTCTTCCACGCTATCTACAATCCAGCAAGTGAAGACCATAGAAGAAACCGATGTCCCAAATCGGTTAATCTTTGAGGCTATCAGAACAGTGGTGCTGGATTGCGCAACACCAAGTTGGATCCAAGATGTAGATTTGGAAACGCAAGCCGAACCCGAAGACGCAATATTGCCCACTGGAATGAACCTCGTGCGGTGCTCACGGTATTCCAATACGAGGCCGAATAAACGGGGATCTCTCCCAGGAACTTACAGGTTGCGAGATCATCAGTTGTTGCAAATCAAACTTTGGCCTGCTGATGAGGCGATGCTGAACATCTTGCATAAGGCTGGCACGGGCGTCAGGGAGCTACATATGCACTGGATCTACGATGTTGGTACAATAGTTCCTGGCGACCAGCCGGTTGTTAGGAGCAAGACTTTGGACAAATGGGTTGGTAAATTGGAACGTGTGAAGGTTACAGTAAGAAGTGAGCCTAGTAAAACTTTTGCTGGGAGGATGGCGACAGATTTGGTGGAACGGACTGCGAAGAGGCTTGTTAGTGAGAAAGGCAAGGGCGAGACAAGTATGAGATGGAAGGAGAAGGATATAGAAGACGACGAAGGATTCAAGAAAGACGAATACAAGATGCAAACAAGGTATGTTGTAGTGGAAAGCCGCACTGGGTGAGTGCTGCAGCGTACAACCTTCACTCAGCAGGCGATTGGATTCTGTGTATCAATCTCCAGACAAATATCGACTCTCATTCTCAACGTAGGTGTTCCGGACGCAGCGCTAGCCAGATAAACGCTACGAAATCACTCCGCCTCCGTAGGGTTTATATAGGCCCTGGAGCTTCCCGCATACACCAACAAATTCTGCTTCCGCTGCTCAACTTAACCCTAAATCCATCACGAGCGGACTGAACATACCGCAGAACACACAGTCACTATTCACTTTCGCATCCTTCTCACGCAGAAGATGTGCTAGAGTCAGCCGACCTTGTCACGCTAGTGCCTAAATCATTGCCTAACCTAGTCCTTGATCTTCCATCGGAGATTCGAGATGAGATTTCCAAGTACGCCTTCGGAGATGCTGCCCGCTTATTTGTCGTCAGCAAAGAAGTCTTAGCTTATGCGTTCGCGAGCGCTTCCACCTACCGCGAGTATGACCGAAACACTGGCATACTCAATGGCCTATCCGTCTGAATTTTGACTCGTAAATAAGTTCTCATCGAAGCAATGGACGTATTTCGCCGCTTTCATACCTACCTCTTTAAAACTCAACAACAAATCTACCCAATTAGTAAAGAGTATTGCAAAACGCATCTCTGTCCGCCTCCGAACACATTTACTTACGGTGCTAGAGGCAGAATTAGCAATTTTGCCTTCCAACCTGGCATCGACGCTTGGTTTCTGCTGGGTGCCGACGAGCGTGAGATTGGGATTGATTTAGGCGAACAGAAAGAGCGTGACCGTGAGCGGCTTAACCTAATCTATCATGGACTTTGCAAAGACCCGTGTCTGCAGTTGAGATGGAGACGCTCGTGGATTGATGGACATGGAGACTTCGGATCTAATTATGTCAATTGGCTGCAAGGTGAGAAAGAAATTCTCGATTGCCTTGTCGCCAAGTGGAACGGCTGGTTCCGCAAGGTGAGCGTTACTATGGAGTACTCTGAAAGGGATCGAACAATGATGTCAAGGATTATGGGACTTGCTGAGGAGTGCTTGCGAAGACTTGCTGGCAAGGCATGGGAGAGTGAAGTGGAATTCTGCTGGACAGAAGAGGCTTCGGTTTCACGGCTTAAATTTTGTGAACTCAACACTTGGGTGAAGATTCTGCTGGTTGAACGTAAGGTTTCAAGAGGTCATTGCTATGAGCCTTGCGCAATCAACTAGTGAGCTCCTAGATAGACTCGGTGGTTTTGGGAATGTATCAATCTCCGCTGTTGTATTCAACGACGTGGGACATATAGTCTTCATTTTAGCTTACTCAAATTGATACGGCGATAGTACTGTCTCGATTCCAAGCGTGAGAACCTAAGCAGCAATTCAACTAAGCTGAAGACTTTTATCTACTCCTTTTCTTTCACTATGGAAAGAAGACCGTGCCCATAATCACAACCGCTGCTAGCACCGTTACCGGTTCTCTTTCGCGTATAACATTCCGCCGTGCCTTCTCTTGTCGGTTACAAACCCGAATCAATCTACAGCCGATATCCACGCTTACCACAACCACTCGATCAACTTGGTTACTCACATCTCACTCAGTCGACAACTTGATAACAGCAGCCTCAGCTGTATTCCACATCTAGAACATAGAGGACGACATGACTAGCAACAGGAACCCGCCGTCTAAGAAGCGCGCTGCATCACCAGCAAAAGGCAGTCGTACCTCCAAACGCTTACAAGTATCAAGCAAAGTGTCTCGTCCACCACTCTCGAAGATCACCTCTCAGCATGGAAGCGCGCTTTTAAGTCTCCCTCGTGAGATTCGAGATCAAATCTGCACGAATGCTCTTGAAGAATCACCTCCTACATTTCGCGTGGATAAGTCCATGGTCATTGCGACACACAATCCAGAAGTTTCCATCGAGGCCTCGAAACCAGTATGTCGAGGTCTTCCACTCTGGATGTTATCTAGTCGACAGGTGCTTTACGAAGTCCTGGATCTAATTGCACGGACCTTCACTTTCCAGCCACTTGGGCGGATAACTGGTCCTGAAAGAGAACTCGCGGGAGCACTGAATCCACTTATCTTTACTAACGACGGCGTACGAAACATCAAGCTTCAATACCTGTTCAACATCCCGAAAACGTATATCCGCAAAGAATACATGAATAATCCTTTCCTCAAGCTAATAAATGACTTGTCTCTCCAAAACGCGTGTTTGGAGCTGATTTGGGGATATAGAAGCGTCCGGTACGCCTGGATGCCGGACAAGGCCGAATGGTTCATCGATGCGTGGAAAGGACACTGGAATGGCAGATTTCGCAAAGTCAAGATTGAAATTAACGTTGAAACAGATCCTGAGCAGATGTGGATCATGGGCGAGGCCGAAAAGTGCGCATTGAGGCTGGTTGGTACTGGTGGATCCGTATCTTGGACAACCCTAGACAGCCGCGATGTTCAGTACTACAACATGTACAGGAAGCCTACTCTCTTGGCACGACATGAGAAGCGGTGTATAGTTGCTGAGCGGAAGATATAACAAGGGGGCAAATTAAAGGTATTCGCTGTAATTCTTCTCAAGGTACTTGCAGCATATCGCAAGTGTATACCCTCAACGTAGACTTTGTATCAAATGCAACTGGACATCAGCCACTGGTAATGTACAGTATTATGCTCCACTTCCAATGATATGCATCATACCCGGCCGGCCATTCCACCTTTAGTACCCTCATCCTCCCCGTCTCCGACGCCTTGCTGCTCCGGTGCCCAATGGTGGTCCTCTTGACTCTTGATCAGCTCATGTACATCCAGCCTCAAGTCCACTATCTCTTGTCCGTTCACAAGGTCATTCTCATCCGCCCTCTTTCGCGCTTCCTCCTCATTCTTGGCGATGCCAGCCTTGACATGACGATGAACCAACCTCTTCCGCGCAACATCGAACTCTACATCCACGAACCAGAGCTCGTCCATGAGCTTCGCTGCTTCGTTCCAGGGCGCCTTATCCAATGAGCAGTAGTTGCCTTCGAATATGACGATGCGTACGGATGGCGAGATGGCAATGTCGTTCTCGACCGGGTCTTTGAGCGCGTGATCGAAGCTGGGTGCATACAAAGTCGAACTCTCTGGACATATAGGCTCTCGTAATTTCTTCACCAGGCTGTAGAAGGAATCGCCATCAAACGTGAAAGCCGCGCCTCTTCTAGCATGTGCGCTGTCTGGATCTGGCATTGCATCAAGCTGCTGGCGTGATAGATGGAAGCCATCCATTGGTATGAAGGCTGCTAGTGGATTACTGTTGGCAGTACCTGGCGACTGTTGTGCATGTTTCTCGTTGAGTTTGGTCGAAACTATGGCTGCGAGCGTTGTTTTGCCTGGTAGTGGTGGTCAGCTGGTTAGAAAGCCAAACTTGCCATGTATGTACGTACCAGACCCTGGAATGCCAGATACTGCAATCAGCAATCGCTTCGACGCAGGAACATCTTGATATTTGTCTATAACCAAGTCAATGCGTGTGTTGTAACCTGGCATCCGGTGTCATGTACCCCAAACCTTGTTTACGAGGCGTTCTACTTGCTCTTCCATGTTGATATGATGTTTATAAGATGGTATGATGCTAAAATCTGCACAAGGTCTTTATATTTTGCTATCCTAGAGTCGATCGGGATCGCCAGTGTCCAAGGCGGGATGGCTGCTTTTTAGTTCGCCCGTCCGCACTTGCAGATTGTGGGGGCTCGGCATCGTGGGTGGACCCAGCATCAACCGCTGACGTCGCGCGGGAGCATGGCGGCTGAGAACCGCAGCTAGCCTTTCTTCCATTGCCAGTGTTGTACCGCTCCTACATATGTAGAACATCAACCATTTCACGTAGCAAACTCGAGCAGTACTGAAAGGTAGACGTGGCTTGGAAGACAGAAAGCAACAACACCATTGGCAGACATTTGCGGTATCTGAATGGCTGGAGATCGGGTACCTTGTAACCGGCGTATTGTAGCTATAGCATCAAAGAGTGATGTGTAAAACGAATAGTGATTCTTATCGCGTGCCCTTGATTTGCGATTGAAGACGAGAGTAGAGTTGTTTTGGCCATGGCGTCACATGCTAGCAAAGCCCGTCGTCCAATCAAGGCACAGCAGGGTCCAAGACAGCTCTGGCTGGGCATAATGTCCGATATTGCCGGCGCATTGCTGTCGCAGTCAGCTAAGAGCTAATCCAACGTAGCAGAGATATGCTTTGAAGCCTCGCGCCACCGCTGCATGTGTCTTACGGTCTAGTCTGCAACCAATTGGCCGACGCGTGGTGAAACGCGTCATACCCGTCATACTTCACTATGCTTCCGTCCACCCTCCTGACCCTCCTCTTCACGCTTCTCTCACCCGCGTCCGCCATCGACCACAAAGTACCGACCAGCAACGAATCGCTGCTATGGGGTCCTTATCGCCCAAACCTCTACTTGGGTCTTCGCCCCCGCGTGCCCAAGAGTCTAGTCGCGGGACTCATGTGGGCGAAGCTAGAAGACGTTGAGACGAGTAAGTAGTCAATGTAAGGCTGCGCCTACAGTGCTGACCAGTAATGCAGCACTACGCCACAACGTAAACCAGAGCGAAGGCATGGCCCGATACGGTTGGATCACATACGATGCACGAGAGGGCGGCAGGCAATCCATAGAGGATCCTGGGAACAAGATAAACCTCGTGACTGAGTTTGTAAAGTACTCTGAAGGCCAGAGCCAGGGCAATTGGGGATTGCGCGTACGGGGCATACCAAGATCAGACGCACCGGAAGACTTCAAGACAACTGTAGTCTTCTACATTGGCATGGAGGCCATGGAAGCTTGCGCCGACTGCAAGCTCGAGGCGCGTCAGCAATTCGAACCTGACGACGACAAGACTGTCCAGGCAGTGAACATGAATATTGCGCACCCAAAGTTGGGTACTGCTGGTATCCACATTCCTGTACCTATCAACGCAGAAGAAAAGCGTGAGGTGGCATACATTAAGACGCTGAACGTAACAGAAGATAAACTATGGCAGGGCAAATGTGAGTGCAATGAATGCCAAATCTTTTCCACCCTACCTATCCGTATTCCAAGCCTCATCTGTTGGTGGGAGTAGCTAGCTGATGAGTTTGTGTGACAAGCCACCTTCCTGAATTCGTTGAAAGACCAGACCAAAGACCGTAAAGAGCCAGGACCAAATGACATCGTGTTGCGCAACGCCCCGAGTAACGGTAACATGCAATTAGTTCAATTAGTGTGCCATGGATCATTCGAGGTTAGTCTCACTGTGTTACGTCTCTACCGCGACTGACCTCCTGCAGTTCGATATCCTCTACTCCAGTGACTCCGCGAAACGAGCCATGACTTGTGAGTTCTCGTTCCAGCTACGTCACATAGCGAAGTGGTTAAGATCCAAACATACTGACACTTTCCAGCCGCTGGTCTCACTAGCAGTCTAGAGAATACCCTCAAGTCTTTCGACAAGAACTTCGCCACCACGTTCATCCCGAAAACACCCTTTACCACCGACCAACACCGCGCCTTTGCTCAAAACACCTTGTCGAACCTATTGGGTGGACTAGGATATTTCACTGGTACTGCCAAGGTCGACACATCAAAGAAAGCCATCTATGCCGAGACGACGGGAAACTTCTGGCAGAAATCAGTCGATGCGAGGAAGCACTCGACACCCAAGATGAAAGGTCCATACGAACTTCTTACACATACACCGTCGCGCGCGGCCTTCCCAAGGGGCTTCTTGTGGGATGAAGGTTTTCATCTCTTGCCCGTCATTGAATGGGATGCAGATCTCGCTTTGGAGGTGATAGATGATTGGCTTTTTCTCATGGACGATGATGGCTGGATCGCAAGAGAGCAGATCCTAGGCGCGGAAGCAGAGGGCGGCACGCCTGCTGAATTCGTCACTCAGTTTCCACACATTGCTAACCCACCAACAATGTTTTTGGTCATTTCTAAGTTCATCGATATGTTGAAGGGCAAGACAAAGTACCATGGCCATGACTCGGTTTACCTTGCCAAAGCTGAGACTGGAAAGGCCTTGATGGCAAAGATGTACCCGTACCTCAAGAAGCATTATGATTGGTTCCGGAAGTCGCAATCTGGAGACGTGGAGGCACATTCCATCCCAGCGGCCAACTTGAACGAGGGTTACAGGTGGCGGGGTCGAACACCAGGAACGAACTTCGCCAGTGGACTGGATGATTACCCTCGGGCAGAGCCCCCTGACATCACCGAATTGCATTTGGATGCATTGTGCTGGGTTGGCGTGATGGCGCGGACCCTTGAACGCATTGCGTTCTTAACAGAAAATGCACACGACGCGCTCACATTCCAGAATCATATCCGCGGCGTCAAGACCAACATCGACACCATACACTGGGCAAAAGAGTCGAACATATACTGCGATGCCGTCGTACGGAATGCCCTACATACAAATGCCTGTCATAAAGGCTATATCTCAATCTTCCCGCTTCTCACTGGTTTCACTGATGCATCGCACCCGCATCTACCAGCCATGCTTACCCTTCTTCGCGACCCCGAAAAACTATGGACGGACTTCGGCGTCCGTAGTCTTAGCCCTGGGGACGAAGCCTATGGGAAGGACGATAACTACTGGCGCTCACCCATCTGGATCAACATGAACTATCTCATCCTGACCAACCTATTTGATCTCGCCCTGATACCCGGCCCGTCACAAGAACGCTGCCGTGAAATATATATCGAGCTCCGTCGCAACATTGTCCATACTGTATTCAATTCTTACCTCAAGACAGGATACGTATGGGAACAGTACGACCCTATTAGAGGTGATGGACAACGCACGCAACAATTCACTGGCTGGACGTCACTGGTGGTCAAGGTCATGGCGATGCCTGATCTCGAGAAAGACGATGGCATGACGGAGAAGATGAAGGGATATTATGAGGAGGCAAAGAAGCAGGCCGTGCAGAACCAGACGACTGGGGCAGGCAGTTTGGTGTTTGCGGTTGTGTTCATGGGGTTCGTGTATCTGACGAGGAGGAGGTTTGCGGGGACCTTGAGGAGTTGGCGGAGGACCAACTGAACAGGCCATGAACACAGCATGAATATGGAAGGCGCAAATGCGAAGATATGAATCTGTTCAATCATTGGCTTAAAATGTAGAAGGGGATGGGTAGTCAATTACTATCGCGGCAATTACATTCTCAGTAAATGTACGCTTGCTACGTCACGTATGCTGTTCAAGCCGCCATTGACGTTACAAGTAATCTAATGCTACCATCCATCTATCTGCACATGCCTGCATATCCATCTTGCTGAGCAGCAGCAAGGTACCTGCAGAGGCTATAGGTGTCTGTATCCTTGTAGTAGACCACTGCAACCGCGCCACCGTTTCCTGCAGGAAACTGGCTGCCTTGCTCCCACTGTGGAATCTGGATCTGGAAGGTAGAAAATGACGAGTCAGTAACGATATACCAGCCAACGTACATAACAAGGATGCAAAGTGTTGATATAAGGCAGCACGCCAAGATCGTGTAAACTCACCCATTTATATGTATCATCTTCGTTGGAAGGGCACTTCTTCTTGTCATCAGGCGTGGTCAAGAAGCGCGATGCTTCTGGAACCGCACCCGTAGTTGCCCATTCCTGGACGACAAGATCTTGGAGTTGAGCTGCTGTGACGGGAATGTATGTGCCGTCATAGCGCTGGCAGGCCGTGTCAGAGAAGCCGTTGAACGTTGCCGCTAGAGCGGAGGCTGAGAAGAATGCGGCGGGGATAAGGTGCTGAAGTTGCATATTGCGTATCTGTAAGGAGTAGAGTTGTGGTGAAGGATGCGGGTTGTGGCGATAAGGGATATTCCAATCGACGAGATGAGTGAAGGTACTTATGTGTCCAATACTGTAGGCCCGGAAGAAATGATACTCGCTCATGCACTGAACTACAAAGAGGCGGGCATACGTCACACTTGCCGGGCTTTGCTGTCTTGGAAATACGGTCAATCATTTAAAGGGCAGCAGAAAGGCCGAACGCTCGGATATCACATTGAATATCGTAAGGACTGGCGTGTGTGACGGCCAAAACAACTACTCTACCAGTTCAAGCAAGGATAACGCAGAGAAGCCCCACGAAATTGTACCATGCGGTTGGTCGGACGGAGGGCAGGTTGCGTGAGTACATACGTGAATAACGGTCTGAAGCTTTATCGGGCCGAATATAGAGTGATGTTATTCATTGTACTTCAGAAACATCCGTAGCTTGTCGCAAAACAGACCTTCAGGCCACTGGAGGTGGCTGAGGCGGTTAATCAGCCGTGGCTGGAAAGACCGTGATACACCGAAGTGAGACCGGCCGCATGCTAAGCAATTACGCCAACCCTGTCAACATCTGGTGCGTACGCGCTTCCAACACCAGAAATAAGCACTGCATCAACGATAACCAACTGAAAGCCGAAGAAAACAATCCACCACCCAGGTTTGTTCAGATAAGACGAATGCGGTGCATACCTGTCGCTCGGTCGTAAGGCACCCCTTCCGGTAACATGCCTATGTCGCTGTCGTATGGCTCCAGAATCTCGCGATCGTACAGAGCCTTGTGGTCTCCGTATGGACTCAACTTCGTCAAGCCGACTCGTTTGAAAACTGGCCCAGCTTCGTGCTTTTCGTCGAGCTGTATTATCAAGCAAGTAAGATATTTAGATTCCCGCGAAGTCCTTCGGTCGGTAAACGCAGCAGGAACAACAAATATGCCCGCGTTATGGCCTAGGATCCCTTCGTTGTCGTTATCAGTACCATCTCTAGTAGGACAGTCCAGATACACATCGGTATGCTCTTCTTTGTCGATATTCACGCGATCGATCAAGCGCCAACCGAAGCGATCCGGAGGTTTCTTGAAGAGGACTGCTTTGCGCAGTTTTGCTTGGAGGTCGATATAAGCACCGCGATCGAGCATGCCAAACTCGTCAGATCCCGATCGTGGGGTTACTGATACCTCTTCGACCATTATGAGAAGATCCCGGTCAGTCACTTCGCCATACTTGATGCCATTCCCTTTCTCAGCATCTATGGCGGCCCAGGAGAAAGAAGGTGCACGATACATCGTGGGTTCAGGTGCGCTGGTGAGATGTTCGAAAGTACTATCAGCATGGCGGAAGGTTGGCTCGACATACCACAGGAGCTGACTTGCAAGGTGCAGCGCCCATAGACCAGCTACGTACTGGGTAGTCTTTGGAAGCCCATGGTCACTGATTTCGGCAGAACCGGTGGTCTGTACAACCGCCGCTTTCGGAGATTCTTCGATTTCCTTGGACATCCATCGAGCCATTCCAGACAGCGCGATGAGTTTATCTCCAGGCTGCGTGACGGCAGTCCTGGAATATACCTCAACGATACGGCGCCAAAGTTCAAGAGCATATATGCCCGGTTGAAGGTGAGGATCTGGATCCTTTGATCCTCGCAAGCGCATCTTGCGTAACCAGACTCCATCTGTCGAGGCATTGAGACCCTTCAACCTGCTTCCAGCTCTTATACCATCGGGTGTAAGTTGATAGTTTGGGATACCTTCTGGCTGTCCTTCAGCAGCCTCGAATCCACAACACTCCCAGGCCACCTGACCTTGGCAGAAATGTAACACTCTAGGAGCCATGAGACGCTCCTGAAGCACCCATCCTCTCTTGTTGACAGGCGCTTCATCCACCCGCTTCTCCCAAAAAGAAAGGTCCAAGACTGTGCACCGTCGTAAAGCCTTTCCCTTGGCATCTTTAGTAGCACCCATATCTGACAGATCAGTCTGTAGCATGGCTCCCCCGGCCTCCTGTGAATGCGACGAAAAGCTTTGCGAAGGGCTCCAGAAACCAGGAAGACCAGCAATGTTGAGCATGACTTCGTCTTCAACCAAGATTTCAGGTGCACGTTCGGAGAAGAGGCCCTGCTCACTGTTTTCTGCAGCAGTAGCAGAGAGATTCAAGAAGGCATTGTTGTACACCCTGTCCATGCTGGCAGACTGCTCCAACCAATCCGCTTCATCGCCTTGCTTGATGCACAGGCTATCAATCCAGATGTATCCCACCTTTGGAAGCCGTGCTGCAAACTGCATGGCTTCGCGAAATGTTATGGGTAATTTGTTTAGTTTCATTCCGTTCTTGAGTTTTCCAATGTTCTCCGATGTCAGTTTGGTGCGCTTGCTTTCGTCTGCAACGATCCCCCAACAATGTGAGAGAGTTACATACCATACATTGTTTGCTAGGCGCCCATCGTCCTCCTTTGGAGGTCCGTCATACCATTCACATGTTTCTTCTAGATGAACATCGACCTCTTTGTACGTTTCGACTGACTCTAGAGTCTTGGTATACAAAATGCGTTGTGCCTTTAACTGTTTGAGGCTGATGAGTCTCGCTGGATAGAAGCGAGGTGTGTCAGTTTTCAGGCATTTGCATCGAGCCATCCACCGAAGGGTGCGCTGGAATACTTCATCAGAAGACGTCCTCTTGGATATTGGCGTCTGGAAAGGTGGTGGTTCAATGGAATCTGTTTAGCTTGTAAGTGAGGGATTGTAAACAAGCTTAGCAACTTACCAATCTCTTTCAAAACGAAGTTTCTTTCACATTGAAGTTGTTCGTATCGCAACTTGAACTTGAGACAATACAAATGATCTTCTCTGGAGGGGGGGATGAAAAGAGATGATCTCACTTCGATGGTGCGTGGATCATCCTCCTTAACATCGTACAGTTCCGCACCCGATTTGACTAACTCTTCAAACAGAACACGGCAAATCCCACAATTCGTTTTCTTCGAATGGTATAGATCTTTCAACTTGGTGTGGTGGTTGAAATGCAGGTCATAAGTCCCTCTCCATTGCCTTCCTTTCTGCAGACGAAGCATACACGAACAAGTATTACAGAGCATATTGATGTGACCGAGGATGATGGAAAGATGTGGGTACTTCTTTCCGAAGTGGAGAAGAGCGGACTGTCAGAACACGACGAACTTATATCTCGCAACGTGCGTCTGCATGGTTAGGCGCCCAGGATGAAACCGTCCTGGCTTCTATTACATGACGTGGGGGCACAATATTCACACAGGGATTGACCGTAGCGTGAGCCATACAAAAGGGAGTCCCGAACGGTCCATGGTAGTTCAGCTCCAACTGTATACCCAGTGAGAGTACGGCCCGCATCAACCTTGGATTGCAGCTCGAGAGGCGGCTGACCTGCGGACATGAACGGAACGGGAAAAGAAAGGCTGGAAACACTTTCCGATATGTGAGCTCTGACGTTGCAAAGGCGGAGCCAATGAAGGCACGGCCCGTATCGAGACCACCCGAAGGGCGGCCAATGGAATGAACCCGATATTCCAGCCTTCGGGAAAACAAAAACTCAGCGGACGCATTTGGAAAATGGTATTTCTCCGCTAAAGCTCTGTGGAGAAGTACGTCATGACAGACTGGATGATTGGATGTCATTCTATACGCTGTGGGTATCTTCAGTGACTGAAACCATAATACCAATTTCGATGACTGGAAGATGGCCTGATCATTGGTATCCCCCAGGTTTAGTACTGGGCCTTTGACGAGCTGACCTTCACCGGCTGCAGGTGAGACACGACTCATTCACTGAAACCCCGCACCCACGCTTTGTGGCTGCATATTTTGTTCCACGCTTGGTAATCTTGGAATTTAAACATGGGCGCGATAACCTTCTCTCTCCTCTGGTATAGTACAGACTGACTGTTAAACAAGCTACACTTCCGCTTTTTACGCCCAAGGCACGGACGACCTCAGCTTACGTCGACTGCGTACTCATTGGCTTTAGCGCAAAGTAGAACTTTGTAAGACACCAAAAGTCATAACACTACCGTCTTCCAGCCTGCTCTTTACACTTGGATCAAATAAGCTGACCCGCACGACGACTAGTCTTCTCATCGTACTATCAATCATGGCGGATGAGTTCATCTTGGACGGGTTTCGATCGCCTGTCACAGTGAACTTGGCCAGAAAGATTACAAAAGAGAAGCTGTTACAATTTCCTGCGTTCCGGATCTGGAAGGACACACTTCAAAAGAACTTGGAGCTTCAGTACACGGACAAAAGCCACGCATTTCACGATGATCCTTTTGATCTTAGGAGCATTGAGATACAGTCAGTCGATTACTTCGGCCCAGTCAAGCTCGGATTTGTGAAGCTGACATCCGAGCTACGGAACCAAAAGAACGACAAAAAGCTTCCTGGAATTGCATTCCTCCGTGGCGGAAGCGTCGCTGTGCTCATGGTACTCCGACCTGTGGATTCGAGGGATGAAAGATGGGTAGTTATGACCGAGCAGCCACGAGTACCGGCAGGTAGTCTGAGGTTCGTTGAAATTCCGGCTGGTATGCTCGACGACGCGGGAGATTTTAGTGGGCAAGCTGCGAAGGAGATCGAGGAAGAAACCGGTTTCAAGCTTCCGAAGTCTGAACTCATCGATCTCACTAAGCTAGCGCTGAGCCAATCCACATCGGAAGGAGAGTCCTTACAAGACGCAATGTACCCCAGTCCTGGAGGATCCGATGAGTTCATTCCAATTTTCCTATGGGAGAAGGTACTTCAATCCCGATGTGCATTCACGTCAAGTAGTCTAACTAGTTATGTAGGAACTGAATCGCCAGGAAATCATGGACCTCCGAGGGAAGCTGACAGGAAGCAGATCACAAGGAGAGATGATAAGACTGCGTGTCTGTGACTATGAGGAGTTGTGGAAGCTTTGTCCGCGGGATGCAAAGACTTTGGCGGCATGGGCGCTCTATGAGGGTCTCAATAGGGAGGGCAAAATTCAAGAAGAACTGCAAAAGCGTAGGGGACAGGAAATCGATTGATTTGACTAGACTCCAGCAGGACGGTTGATAGATCAAATGCGACGCTAGTGGTAACCGGGTGGAATCTCTTCTCGGGTTAGATCGATAGCGTCCAGTGTGTGACGATTTGTTCTCCTTCATTTTCCCAAACAGCAAGAACTAGGCAACTAGACCAATTCTATCAACGTCTGGTGCGTACGCGCTTCCGACACCAGAGATGGTGATGGTGTTAGTACCTGTAGTGCTGAAGCCCGACAACTCCACGCCATAATTCTTGTACACATCTTTATCCCAATTGTACCCGCTCAAAGGAAAGCTAACGGTCTTCGCGGCTCCTCCGTTCACGCTGACCGCTGCGACGCGCTCGTTGCTGCCGCCCATGTAGTCAACCTGGCCATTAATATAGTCAAAAAGCACTGTCTGTGTAGCTTTGGACGTGCGAATATTGGAGATCGTTACACGGCCGTTCGAAGATCCACCCAGGTTACCGACTTTATTAGAAGATGTGCAGCCGGAACAGGATTGGGTGTTTGCACCCGAAGAGAGTGAGCCAGTTGATGCGGAGACGAATGTATAAGTGGGCTTCGTAGCTGTCGAGCGGCGAATGTTGGAGAGACGGATGGCGAGAGATCCATGGGCTTTGACTTGTTTGGAAAGAGAAGCTCCGCTGATAGTCGTGCCAGTCCAGAGATCCTTGATAGATGCCGAAGCTATATCAAGCTCAGAAAGCTGCAGGCTCAGCGTACGAGCAGTGTTGCTGATATCTACGACTAGGACAGCCATATCCCCATTGGCAAGATCGCCGGCCCAAAGGTCTCGATCTCCACTCCAGCGCTGACGCAGCGTGACCGGCTTGACAGCTGAGTCTTGGTTAATAGCAATCAGGTCCTTGTTCTGCAGAACAGCAACAAGCTCATTTGATAAAGCTGGAACATCAGTCGAGATCATCAGCGCCGACTTCAACATGGCCCATGCAGCGAAGTGAGTAGCTTGCTCGTCAAACGTCATACCAGAATTGCCCACCATGAGTAGGTCAGCATCGGCGATATGTCCGGGGCCTACTAAGCCGGACTTCGCAATGTGTACGGCTTGATTGTAGATACGGAACATAGACGCCCAACCTGACGTGATGTCATCCGACAGCCGGAAGGATGTAGAGATGCCCTTGGTCCACTGAACAGGTCCTTGTAAGCCAGTAGATGTGCTGAAAGGTACACCCCACTGGCAGATCAGCAGTCCAGGGATGCCGACTCGTTGAAGTTCTTTCCACATGACGCCAAAGCGAGAGACGAAATCGGTCCTGGCGTTTTTGGGGGCGTTCTGGCTAGCTGCAGGTCCATCGGCATAGCAGTTGTCGTCTGAAGGGTTGTGAGTACGGTGATCAAGATGGAAGATTACTTCTCAAAACTCACATTTAACGTATTCGGTGTTCAGCGTCTTGAAGAAGTCGGCATCCGCAGCTTCGTGGCCCAAGGAGCCTAAGACAGGGCTTGGTGCTTGCGGATCGCACATGCGCACACCAGCATCCGAGTACATGGTCCACTTCATGCCTTTGGACCTTGCAAGGTCACTCAGAGGCTTCAAGCCGCCTGGGAAGGCCTTGAGATCCACCTTCAAAGCGCCGCTCGTCGTGTTACGTTGTCCGTCTCTTGAGGCCCACCCACAGTCGATTTGGAAGAACTTGTAGCCTGCATCAACAAAGCCACGACTGGCGAGAGAGTTGATGGTGGTAGTTATCTTTTGGGTATTGGGACTACATGACATCTGGTTGTACGAGTTCCAGCCCATCACTGGCGTTTGCTGGAATGACTGCGATGCGACATGGGTCACCCCAGCAAGGGTGACAAGGACAGAGTTGGTCCACATCATGGTGAGAATATCTTAGCAGGCAGTTGTGTCCGTACTCAACCATCTAGATGTCTGGCATCTTTATACTTCTGCATTTTGAGTTTATCGTCAACACGAAGAACTGGCCACTAACCTTTTACCGGTGGAAGGAATGAGTTCATGCGAATGTCTCTCGTATATCGGGAGTACTCCTGGATTTGGAAAACCTCGCGCTCAATAATTTTGAATACGATGCGCAGATCATAGGGCTATGGTGCGCTACTTGATTTGCAACTTATTTCTTCCGCGAGATAAATTGACGTTTGAGGAGTATTGCGGGGACTCCATGATGCTGATTTGCTAATTAGGCAGTTGCGTGGCTGAATGCGCGAAAAGGGTTTAGGTATCGGGAGCCTGTCCTGTTTCTAACTTTGCGAAAGATGCGTACAAGAGTACAGAAGTTATCACCCGGTTTCCCCAGCTTTCGTGTCGCGGCGTGGGTTTCGACATCGATTTTCCCCACACCCGGCCTACTTTCCTTTTTACCCCGCGCTCGCTTCACCTTCCGTACTTGACAGCCGACACAGCATTCCGCCTTCCCTGAACTAGTATTCCGCGATGCATTATCCCCATGTTCGCAACCTCAACGCTGCAGTCGTCATTCTATCCTTACGCTCTGATCACTCGTCGCCTCTTCGCTCGGCTAAATCGCCGCTATCACCAGTCACAGAGCTCTAATGTTGACTATGTGGGCCCACGGTCTACGGGGTATGGGGGATGTGCTCTGACTCTGGGGAAGTACGGTGGATCTCGAGACGACCAAACGCTTATGAGGCTTGACAAGCTTCGCACATGAGGATAATGATAAGCGGAGAAGATCCCGAGGCTGGGTATGAGAGCATGTATAAAGAGGCGATTCTCGCTGTGACCCCGTTGCACATCACGAAGTTCGGTACAGGGCTCTGCATTGTGCCACTTGTTGACACCCCTCAATTTGAGGATCTTTCCTCCCGATTCTTCGACTCCTTCATCCCACCCGCGACTACTGCCGCGTTCTGAGCGAGACGGTGATATCTGCTCAAGTAGCACTCCACCATGGCGCGCAAATACCTTGGAGGCTCTGGTGAGCGACTGACAGTGTGGATTTCCATCGCTGCTAGTACGGTACTCATGTAAGATGCGATTCGAACAACCCCTGTCGTACCTATCTGACGCCTAGCAGCTTCTACGGTTACGATCAAGGTGTATTCGGCAATGTCATTATCTCGGAGAATTTCCTTCATACGTTTGGATATCCGTCCGCGAATATGCAAGGTGTAATGACCTCCATATACAACATCGGATGCTTCATTGGAGCGATGTCTACCATCTGGACTGGCGACATCCTCGGACGTCCAAGGCAGATTATACTCGGTTCGACAATCATTGGTATTGGCGCGATCATCCAGACATGCAGCTGGACCGTAGCGAGCATGATGGTCGGGCGCATTGTGGCTGGACTTGGTACTGGCATGAACACAGCCACGGCTGGAGTCTGGCAAGCTGAGACAAGCAAAATGAATAGTCGAGGAAAGCTTGTCATTATTCAGATGGGTATGTGCATACCGGCATTTGCGATTTTATCTCAGCTGACATGTTTGTAGCGAACTGTATCACCGGCTTCAGCATTTCAAACTGGCTCACGCTCGGCTTCTCGTTCGCACCACGCGATATAGCATGGCGCTTCCCACTAGCGTTCCAACTCTTCTTCACTTTCTGCATCTACGCCATGTGCCCTTTCCTACCAGACTCACCTCGTCTACTGATTCGTAAAGGAAAACATGACGAGGCCTTGGAAGTCCTTGCTGCTCTCGAAGGCCATGGAGCAACGCCGGAGTCAGCTTCGGTAATCACACAGTACAACATTATCAAGGACATCCTAGACCGTGAACATATGAACACGTACACGTGGGTGCAGCTCCTTACCGGCAAAGGACCTAGCGGTGTCCTGCGGCGTATGCTTCTCGGTGCTTGGATGCAGGCTATGAACCAAATATCAGGCATCAACGTTACGTCCTACTATATGAGTTATATCTTCATAAATGCCCTGGGAATTTCGGAACTCCTTTCGCGCATTCTCGCGGCCGCCGGCTCGGTCGACTATCTCATATTTGCTTGCTTGGCATACTTCGTCATCGAGCGATATGGACGTCGCAAAGTTATGATGGTCTCCGCCGGAGCATGTTCTATCTGCTGGATCGTCATTGCAGCGTCTCAGGGTCAGACCGAATCAGGTGGCGACTCGTATAAGCTGGGTATCGTCGCAGTTTCGTTCTTCTTCGTGTTCTTCGCCAGCTTCGGAATGGGCGTTCTAGGCGTGCCATGGCTGTATCCAACCGAGATCAACGCCCTTGAAATGAGAACCAAAGGCGCTTCGCTCGCAATGGCGACCAATTGGATCTGTAACTATGGTGTTGTGCAGGCTACACTTCCCGGTATCCAAAACCTAGGCTACAAGTTCTGGATTATCTGGGCAGTCATTTGCTTTTCATTCATTCCGATTACATACTTTCTGTACCCAGAGACAGCGAACAGAACCCTAGAGGATATCGATCGCTTCTTCGAGACTCAACCGGGTATCCTAATTCATCGCAACAAACTTGCTATCCAGTTACACCGCCCAGCCGAGTTTATCGAAGCCGATGCGAGAATTGCTGCGAGTGAGGAGGCGAAGTTTGAGAAGGAGATCAGCACGGAGCATGTTGAGACGAAGGAAACGGTGTGAACAGTAGTATACACCAAGTATAGACGCTCTTTGACAAATATTAGCGTACTTGTGAGCAAGCCAAAACAATGTCATTATAACAGCGCAATGATCGCTTCGGACGAAATACTTCTTCCATCACTAATAAGAGAAACTTCGCCGCGATGATACGCGGCTTCAAGGCTGTAAGACCGCTTGATCTCTCATCCGCCCGATGACTTGGCTGCAAGTCTTGCACAGTAAAGATCTTTGAAAAGCATCAGCTACAAGGCTTGTCTGGATAAAGGCTCATCCAAGCTTGTGCCCTCGGCACGCTAACCGAGAACGCGTAACTTCAGCTCATGCCTACTACTACCAAGTCGTTTCCCAGTGACGCGGCGCGACAATTGTTACAGCCGGCGTACTATATTTTCCTTCCCTTTGGATCAATGCACACGTATTGCGACATTGCGCTAATCGGGAGATGCCGTCACTACAGGGCTGGACACCGCCGATCTAGGTTTCTGACAGGGCACGCATGGACAAGAATAGGGTCAAAAGTTTGGCAACAGTGATCTGAGAGATTGCTAGGGGTTACTCTAAGCATGGATAGAGACTGCGGCCATAGATCTGAGTCCCCTACTGCGATGACCATAGTGAAGTAGATGGTCCGAGTCAGGACTGGCAGGAAGTACATAATGCTCGAGAATCCGCGAGGAATGTTTTGCTTACCACCCAGCTCACCAACCTTCTCTACAGTTGTCCGGGGATACCCTCTCGTTATCTTGTTATCTTCTCATTGTTCGTACGCTCACCATGCGACACTCATCTCGCGCCACGGCCGCCGCCATGGCAGTAACCGCCAACGCAGCCTCGCTGACTGACCTCTGCACCGTATCAAACGTACAGGCCTCTCTCCCTTCCAACGGCACTCTCTTGGGTATCGATTTGCTCCCAAGCACTGTAACCGCCAGCGCCGTCTACAATGCTACTCTTGGAGGTGGCGGTATGGCGTCAACAGCTACCGATGGGACTACCTACAACTACTGTAACGTCACTGTTAGCTATGTCCATACTGGAAAGGAGGATGCTATTCCTCTCATTTTTGCCTTTCCCGAACCTTCTACTTTCGCCAATCGTTTCTATCTCTCTGGTGGCGGAGGCTACGCGCTCTCTAGCGTTGCGACAGGAGGTTTGCCATACGGCGCTGCTTCTGGAGCCACTTCGGCCGGCTACGATGCTTTCAACCAGAACTTCGATGCAGCGGTGTTATACGGCAATGGAACGATCAACTGGGATGCCACCTATGCCTTCGCCTACACTGCCCTCGGAGAGTTGACGAAGATTGGAAAACCGGTCACACAGGCCTTCTACGGGTTGAACGACACCAAGGTCTTCACTTATTTCGAGGGATGCTCTGACGGTGGCCGCGAGGCTATGAGCCAGGTCCAGCGCTGGGGTGAGGAGTATGATGGTGTTGTGGCTGGTGCACCCGCCTTCCGCTACGCACAGCAGCAGGTTCTACATGTCTACCCTGCTACAATCAACGTTGTCAACGACTACTTCCCACCGCCATGCGCGTTGGACAAAATTGTCAACGCTACGATTGCAGCTTGCGATCCTCTCGACGGACGTACTGATGGCAAGTAACCTAAACTATTATACAAGAGATGCGCTCTAACACATGTCGCTGCAGGTGTCATCTCCCGTACCGACCTTTGCAAAATCAACTTCAATCTTAGCTCTCTGATCGGCGAAAGCTACTACTGTGCTGCCCAGACCAGTACTTCCCTTGGCTTCGGCTTCAGCAAGCGCGGCCTCAGCAAGCGTCAGATGCCAGGAAGCCAGACCAGTGCTCAACCTGAACAGAACGGCACCATCAATGCCAATGATATTGCATTGGCGCAAGGTGTTTACGATGGCCTTCATAACTCCAAGGGTGAGCGTGCATACCTCTCTTGGCAGATTGGCTCGGAGCTTAGCGACGCCGAGCCAACGTACAACAATGCGACCGGCGAGTGGGAGCTCAATATCCCTTCCACTGGTGGCGAGTACGTGACTAAGTTCGTCCAGCTGCTCGACTTGGATAACCTCGCCAACCTTGACAACATCACCTACGATGATCTCGTAGAATGGATGAACATCGGCATGGTCCGCTACCTCGACAGCCTGCAAACCACTCTCCCCGACCTCACGCCTTTCCAGTCTTCCGGCGCCAAGATGATCCACTACCACGGTGAATCTGACCCTTCCATCCCTGCTGCATCCTCGGTCCACTACTGGCAGTCTGTTCGCTCGATCATGTACCCTAACATGACCGATGCTGAGGCTCAAGAAGCCATGGCCGACTGGTACCAATTCTACCTTATTCCCGGCGCGGCGCACTGCAATGCCAACGCTCTCCAGCCTGGCCCTTACCCGCAAGACAACATGGCTACTATCATCGACTGGGTTGAGAACGGAGTGAAGCCTAGCCGACTCAACGCCACCGTAGCGTCGGGCACCAACGCCGGCGAGGTGCAGCAGCTTTGCCAGTGGCCTGCGCGACCGCTTTGGTCTGGAAACAGCTCTGACTTTGACTGCGTCGAGGATAAGGCATCCATTAAGAGCTGGACCTACACTTTCGATGCTTTCAAGGTCCCAGTTTACTAAGTGTATATGACCTAGCATGCTTAGGTTCTGTCGCATGAGCAACAGCTCATCTACAAAGGGGGGAAGCTGTGTAGGTGAAGACCAAAAACTCTTGAGCTCATTGCGGTGATAATCGGTTTTGTGTGTGGGATCATGTTTTGTTCTCGTGCACTTCTCTCACTTCTTGTAATATATTAGAATGCCGCTTGGCTACCACAGAATGACATCGGTTTTGGATTCCGATCACTATGGCTCGTTGCAATATCCATCAATGAAATTCACTGTCAGCTTGTTCCGGTTTTCCTTCAACAACGTGTCTCGTCCAATTTCGAGCAGATTTCTCACGTCTTGTCGGCAATCTAAATGGTATTAGTCATAAGATATAAGGTCCCTGAAAAAGACACATCTTACCTAGGAACAGCCCTCTAAGCTCTTTTCCTTGCCCACTAGCCAGCCATGCACACGTCTGCCCACAAAGCGAAGGCCCATCCTTGAATAGATCCTTGAAGAATTCTTCATCTGTAACATCACCGTACTTCTTCTTCACGTCATCCGCCGCCGGAGCTAAATTGCGTTAGCATGGACACAGCATCAACCTTGCCAGATTTGGTTTTACCTCCGCCCATGTTTCCTTTGACACCACCCGGGTGTAGCGCATACATGTGAATCGCAGGATCCAGTCCATCAAGTTCCATCTCAGTCTGCAGTGTATGTGTAGCGCGAATGAGCGCTGCTTTGGAAGTCACGTATCCCAATGTCATGGGTACATCGACGGTACCTGAACGGGAGGCGATGTTGATAATGCAGCCGTGTCCACGTTCCTGCATTCGTGGAAGGATGGCGTGGATAAGCATTAAAGGCTAAAATTGTTTTTTAGTGGAAAAAAACTGACCGGATTAGAGGTGAACTTACGGCCTTGAAGTTGACTTCGATTTGTTTCCAAAATGTCTCAAAATCCCCCATGATGAAAGGCCGCTGAGTAAAAATCCCGGCGTTGTTCACCAGTATATCGATTGGTCCTAATTGCTTCTCCACCTGCCCAAAAACTTCCTTCACTCGCTCCATATCCGTCACATCGCAACCATACGCTTCGGCCTTTCCTCCAAATGCTGAACATGTCTTCTTGGTTTGGGTGAGCCTGTCGGTGTTGAGATCCAGAATGGCTACATGGGCCCCGGACTTCGCTAGCGATTCTGCGATGGCGGCGCCGATGCCTTGACCAGCTCCTGTTATTAGAGCTACCTTTCCGGCATTGGAGCCTTCTAGGGCAGACGGTACGATGGGGCCGTATGGAGCATGATTTAGAGGAATGGTACTGTAGCCGAACTGTGCTGGATCCATGCTTGTGTTGTTTTGGTGTTCGATTTTAAAGTATAGTAATTTCGCTCTCCAGGACGGGATCTGTCGAAAAGATGTGGAAGTTTGACATCCTGTATGTATACGAACGGCATGATTCCGACACGGTACAAGTCCGATGCGGGGTGCTGTTGGGGTAGCTGTTGCCCCACACGAAGTATGTGGGGTAATTCAAAGCCGACTCGGTATTTGAGTATGGGCTGGAAGAGAGAGTGATGGTATCTTTGAGCTAGAAGGTATTCTTGACTGGCGAAGCTTCAGGAAGCGTTCTGGCGCATCGCGAAACTGACGCGTAGTGACGTATTTGCGCGCGCTGAAAGAGGTATAGTGTACCCGCTACACTTCGGAGAGATCTGTAGCACGTTGAGATTGCTCTAGGCTTCATCTACAACAACGTGCTCATGGACGATATTGCTACATGGATTCGAAGATGTAAGCCGGTCATCAGAATATGCACTCAAACGGCGCCGGTTGAGATAGGGATGCAAGAAAGATGAAAAGCGGCACGCGGCGCGAGAAGAGTCCAAGGACCCGACCATCCACGACAGCCATCCTCCACCCACTTCATCTACAGAAGTTCGCAAAGACAGCATCAGGAACCAAAAGTCACAGTCCAAGAAATTCATCATATTAAAAATGCGAAATACCGTGCCATCAAAAAGGCCTCAAATCACCTCAAACCGCCACGACAGGGATTTAAATTGGTCGCCCTTTGTCACAAAAGCTTCAGGCATTCCTTAAGTCAGCAGCACATGACTCAACCATTGTTCGCCAATTCGTGGATGTCTATTGAAAGATGCACCAGCACCTGTTATAGCACTGTGGCGTCTCTAGAAATCATCCTTCTACAGCACGGTTTGACGACATAATAGCACCTCACGACACCTGATACTCCTCCATATTAACAGGATTTCGGTCATTGTCTCACGCTCACCAATTTAGATATCCCTGTGGATATATCACTGGAATCCATGGATTGCGGGTGAATGTGTAAACGCAGTTTGCTTGCATTCGCTATAAGTAGACGCAGCCATGCGTTCACAGTAAGTGGCTTCGAATCTAAGCTATCTTGATCATTGCCTAGGTAAAGGTTTGATTGTGAACATGTCGTTCCTGAGAATACCAAATCCTGTCTTCTTTCTACCTATATTAGGGTGTCTAACATACCCAGCCTTTGGGGAGCAAGCGTGCGAAGCATCTTCATTCCAGGATTTGAAGCTATACGGCGGTCAAATTCTCAACATCACAACAAAAACACACGTCAACCTGTCATTCGAAGCTCCCGCTGAGCAAAATCATTACGCTGTCACTGTGAACGGCCTGAACGCTTGCGAAGTCACTATTACATACACACATCCCGGATATAATGACACCATCAATACCGTCATCTGGCTGCCTTCTACTGAAAACTGGACTGGAAGGCTTCTAGGCGCTGGTGGTGGGGGTTGGGCGACAGGACCTGAAACTAATACCACGCTTCTATGGGCAGCTAGCGAGGGGTTTGTTGCCATTGCGACAGATGGAGGTCACATCGGTAATGACATAAGCTGGTCGCTCGTCAGTCCTGGCAATATCAATTGGGTATTGTTGGAAGATCTATCTTCGGTTGCGCTAGATGATCTCGCCACGCTTGGAAAGGCGGTCGCGCATTCCTACTACGGTAGAGTACCAAGCTACAGTTACTGGAATGGATGTTCCCAGGGTGGCAGGCAAGGTTATATGATGGCTCAAAGGTATCCAAATCAATATGACGGTATCCTGGCAACTGCTCCAGCCATATACTGGAACGAGTTGATGATGCAACTCATCTGGCCGCAGGTTGTCATGAATGAGAATGGTACGTCCCTTGCTGATATTAGAGCAAATGACTAACACCAAGTAGGATTTCCATCCCCACAGGAGTTCGAGGCTATAAATGTTGCTGCCACCGAAGCCTGCGATGGGCTAGATGGACTAAAGGATGGCATTATCTCGTTACCCCAAGAATGCACTTTTGACCCAATGACCGTTGTTGGCAGACAATACATTTGTCCGTCTACGAACCAGAGCATGACGATCACAACCATGGTAGCCACGGTAGCCAAGATGATATGGCAGGGTGCTACGACAACCGAAGGCCATTTTCTTTGGTACGCTGGCAACATCGGCGCCACATTTGCTGGCCTCGCTTCAACAACGTGTAAGAGCAACAATACATGTGTCGGTGTACCGTTTGTCGTACCCCAGACATGGATTACCGACTTTGTTCTGCGGGATCGTGAGTACGATACTGGAGGACTCAATATCTCGTATTTCGAAGAGCTCTTCTACCAAGCTGTGGACCGTTATGATTCCATCATCGGAACGGCGAACTCGAACCTCGATGGATTTCGCAAAGCGGGTGGCAAGCTTCTCTCATGGCACGGACTTGCTGATCAGGCCATCGCGCCTGACGCGACTGCGCATTACGCGCAGCAGGTCAACGAGCGTGATGCGAATGCTAGCGATTACTATCGATACTTCGAGGCGCCAGGTGTCGATCATTGCGGCGGTGGACTGGGCTGGTATCCTGGAGACGGTCTTAAGGCTCTCATTGACTGGGTAGAGAAGGGTGTGGCACCCGACACGCTTCAGGCGGAGACAACAATGGGCAGGAAGGCGGAACTTTGCTTATGGCCGAAGCACATGGTATATGTTGCTGGAAGTCCCAATGAGGCAGCATCGTTCGTATGTCAATAGGCAGCAGTTCCAGTCACTTGTACTACGGACATAGGATGACTACATTTTCGAGCGTATACGAGCATCGTGCCATTTCCTGTTCAGTCAACAACTGCATACTGCTCCTCTATGACCCGAGTGGACTGTAGCCTGGCCAATCAGGTTTTCCAGATGTTGAACGCGATGGGTGTAGCGCGAGATTGAGCACTGGGGATGCTCTGCGACTCCACCCACCCCAATACAGGTCTCGTACTCTCCTTACTTCTCTCATCTCCAACAAAAATTTTCTCATTGTTTTCATATCTGATATATGACGTTCCCTCGAACAAAACCTCTGCTTAGTCGAAGTTATAGGCTCTTTGCCCTCGATAAGAAGCTGGTGGACTCGTCACAAGGCTGGATCGCGCCAACAAAATGGCGGAAGTTCTCGCCATCCTCGGCGAGCAATGTGCCTGTACAAAATGCACGTGTGATAGATACTGATCTCTTACGCTCAAAGGTGGAGTCGGATCAATTGTTAGTATTGTGGATGGTATAACCAAGGTTATTGGCATCATCATAGATCTTCAAGCCAGATGGGGTGAAGCGGATCTCGCTTTACTCAGTCTGGCGTCCCAGCTCACAGCCTTGCGGGCTGCCACAACTAAGATTCAGGAGTGGATAGACCAGGATCTCCAAGACACCCATCATCAGCTTGTGATGGATTTGGATGTGTCTATTTCTTGTTGCAAACTGTTGATGGACAAGGTTGAGAGTTTCTTTACCAACATGGCGCAGCTAACAGAGAAACCACTGGATCTTCGCGATAGATTCAAGACCGTTTTTGGCAGCAGCGGTCCAGAAAATGCACAAAAGCTCATCGAGCACCAGACGAGCGCACTGACTCGATTGTTGACAGCGTGCAACTGGTAATTACTGCGACAGCCTAACTCTTGACGGCCCAGGCTTACATGTCCAGCAAAACACTCTCTGCACAGCAAAGATATCTCGAAACAAGTAAGAATCGTAAAGTGCTCCATCGGGCGAAAGCAAATTCGGTGTCACTGTATGTCCATCGTGACTCTGCCTCTCTTACCAGCAAAATGACAGATAATCTGTCAAAGATCTCCCGGGTCTTCGAATTTGACTCCGATGTCTTTTCTACTGGAGCTTACGAGCGTGCATTCCGAGGCTCCGTCAAAGATCTTTTGAAAAGACGACCGCAGACTTTGAAGACCGACTCGTTGGCCGCACTGAAGACCGATCCTACGTTCATGAATAACGGCTTGAGAAGAATCCGTATTCTAGGACAAGACCAAATTGGCAAAGAATCGCTGGTAAACAAAATCGAATCAGCTGATCTGATCAGTCAGGAGCAACATTACTTGTACAAGTCGAAGTTTTGGGAGCTATGCATCGATCTTGTATCCACCATTGTCAAGGATCGCTCAGATGTCTGCAGTGAGGAGGATGTGTGGATTCTTACGTCGTATGCAGTTTTAGAGCCATACTCCAGTCAATTCTCGGTGCGTCAAGATGCTCGGAAATCTTGTGTGAGGATCATGAGAAAAGCTGTAGAACTGAACGAAGAGTTTTCTTCAGTTGCTTTCAATTTTCCAACTGATCGTATTGAGTTCGAGGATATGGTCTTTTGGGTCAGATGCATACCTGGTCGCGGGTCAAGCATCAGCAGTGGTAATCTTGCAGCAGAATCGTATGCTACATTGACCCTTGAAATCACATATCTATGCTGACTGGTTCTCAGTTTCATCAATAACATATCATACTTTCCAACCTCAGATGCATCCGACAATCTCGATTGTTTCAGCGATTGCGGAATAATTTGGTATATGCAATTGGACGCTCCTAGAGCAGAAAGGATGATGGAATCCTCCCTCGAAACAATACTCAACAAAAGTGTATCTTTCCAAGTTACATTTGGAGCTAAGGATCTGGTAACAGTCATCGATGCGCGAAGTCACTATGATGAGGACGAAACTGCACTTGTGTTTGTTTTCGACCTCCAAGACTACAGCGTTGATTCTCGACGATTCGAAGAGCTCAAGGGAAGGACTGAAAGAAACTCACTCCTCTTAGCAGAGACAATCATCTTTCCTTAACGACCGGTTGTCGCACTTGTTTTCAGGAATTTTGGCACATTTGAGAAACAAGTGAAGATGTTTGGATTCCCATTGGAAGGCAGCCAGCATGTGTTCGATCCTGACGTCGCGATCGAGCATATCAAAATGAGTCTTAACAGTCAACTCAAAGCACAAGGATGGGGCTACACATTTGCCCTTAACGATAACAAAGATATGGACCCTATCGAGACTCTTGAGCGTCTTCGAGAGCTTATCACCAGTGTCAACAAATCTTCCGTGACACCTGAGAACACATCGAGCCCAGAAAGTCAAACTCAACTTTCCAGCAAGACTGTCGAGAGCATTGGCGTTGCTTATTGACATATATCGACTGATTTTCTGTTCTGCGACAAGTTCGTAGTCCTTGCAAGCATCTGGAAAGGTACTTGTCTATGCTCCAGTTCTCAAATGAGAATTGTGAAAGAATTGAACATGGCATTGTAGCTAGGACTCCTTCAACAAGGAGTTAATCGATGACGAGCGCTTTCCAGGTTTGATCTGCCTCTTTGAACCGTGGCTACATCGGCTTGTTTACATCTTCTACGAATATGAACGAATGGGTCCGAAGACTACACCCGCTGCGCCAGGATGAGTGACGTCTCATTCAGTCCCTGTTCTAGTTTACGTACGAAAAAAACACACACAAAAGCCTGAATATCGACTAGCTTCACCATACGCTTTGGTTTAACGACGCGACCGTCAACGATTTGAATCTCAAGTCCGCACCAAACTCGTCAAAACAATTGGATAGCATTAGCCAACCGTATCTCTGGCTATTATTCTGGGAAGATAGCATGGTTCTTTATGAATGAGGGAGTGCGATCATCCTCATGGGCTTTAATATATATGTGGTGTTGTGTTGCACATTCTGTGGGCTTGCGAAGAGTTAACCTTGGGTGCGGCCGTTCGTGCGTTCCCTTTGAGGCGACCAGTAGTTACTGAGGCTGACATTATGTATGGTGTGATGAAGCTGCAACCATTAGCTGTCTCGACAAGCCATGTGTCGAAGATTTCAGTATCGACTTCACACTCTTGGTAGCTGTTGGCGATGTTATTCTGAAGCAATTCGGATGGCGTGTCACGTCGTGTTACTTTCATACCAGCACATCTCTTATCGTTATCGCCACGTGAGCTAGCGCTGTATCGTTCCCCTCCTCCAGCCTAGCATTTCTCAACTCGTCATACAACCATATTCAGAAAAGAAATCACCATGGCAAAACTTCTCTCACTTCCCAACGAGTTGATACAGCACATTACATCTTTTCTTCCCTGCTCGTCAGCTCTCAACCTTTTCAAAGTCGACCGAAGACTACGCAACATCTGCAATGATAAAGTGGTATTTCAAAATATTGCAAAGTACAACTTAGAGCGATCTCTTCTCTTAGAGAATGGCATAGAATTGTCAGAAAATTACTGGGCGGAAAGCGACGCCATCCTGAAGAATGTTCCTCTTCAACAGACGATCCGTTTAGCATACGCAGCCGAACGATGTATACAAGCGTTGCTTGAAAAAGACGATAGATGGACATTGAGCACATCTAAGCGGCTCAATTCATTTGAGATTACAGAATGGCTGCCACAGATGATAGCTCTTCACCATCCAGCCACCTTAGAGCTCAAGCCCCAAACCTTTCTGCAGCTCCAAGGCCAAGTGCTGCTTAGGATGCGGGTGCCGAAATCGATTGATCCCGACCTTCTCGGCGCCAACTTCGTTCTCGGCTACACCCTTCTTGCACAACTCAGAAAGACTAGCAACGGGAAGCAAGTCAAAGAGGCCTTCGACCGCTTCTTCTCCGTGAACCGCGCCACAGATCCACCAATCACACTGAGCAACGGCGTAAGAACCGATGGAGACGCTGTCAAGAGTCTTAGACAGCGAGTGCGGGATTATGGTTACTTCGGAGATACATTTGACTTGGACCAAGCTACGACATTGCTCCCCACTCTGATGCTGGAGCTGGAGCTGTCTACACGTCACTTGACTCCAAGTCATATTACCGAGCTTCCCTCACCTACTGGTATACCTTTCTATTCTATGATGAATGTGCCACCTGTCTTCGACATAAAAAAAACGCCCCCCTTTGACGATGGAAGCATGCCATTCGGCTGGTGTCACCTTGACAAGATGGTGTCGCCCGACTTCCTCTCTTCCGGCTGCTGGACGGGCTATTACTCTGATCAGCGACGTTACTTGGGACGACGGCGTTTCGACCCTGCAATGCGCGATATCCGAATCGTTGCTAGGAGGCCATGCAAAGAAGAGCTAGAGGTCGACTCTTCTCTCACGGAATGCACGATAGTCGATCAGCAGAGCCGGGGAGTAGATGCAGTTGGAGAGTTCTCATTGCAAGGTCGTGTTCAAGATGACGGGTTTGTCTATTTGATAAAGAGGTACTTCTCGGAAGACACCATGTGGACGTGGAAAGCTAGCATGACACCTTTTGGTATTGTGGGCATGTGGGGAAGCGATCAAGAGAGATTTGGAGGGTACTTTTGGATATGGAAGAAGGAGTGGTGTTGACGCAGTCAGCATACTCTCTTGACACGTAGAAAGATGATACGATGATCTCACGAGAAACACACGATTACAGATGGACAAAAGACGAGAAAATGGCCTTGTTGATTGGAGCAGAGCCTTTCTCTTAGAGTGTCGACATTCATATGTCTATCTCCGTTGATGCATGTAACGAGGTAGGCATAACACCACAATGCGTCGCCCTAGTATGCCTCGCAAATATCATCTCAATAACCAAAGACCCATACTCTCATGTCCCATATCCAGTAAATGCGCCACCACAAACGCCATCAATGACCATAACCACGTAATCGTCCTATTCTAGGTAGACATTCTAAGAGCCTGCCTAGGAGGTGTCCATAGCATCACCAGCCGGCGCAGCAGCAGCATTACGCTCCGCCATTTTCTGAGCGAGCAGATTCGCCTTCCAGTTCTGGATCTCCTCTCGGAGTTCGTCGTTGGGGATGACGTCCTCGATCTTGAGTGGCGTGCGGTTGAATGGATCATGTGGATCGCTTAGAAGATGTGCTTGGATGGTACCACGATCGACGATTTGTTTACTGACAGGGAGCGTGACGGGGTCCTCCATGAGGGAAGCGAGGATGGGGTCGAGGTATTGGTCGGGGATTTCTCCTAGATCCGCTTCGACCATGTCGGCTTGGGCCTTTGCTTCTTTGATGCGGTCTGACATGGATTGCCATTGTTCCATCTGCTCGGGCGATTTCAGCTTGAAGCGCTGGAGGATCTTGTAAGCTTCGGTCATGTATTCCTCCCGATAGGAGCGTCCGTCCGTAGCCACAGCATCGATGAACGACTGCTTGCTCTCTAGATTGAGGTACACGTCGGTGACCTCAGCCAGCATGTTCCTGGGGTTCCAGCCATACTCCTCAGGGTTCTCGACCTTGAGTTGCGACTTCTTGGGGCCCACAAGCGCCTCCAAGTTGTAGTCCAGCATATGCGCTAGTCGCACGACGACCTCCTTCTTGGTGAACGAATCGGCAAGCGCCTCTGTGAACAACTTCAACATGGCAACGGTCTCATTGGTGAGTTGCATGTAGCTCTTAGCTTTCCCTTGAGCTGACGCCAGCTTCTCTTCCTGTTCTTGACGTGCAGTCTGCTCCATACTTGCTGGTGCATTCTTCAGCTCTCTTGAAAGATCATGAATCTCCTTGAACGCGGTAAACGACTCATCTAGAACGAATGTTACATCGTTCAAAAGCAGGTTGACGAATTGGACGAAGAAGTCCAGGTTGACACGCGCCTCGGTAGCAAGATGCTCTCGGTAGATTGGGTTCGGCCAAATACACTTAATGACTTGGAAGATTTCGTATCGTATGTTAAACTTGTCGAAGAATTGCGTATGGGTTCCTGTGCTCTCACATTCTATGTAGAACTTCATGAGCGCGTGCAGCAGGTGCTTCATAGCGAAGTCGTGCGCGAAGAGCGTGTCGCCAAGCACGCCCTTGGGTCGACCAGGAATCCCCCACACTCCGTGGAACAGAATTGTTACCAGACCGGACTTCAAGTATGGATTCTTGATGTATTCTGAGCTTCGTAGGAAAGCGATACAGATCTTGACCAATTCTTCGCACTGAGTGGTTGTGATGATGTGTGGCATGTAGCGAGTGATGAACTTGAAGTTTCCGACAATATCTTCGACGAAATATTCAGGCAGACACTTGAACTCTACTGGCTGCTCTTTGGGCAGAGGCAGCTGGAGCTCAGACTTGGGGAAAGAGGTTCCGGGCGAAGCAATCCGTAATAGCCATACGATGACATATCGCATCAGTTGCATAGACCGAGCCTGCATAGTCTCGTCAAGCAAGACACCCTGGATTGCTAGGATGCTGCATTTACCCCGCTCGATCTGGTCCTTCATTTTCTTGACATGGTTATCGAAAATAGCAAGCTGCGCCTGGCTGGTCATGTACTTTGACCGCTCAGGTTCGAGCTTCACAAGCTCCTTTTCGAGCCACTTCACGTCCTTTTGAAGGGTACTCAACTTGGTGTTCGCAGCCTCCAGACCATAGTGATGTGCAGCGACCGTCAGGAAGAAGACCTCGCTAATGAAGTTGTTGGTACCCGAGGCTTTGGTGCTATAGAATTCATCCGACGTCTTTTGATCAGCATTGATCTTGGTTTCGTCTTGGATGTCGACGCGAGGGGATCGGCGTAGGTAGTCGATATCGATTCGATCAATCTTGGCGAATGTAGCGTCCATAAAGGGCTCACACAGACGGTCTAGTATGACTGTCACATTGACCATGAAGCCGTCTGACGAGACTTTCTTCTTGTCGACTTGCATCGCACGCCTCATATGGTTCTTGTTGACCGTCAGCGCTAACCAGTCTAGCATCTTCTCGCGAGACTCCTTGTTTTTGATGAAAGTATTTGTGATGTCGAGCAGTTCTTCCTGATGAGTCTGGAGGGTCATGCGGACGGCGCGTTGTGCGTTTGCGATGAGTCCCTTGTCAACAGCGGATGAGCCAGCGAAGTAGTTCATAGCCACTTCAGCCTGCATAGGGGACAACCGAAAGAAGGGCCCCAAGAAGCTGTGTGTCTCGATGTGTTGGGCCTCGATGTTGGCAGGTAGAAACGTCTCGGACTGTGCCAGAGCAGCTACGAGTGGTGGAAATCGAACAAATACCCGCAAGATTAGCATGTGAGGTTTGTAGTCGCCGTTCATTGAGACTGTGGAGAGACGCCTGCTGACGTCTTCCATGGCACCCACCAATGCCTCCCTAATCATATCGTCTTCGCCTATCCGTTGACTCGCTTCAGTGAGGAATTCGTAGCAGATACCGCGCTCGTCGTCAGGCCCGAGAAGTAAGCGATCGGCTAATGCGTTCTCTGCAGGTGCTTCCTCGCCGAACATGTCTGGCATGGTAGCAGCGAAAATGCAATAGCTGAAGCACAACCGCCGAGCCTCCTTGACGACATCGAATCGTGGTCCAGTTTTGTTTGTGAGATTCTTAAGCACCTTGGATACACGCTTCCAGCAGCTCATCAGATACTCCAATGCTGAGCCTTGTGTTTGGCTCGACGCTGCCTCCAATATCACAGAGTCCAACAGATCTGTGCTTAGGCGAACTGGCCTGCCCTCATCCTCAAGGTCGCTCTTGGCACCTGATGCAAAGTACAGCTTGTGACCATGTGCATCTTGCGTATGGGCCTCGTCCAGGGTTATTCTGAAGATGTTGCTGAGCGTCCGGTCCTCCCACGCTTCTCTACTCAGTTCCGGCGCCTTCTGAGCGGGCTGCGGCGCTGGGCTGTTGCTCGCCGCGGGTTTGATGGTGATGCGCTTCTTGGGCGGCTCGTCGGTCTTGACGCCTAGTTGGGAGAAGGGGTTTGAGGATGAGGTGGGCTCAGGTTGAGGCTTCGGTCGTGGTGCCTGTGATTCGGTAGGCTTGGGCAATGAAGTGCTTGATGATGCGGCTTCGGGCGCTGTTGACGGCGGCCGTGAGGGACCATTTGGAGTCGCAGGACCGCCTAGCTTTGCAAGGCGCTTTGCACGGATCTGAGAAATGTCGTCGTCAGCGTGTCTCTTTGATGGGAGACTAGCAGGTGGGCTCACTTTGTCAGCGTCGGACATGGCATCAGGCTCGGCGGCGGGAGCAGGCGCAGCATCAGGCATTGCGCTGTCTTTTTGGTCAGAAATGGCGTTGTCTGGCTGCTCGGGTTGCTCGGGTCGCTCTTCTTGGTGAGGTTGGTCGGGCGGTTGGTCTGCCATGATGGCGTTGTGCTGCCTTGAGGCTACAGTAGAGCTTCGGCGATGGCGGCTGTCAGGGTGTGGGACAGCGAGAGGGTTGAGTTTGCGAGAAGCGTGGCAGTAATTAGAATAGAGGAAACAAGATAGAGAAAGAAATAGGCCGTGGCCGTCTTGGTGTTGTCAGACGTCGAGTGAAAGAAGCGCGAAGCGTGCAAGTGCGTCAGTGCTATCCTATGGTTACGGGACCCGGAGCTTCTAGTCTGCCCCGCCACTTAGCAGCCTCGCTCGCCAACTCACGTGTACCCTGGAATCTGGACGAAGCGCGACGAAGTATAGTCTATGGTAATGTATCCATTATGTCCGCCCTTATCTCCGCGTCATTTAGATCCAAGAACGTATACTGCAGACATGATTGTCGCGAACGTCGTTGTTTGGCAAGCACGATGAACAGTATGAGACAGCCCCAGTTCGGCTGATGATTTTCCGCACTTTCCTCCGTGTCAATTCTCATCGACGCGGGAACCCTCGCTCTCAACATGTTCCTGCCGGTTGACTAGCACAGCGGCCAACGGGATGTGCCATGTGCTGGTAGGGACGAGGAACACTGCTCAAGCCGATACTAAACATGTTGACCTTGGCATTCTCGCTCCACTGTAGTTACATCATTTCTGCGAACGTGACGATTAGCTCCGAGTGGGCACGGGAGATCAGACAGACGGGGTGTGGAGGGGATCAGATAGACGGTGTGTGTGTGGGGAGGGAATCAGATATAGAGGTATCCAGAGCGGTCGCGCCGTTGATGGCCAGGAGCACGCGCACTCGCTCGCTCGGCAGGAACAATGCTGGGGAAAGGGCAGGCGAGCTGTCACATCAAACCTGAAACCCTTGTTGCTACCAAGTCCTTGCCAGGGCAACCAGGGCGGCCAACAGCCGATTGCGCAGCGAATGGCTGGACCGGCTGATTGCAGCGAACTGGCGATTGCTGGCGAGCAGGACGGCGGTACGGTAGTGGTGGTCATTGTTGCCCATCAGAGACATGTCAAACCATGGTGCTCGCTGCGTTGCCATGTGACGGGCTCCGGGGGCGTGTGCATGGGTAGTTTACCATGTCGGTTAGTAGTAAGGCGCTTGATGCAGATAGCTAATCGCACCTTCTCCTCTTCTCTCGGCCAACCTACATCCCATCGCGACGACGCTGCACAAACCCTTTAACGTGATTTCCAACAGAGCAGCTGCCCAGGTACGTCACATTCACTCTCCTTGTCCGCCCGCTAGGCCGCAATCGCCGAAGCGCTGCGTGGCGCAAGCAGCACTCAGCCGCAGTTGTTGCAGCACGCCCCCCGTTGCGGCCAGGGTGCCTAGAGCCATAACCCCCTGAAGCCGCTTTTCTCCAACTTCAATCACCGCCAGTCCTCCATCCAAATACTCACCACCTCCATAACAGACTTGCTCAACCCACCGCCGTCTTCAATAACCCCATCACACACGACACCATGGCCGAGATTCGACGAAAGCTCGTTATTGTCGGTGACGGCGCCTGTGGAAAGACCTGTCTGCTCATGTACGTCCCCAACCAACCAAGCGCCCCATCCACGGCCTCAACTTGTCTGCACACGAAACCGCGATTGCTAACGCCGTCCTCTACAGCGTCTTCTCCAAGGGCACCTTCCCCGAGGTTAGTACTCGCCGCCTCGCCTGGCATCCCTGAGCCGCGTCAGCCTAGTAGCTGGTCCGCATCCACAGCGCACCCATCTCTGCCATCCGACTCCACAACGCCCCTACTAACACGCTGCCGTGCAGGTCTACGTCCCCACCGTCTTCGAGAACTACGTCGCCGATGTAGAGGTTGACGGCAAGCACGTCGAGCTCGCCCTCTGGGATACCGCTGGCCAGGAAGATTACGACCGTCTCCGCCCTCTCTCCTACCCCGACTCGCACGTTATCCTCATCTGCTTCGCCATCGACTCGCCCGATTCGCTTGACAACGTCCAGGAGAAGGTACGAGACATGTCTCACGCGCGTCCAAACAGCACCGACTAACAAACAACAGTGGATCTCCGAGGTTCTGCACTTCTGCCAGGGCCTTCCCATCATCCTCGTTGGATGTAAGAAGGATCTGCGCTTCGACCAGAAGACGATTGAGGAGCTACACAAGACCTCGCAGAAGCCCGTGACACCCGAGCAGGTCAGTAGCCACACTCCATCTACCGTATCCACACTAACGTGACCAGGCCGAGGATGTGCGCAAGAAGATTGGTGCCCAGAAGTACCTCGAGTGCTCGGCCAAGACGAACGAGGGCGTCCGAGAAGTATTCGAGCACGCCACCCGGGCTGCTCTGTTGACCCGGAAAGAGAAGAAGACCAAGAAGTGCTTGATCTTGTAAGCTTGGACAAGACTTTGCGACGATATAGGTCGAAAGCCGCCGCAACCGCGCGATGTTGAGCCTGGCCAAGAGCAACACTGTGGCGGCTATCGGGTGTCTAATAGTGGTCTATTTGAGAAGGAAGGGCAACATGTCATGGGCCGGTAGGGGTAGCAGACGAGTCGACTCCTCCAGTCTGCTTGCAGTCCATCTCTGACGGCACCTATACGAGGCGTTACTGTGCTGGATCTTTTGTGTTTGGACCGTACATCATCTTGGGGTAGTTCATGATGGGGGTTATCTTCTCAGAGCGTGTGGATCGAGATTGAGCAAATGGTAGGATCTTTCTAATAACCGGTGCTTTGTTTTGCTCTTATCGTGTCTACCCATACCAATCGTTGAGCTGGGTTTATCAAGATATCCACCGTGACTTGACTTGACGCTATATTCCCATGCTGCACTGCCTTGAAGACTTACGAAGCTCTCGAAGAAGCCAAACTGACGTCGCAGCCACGGCAATAACAGGCTGAAACACGCCCATCATCTGCCCTTATCTCGCGTCAAAGACCGCATATCTCTACTGACTCGTTCCCACCTTGGCCTCCACATAACACTCCATCTTATGCATGCATCACGTACCATGATTGTCTCTAATCTTCAGTGCTCGGGTACGTCGTTCCGATGAACCGCCCCGCTTTCTCGCCTCGGGCTTCCTGCATCTGCTTGGTCTTGATTTGGGCCGGTGGATAAGGCGGTAAGTGGAGATGTCATGGGATCAGGCCACCAATTCGGCTGGAAGCCGAGTGGATGGGAAAGTGTATTGCTGCTGTACACTGTTCTATACATGAATAGATGTGTACCAAATATGATAGAGCGTACAAGTTTCTGCACTGTGCTCTTATGCTGCTCGCTGAATCCTTCCTGAAGCATAGCTATGCTGATCCGATGATGCTCTGTCCCTAAACGCCGTGCTAGAAATGCTATCCGTATCTATATGCCAGATGCTATATGAACATTGAAATCGCAGTAAATGCTCCAATAACTGCGAGGAAAGAAGTTGAAGACCGAGCAGCAGCACCGCCTTGCTGATTCTGAGGCTGGCCACCACCAACAGATGTCGAACTGGCTCCTGCAGTCTCAGCTGCTGTCCTCGATGCCGAAGGAGACGCAACACCTATTGAAATCAAGTCAGCAACTGCCACTACTATAATCAAAAGAAACGAGTTCAAACATACCTGTAGAGCTCACGCTCTCCGTCCCTGCAACCAATTGCTCGTCACCCAGAACACCCAAGCCTACCCTGCTCTTCTCGAAATCAAAGACGCTATACACGTTCTTCAGAAACACGTCGCCCACCAACCACTGTGCGTCCCCAAAGGTTTTCCTGCCTACAATATTACTCCTGCACAAAGTAGAATCATCATCCTTGTTTCCCACCCAATCCGCCGTGGAAATGTTATAGATGCGATTGTTGAAAGTAAACTGCACCACAGCCTTTGTGTCGCAAGGGACAAAGAACGTCTCACCATCCTGCTCGAAGCCCTCGACCTTGCTATGGATGGCCAGAGCATCAGGTTCAGGAATGAGTATGAAACTTGTTCCTGTGTCCATAATCGCCGTCCTGTTGGTACTTCCTCCCGTGGTGAGATTGGCAGAGGAGCCATCAACCCCAGCGTCTTGTAAAGGTACCTCCCAGAACCCAGATTCGTTATCCACGCAATCTAGGTAATTCAACTCCCCACTAAATCTCTCTTTGTTCACCTCGCCCAAGTTCAACTCGCCGTCCAGTTTACCGTCGGTGTCTCGGGAGAGGTGGATACCGTACATTTTCGCACCGATGAGGTTCTGCGAGGACAAGATATCCATGATTTGGGGAGCGTCAATTTCATCTGTTGTACTGGCACCTTGTGTGCCGCGGCCGATGCCTAGGATGCCGTCCATGGGGTATGCTCGAAACTCGTCGGACACGTTCGTTGCGAGGCCGAAGGTGAGGGAGACGGAGAGTGAGGTGCCGATGTGGAGGGTATCGGATGCTAGATGACCTGAAGAGGTACCTGTGCCGTAGGTCACGCTGAAGGGTGTGGTTTCGTCGGTCTAAAGATTGGGTCAGCATTCATCTCCAGGCCTTGATAAGAGACATCTAGGAAGAAACCTTGAAACTTACCTTTAATGTACTTGAATCTCCTGTACCGAATGTGGCATGCGTCTTACACGCTTCGCTCCCACAATCCTGTCCCATGACCCAGGTATTACTCGCTGCCGAATCGAGCAACATGTGGTATTCGTCTGAGCTGTCACCGAATGTTACGGCCACCATGTAGCTGAGATCGCTGCCATCTTGGTCTATGGCTACGCTGTTCTCTTGCGTTGGGTTGTTCGAATTGACGATGTTGTAGACGTTTTGGCGCGCATGTAGAGGCGTGCGCACGCGACGCAATGGGACTGTTACGGAACGCGTATTCCCATTATGGGAGGGCTGTGGGGAGGTTCGATGCGAGCGAGATGTGGTAGAGATCTTGCTTGCGGAGTAGTGGTACGGGTAGAAGGCCGTTGCTGTAGGTAGGATTGCTGCTGAGAGCGCGAGCCACGTCGGTAGTGAGGTATGCATCGTGTTGGTGACGTCGATGCCGAAAGTCTGAGCTCCTCAATGCTTTTATTTCTGAAATTATAAGTCCTCCCGCTGGATACACTTGCGGAGATCAGGTATGAAAGCTGATTACGAGCAATCCTTATGAGTCGATGTTTGGCGCGTCCCGTTCGTTGTCAGCCTTGGGCGCTTGCAATTCGATCGTCAGGTTCCAACGTAACAAGGCGCAGTGAATGGATAGACAAGAAGAAGAAATAAAGAATATACAGAATCCGCCTCAACGAACAGCACCAAGGTAAGACTCTCGGCTGAAAAGATAGTCCAAAGCGTAAATGCGGGTGATCGTCCAAGGGTAAACGTGCTGCCCTTCCAACGCCACGGCAATCCCAAGTTATCGTAACAAGAACGGCGACGACAACGAAATGGAAGAGAACAGGATGGAGGAAAGAGCGCAGGAACAGAAAAGCCACCAACCCATCCTCTTCCAGCTCGCGCCTCCACCAAGGTAAGCCTCATCCAACATGACGTCCTTGGCTCTCACAAAGGGTAACGATATCGATGCGGAGGACGCGCATAACGGAGTTTAGTGTGGGGCGCTACCGTATTTACCCCTGGGACGAACGTTGTTTGAAACAGCGAGCTCATATCAGACACGACCAATGACAGCTGCATGATGTTGCAATCTTATCGCATGTGGCATTTTCCCAATTGGGAGATGCTGGGTTCGCACTGTTTGATTTGTTGATGGAGATAGATGATCAGTTTGCGATGGGAGCTGGGCTTGGCTTGGCTTATGTGATGTGCACCTGAATGGGTGGAGCCGACGCGTCTCTCTACGGAACATGGCATTTTGCTGATGCGTTCGTCTGCAAGAGAAAACATGTTGAATCAGTAACAATAGTAATTGAGGACATTGTATAATATCATCGCTCTTTCGGGTTCGTTCGTATATTCTTACAGGTCGGTCATCTAGAGAACTGACTACTACTGTTTGGCAGCCGCTTGAATCATCTCCGGTGCCTTCTTAACACCCACAATCTTCTTTGCATCCATGATCTCCAGCTTACTCAGTCCCATACCACCCAGGTACTCATTGAAGCTACCGAGGATCTTCTCAAGGCCTTCTCTGAGACACTCCCTGGCATCGTCTACTTCGGGAACCTTCTTCCTCTCCGCCTCCGGCTTGTTGAGCGTCTCAATGTCACTCGAATGAATAGGAGCTACTTCCATATACTCATCGATCTTCTTGAGCGCAATAGTAAATACACGTACTATGCTCGGAATCCCTTGATGGAAGCGACCCATACTGTCTTCAGCCAGTGAAAATACGGCAAGGTTTGTCAGAGCAGTTGCGGCATTGCAGACTCGAGAAAGCTGAGAGTAAGGTGCGCCGAGAACAACAATGTTTGCTGTCCGTTGGAAGGAATGTTGGAACAGCACGCCGACTGGGGAAGAGACAAGCTTGTTGTAGTACGTCGTGAAGAATGATTCAGCCTCCTTGGCACCTTCTTGAGCCTTCTTCACTCCCCTGTTGATAGCTTCACGACTGTATGCTTGCTGTGCGTTCCCAGGGGCGCTATGTGACTTTGCAATGCTGGCTGTTGTTGCCTCGATATGTTCCCATCTAGTGTTCGGTTTTGGTGGGGCAGCAGATATCGGCTTATCGTCCTTGAGCGGTTGTGCAATGCGAGGCACCAAGCTGACAGGTCCGGCTGGCTGGTCCTGGCCAGATCCGCTGCTAGGCTGATAGGCGGGATCAAGGCCAACGCTGACACGATCAACAAGGAATTTGAGTTCTCCCAAACAAAGATCTGTGACTTGCTGGTGTGTCGGTGCCTTCTTACGTTCCATTTCGCTGTAGATAGTCTTGCGGCGATCGGGGAAGGCGTCCGTTATAAGGGCTAGTTCCCAGAAAGCAATGGCCTAGATGCGTTAGTAATGAACGACCTGATTGAACGGCTTTATCTTACCCTGACAGTGTCCTTCTTCGACTTGAGTCCATTCAAGAGAGATCCATTGGGATCCGTGGAGTCGTTCGTAATAGGTACATCGTTCTTCAATGGTTCTTGCGCAATGTACACGTCGAAGGTCTTGTTGACAAACTCCCAAATCACGACCAGCAGGGTTCCTTCTGTGATGAACATGAAGCACAGAGGCAGAAACGGTGCGAGCCCGGTCGGCGTGGAAGTCTTGGACAAGCTCCAGAGGTATCGACCAAAGCTGTAATAGTAGCTCCAGATCAGGTTGCGGGTTCCAATAAAGTAGAGGGCAAATCCGACAAGAGCGATGACCGAAGCCAGAGAGCTCGATAGGGTCGCAATGCCCTTGAGCTGTTTGAAAAGGACATTTCTCGGCTTGGGTGCTCGTCGCGTGGGTGTTGTAGCTGCCGCATCACCCCGCTCCTTCTTGGGCTTCATAGCTTGTACCTCGATCTTGTCATAGTCCCTCCACAAGTGTATTCCAGACTGTGCTGCTGCCAGGACGTAGAAGAGATAACGCAGGTAAAGCGGCCTCTCGTTCAGTCGGAATCGCTCGTGCATGCGGCCCGCCTCGATGAAGTTGAGTCTGTCCTTGGTACCCCGCGACCAGATATACGTCTCTACAAACATCATGGCAGAGAAAGAATAGGCGATGAGCGTGACCAGTGTCGCAGGACGGAAGAAGTACTTTGTGAATGTTTCCGCTCGGGTCTGTGTTTGGCGCCGGCCAACATGCCACTGAGCAACGCGGAGGACGTAGATGGTAAGGGCGGAGAGGAAGATTAGGAGGGTTCGAATGCCAGTAAGGCCTAATGGAAACCATAGCCATAGCACTGTGTAGAGTTAGTAGATATCTTCAACACTCCTCCAGTGCATCTCACGGTTATTCCATTCTCCCATCCAGCACGCGATCGCATAGCATAGCAGCAGCGTATAGCGACTGGCCTTGTTGAATCTTCGGTGCAGCGCTGGCGTCAGGTAGTCCCTGTATGGGCGCACTTGGGTTCCAAGCGGTGCGAGCGCCATGTTTGCGAACGATTTGCGGTGAGAGAGCGTATGAGTGAGGAACTGGCTATATCATAGCAAAGAAGCAAAAAGATGGCGTCGCGCCAATAATCAATCGAACGCGCTGGTACTGTAGTGTGGAGTACCTCAGCAGCAGTAAAGGCGCCCGACTTTGTTCAAACAAACATTGTTGATCGGTTGCATAACCGGGGGCTTGGCAACTGAACGAAGCCTGGATTTGTGCGCTAGCACGAATCCAGGCTTCGGTCAGTTGCCAAGCCCCCGGTTATAATGTTATGTGACTTCAAATGTGACCTTTGTACCCTCCGTCCTTCTTCGCTTGTTACAACACAGCCTGCTGCAGGCGTAAAATATACCTCGCGCAAGGTGCAAGCCAGTCGTAGAGCTATAGACTTTAACTATTCATGTGCGCTTTACTACACTATCTCTCTTCCTACCCTCTGCGCATCACGCTTCCAGACAATGCCACCACGCAACAGTTCAACTTGGCCTTCCCAAAGCCCGCCGCTCTAGGCCTACCTGCCTAGGCCTACCTACCCGCTTCATCAACCCTTAAACCATTACACCACCTGTTTACCTACTAACAGCTAGACCGTTCGCCGCGTGCGACTGCTTTAACTAGGCGTTTCTCTCGCTAACTTTTGCCTAGATAGCATACAACGTCTAAAGCCGCGAAAAGACGTTTAAAGAAAGGCTAGACCTATTCACAACACTAAGGTACATTGCAGAGGCAGGGTATATACTTAAACCCTAGGCATGTGTGCGAGAGTAGGTATCCTGCCGTAAAGGTCGAGCAAGGTCGCGTACGCGCTATAGAGTTAGAGCTGGACAGCATGTTTGCGCCTCTTAGTACCGGCGGCGGCCATATTAGGCGATCTAACAGCAAGCGAGTCCTTTAAACGTCACCAGCTGCGAAAGAGGAAGCGCCTACCCAAGTCGTTAAGAGCAACGACTGCTCTCCATCTTACAAGCCCATGCAGAGGTATAAGGAATTCGGACCCGAACAAGGGGCAGAATCATCATAACGAATGGCTCGAGGAGGGAGTACTGCCTGAAAGTCGGGCGCGAACCCCCGCCCAGCAGATGGCCAAACATGCACATGAGCATGGATGCGTTGACGTACCAGCAGCACATGGGGCCGACAGTTAGACTCATTGCTCCATAGGTCAGAATGGAGATGTTGTAGCCCCTGCACAAACCACCAACTTGCCACCAGCATCTCCGACGTCTCCCAATGTCAACTCAAGCTCCATCAGCAATGGTTAGCCTCGAAACTACACGGGAGCATAAATGCAAAGCAAAATCGGTAACGAGGTCCAACTCATTATCGTCAGGCCTGTTTGCCTTGCTCGTGTTAGATCCAAAGCTGTTCGGAATCCATTCTAGAGCCACTGTTACGTTGTTCAAGGTCCATACGCAAGTCTTTTGACGTATTCGTATCTTGCATCGGGTCGCCCTGTAATATCCTTCACTATCTGCGCCATTTATCAAATGGTCGTCACGCAACGTGTAGGGGAGAGTCGCGAGTCCGAAGCCTTGTGCCTTGCAAGCCCCTAGGATCATGCTCAGCGTCTCGCGCGTGATTTTAGGAGAGCCACTCAACCACGGGCTACGTGTTCAGAAATCGGACGCAGATGCATGAGCTTGCACTAGGTGATCTTGTCGGCTAGCTCCTGAGGCCTCCATTTCGGACACCATTTTGTGCACCGCGCTCAGTCTGCCTGTTGCTCAACGTGCTGTACTTGACGTACTTCAAGCCTCATTTGATATACTCTAATAAGCACTGGATTTGCATGCGGTTGTTCTGTCAGCACTTTTCCGTCTTGTTTTTGGTCGTGGCTTCCGCTCTTCTACATTCTACGCCAGTCTCCTTGCTTGCGTTGGGAAGGGACGAGGGAAGGACATCAGGCAGGCAGGTAGGTGACGCGCTCCTTCTGCTCCTCCGTTGCTCCTCTTCCTGTCTCCCCGCGCATCCCACAGTCTAGGACATTTCGCACATACTGCTCTCAGAATTTTTCACAATTTACAAACAATCTACTTGCTTCAATCTCACTAATCTGCACACCCTAATCTTCTCCAATCTTCCGAATTCATTAATCTACAATGGCTTCCTTCAACTCCGACGATCTTCAATTCTCCGACCCTGAGGTCGAATCTCCTCTACGCAACCCGCGGCTCGGTAAGATGGTCACTCTAGGGGAGACAGACAGCTAGCGCAGCCTATGCCCTCCCCATACCACCATTGGCTGTGCTTGTGCTAACTTCTAGCAGGGAACAAGTCTCTTGAGCAGATCAAGTTGCATGCGGACGCGGACCGCATTTCCTCTAAGCGAACGGTTCGTGGGACATGGCTCCTGAAGAGCAAACTGCAGCACTCGAGGCTGTTCCCTTCCTTTGCCTGCTGACTTTCGAGACAGGTGAAGCAGCTCACGTTCCAGCATGGGCCCACCGTCAGCCGCGTCGCTCAGACGCTCTGGATACGCCGCCTCGAGACGTGGCGCGAGGCGGTCGGTCAGGACGTGCGAAAGCCGTTCACGGGGGATGATCTAATTCGATTTATGGATGTCATAATTCGTAAGTCGAGAAGCCGCTACGTTGGAAAAAAAGAAACTTCTCTCACACTCTCGCGATAGCCAAGATGGTCGTCGTTGAAGGCAAGCCTGGCCCGAACAGGAATACCATTATTTCGGCCACCAAATTGATCATGGCGTACGGCCACTTCAAGTGGTCTGAACAAGACGGTTTTCGCATGACCGCACACGACACGAGCCGCTTTCGGTCGTTCTTGGATAAGGCAACCAGGGACGGCCGATTGACTACTGGCAAGTGGAAAAAACGGACGTGGATTGGTTATGCCGTTCTTTCACGCCTCGTACGGGCATACCTGACCCACGGTATTGAGCAAGGCACGTCCAACTGGGACGTCACCATGGCCAGATGCCTGTCGGTGGTCCTGGTCAGCAGCCTGGGTGCCCGATGCGGCGATGTTGGCCTGGCCGCGGGGTACAAGGGCAAGGCCTACTACATGCAGTGGCGTCACATTGAGCTTTTCCTCGAGGGAGACGTGCCGCTCTTTTCTGCGCTCCGCGTGCGTATTACGCTTGAGTTCGAAAAGGGCAACAAGGAGACACACAATGAGGAGACGATCCGTTACCTCCGGCCATTGAACGATACGGCCAACTCCCACATGTGCCCAGTAGCCCTGCTCCTCGTACATGCCCTTCGCCACTCCCTTGTCGCCGGGAATACACTAGGTGAGGTCCTCAACCTAGCTGTGAAGCGATCCGACAGGGCCGTCGTTTGGTTATTTCCCAACCGCCCAGTCCTGCCAAAGTTCGTCTCCGCGCCCTTCTGTCACTGCGACCTAGACCAGCCAGCTATGACAACTCAGATAAGCCTAACGATCGCGAAAATGGGTTTCGTCGCCGGTATGCTCGATCGGGCGCATGGTCACGCTCTTCGCCTTGGAGCTGCTCGCGACGCAGCCCATTTACCTGCAAGCGTGGTCGATGGCTCGGGTCTGGCGACGGAAAACGTCCGTCAAAGTCTCGGTCACAAACATGCGACCCTACAGAGCGGCACGACCGATCGATACGTAGGCGGAGCTTCGTCTGAGATGTGGAATCTCCGGGCACAAATGCCGTACGAGCCCAAGGGACGAGAGTCGCGTTTCGCGTCGTCGTCATCCAACCATACCGGCCCAGAGGCCCGCGGTAGAACGACGCAGATGTTGGCAGACCCTTCGCCGCTCCCTCTCCTCCGTGCGTCTCGCCAGCCGCTCGCCAAGAGAGACTCAAACGTCTGGTCCGCGCCAACAATGGCGTCATCATCTGGGTCTGATGATATCGACCCTGCTCTTATCGACCCTGCTCTTATGGACGAAGCGCAGGTTGATGCAGCGGCATTGGCCGTTTCTGAAACAGCAGTCCAGGCGCTACAGACGAGGTTGCTGCTTACTCACGGTAGCGAGGAGGCTCTCACTGCGGACGCTGTCGTCGTTATCGACAACGACGACACCAATCTGCAACTGCATCGGTTTGGTGCCGCCGAAGCCGACGCTGCTGCAAGCACTGCAGCAAGCGACAACACGAGCGAAGATGCCAATATCTTCTTTGACGAACTCGATCATCGCGAGGCTATGGACACGGTGTCCATGTCATCGCCAGAGGCTTTTATTGAAGGCTATGCCAAGTATAATATTGTTACTAATTGTGTATACGGCCGTGAATGCGCCAAGGCTCCCTCTGGCAAGCCGTCAGACGAGGTCATTGCACAATTCTGCGTAGTTGGTGGCTCACGCGATGCTCCTGAGCCAATGCTCTACCGTTGCAAGAAGACACCCGGTTGCCCAGTAGCTTCCCCCTCTAAGAGCGCCTGCAAGGACCACGAGGAGTATTGTAGCGACACTAAGGTACAACAATTCGCTGAAGGAGCCGACAAGCTCGAATCCGACTTCAAGTGCACCTACAATGGCTGCGACTTCGTGCCCAGTCCCTTCTCGAAGCGTCCAAGATACGTCCTCATGGACCACGTTCGCTCTGTTCACAAGTTCGACCCAAAGGCTTGTCCCCACGGGTGTGCTCCAGAAACGCTCTACTACACCGATGCGAAGTACAAGTACCACCTCGCTCACGCGCATTCGGATCGGTGGCCAGCGCGGTGTACTTACCCCGGCTGCAATCACCCCAGGCCCTTTGCAACCCATAGCTCACTCACGCACCACCTTAAAAGGACGCACCTTCTCTCAGATGAAGATATGTTGCTGTATATGCCGCCTCTCCCTGCCACGCGCCAATATGTCGAGCAGACCTGCTGGATGAATGGCTGCGACAGGATATTCAACAGCAAAAATGTCCACATTAAACACCTTCGTAAGGCGCACAAGTGCTCCTTGGAAGAGGCTCATCAGCTCATGGAGGAAAATGCAGAGTTTGAGATGATTACCCCAACGGTGGCAGTTAGGTCAAAGCGCCCAGTAACGACAAAGGATTTGCAGAAGGTGAAGAAGGCTCGGACATCCTCCACCAGCACTTGATCCTCCCCAAGTATACAACCCATTAGCGAATGCTTCTGGTCTCCTACTCCTACACCCCATTAGCGAATGCTTCTGGTCTCCTACTCCTACACCCCATTAGCGAATGCTTCTGGTCTCCTACTCCTACACCCCATTAGCGAATGCTTCTGGTCTCCTACTCCTACACCCCATTAGCGAATGCTTCTGGTCTCCTACTCCTACACCCCATTGGCGAATGCTCTTGGATTGCTATTAAATGGGTGTCTGTAGTTGCTGGTGACAGATTGATGGTGAATTTGCATTTGCATTGTTTCTTAGTAGATATATGAACCTTATTATGCAGATGTCCCACCACTGCTTTTGACCACTCCTTAGTCACTTTGCTGTCTTAGAAAGCCCGAACGTCTAGAACCCGTGTATAATTCGATATGAGACTGAAGGCATTCGCCGACAGGATGTGGTGTAGAGAGGTAGAGGGTGCAGGACTGAAAGCATTCGCTGACAGGATGTAGTGTAAGAAATGGAGGGTGCAGAACTGAAAGCATTCGCTGACAGGATGTAGTGTAAGGAATGGAGGGTGCAGGACTGAAAGCATTCGCTAACAGGATGTAATGTAAGGAAGGGGGAAGAAGGTATAAGCTTAAGTGTCCACCTCTTCGAATTCAAGATCATCGTCAAAGACAAGTTCGTCCTCCTCGTCGTTCTCTCTAACCGCACCCATCGTCGGCATTGCGGTACCACTGGTGGCGGGCGCCTTCTTGGGATCTAGGTCCATTTGATCAGATACTGCCTCGCTTTCTTGTCGCGGCGGTTGGCTGCTCGCTGGCTGCGGAGCGCTTTCCTCTACGCGCAATCTCTTATTCGCCGAACAGTTGTCGGCACTATCAGAATCAGAGGGCTGAGCTTTCGCTGTCGTGGCTTTAAGTGATGTGTGCGTCCAATCCGGTCGAGCAGGGAGGGAGAGGTTAGGCGAGAGAGAGAGGGTCGTAGAGGGAGCCTTCCACCGAGATTTGATGTCCCGCTGAGCGGGAACGGGTGGTGGGACGCTCAAAGGCTGCCCGGCCGATGGTGTCGATGCGAAGAGCTATAGTGATTAGCAATGCAATGTCAACACTGGTTTGTAACACGTACCGGTGGCTGAGACGGAATTCCAATGTTGTACGGGGCACTGGTAGTAATCGCGCCATCGGCATACCAGTTCGTCCAGGTCTTGTTTACGTTGTCCCACATACACTGAGTCGCCTGACGACCAAATGCGTCCGTGGGCATAGACATAATAGGCGGTAGGAACTGCTGCTGTGGGCCCAGAGCCACAATCGGGGCCACAATCGGAGCAGACGCAGGCGATGGCACAGCACGGTCGTCCCTTTTGCGCTTCCCATCGCGTTGGGTCTGCGTGGCGTTGTAGGCGATATTATTTTTTAGCGTTGATGAAGGCCGTGGAGGGACAAGGTATGCGCGTGGATGTGCGCGAACTGATGGCGGAAGTGGATGCGGCTTGGCCAAGAGATCGTCCTTTGTCTCACCCTCCCAGTCAAGCTTCACGCCATTCATCGGAGAAGGAGGCTTAGGCAAGGCCAAAGGTCGGGGTGGGGCTTGCCCCTTCTCCCGTGCCTCGTGCTCCCGACGAGCTTGGTCTGCCATGGCTTTGGCCGGCACTTCCTTGACCTGGTTTTTGGGCCTCGGTTCTGGCAATGTGTAGCCATAATTGCCCCGGGACATCATCAAGTGCCAACAGTGGTCGTTGAGGCTCTTATCGGCCACGATTTTGCATCTGTTCGCCGGCCCACCAGCAAACCAACGGCACTCGGAACAAGGATTGTCGTCACCATTACGGCCCAGCTTGTCGCACTGTGCTACGTTAACTTTTGAACAGCACCGCTACAGACAGTAGAAGTAGACTTGCCTCTATGCCTAGATTGAGACATCTATGACACGCCTTGCCAGGCTCGTTACTAATGACAAAGTCGGGCAGCTCTTTTGTCTGGTGTGGCGAGAGATTAGGAGGATGCTCTCGCGCACAACCACCCTCGCCGCTCCCGAATTTGCACTGGCCTAACGGCCACTGGTGGCAGACTTGCTGTCCGACTGCTTCGGACTGCGTGAACTTTGGGCCACCCATTCCGCCCATTCCGCTCATTGAAGAATCCATGGTTGACATAGATGTTGTATCTGATGGTCACTGGAAGCAGATACGTGCGTGTGCGTGTGCGTGTGCGTGTGCGTGTGCGTGTACGAGTTGGTGATTGAATTGATGTGTTGATGTGAAGGGGGTGTTGTGTGCTGAGGTTATGCTGCCAAGACTAATCGCGTCACATGTTTACGCGCATACCATGTACTGTACGTGCGTTAATAACAGCCAAGGCTTTCAACACTCACCACACTCGCACAACGGCAATCAATTCAATTTCACGATCTCAATTTCGAAATCACGATCCACTACCTATCAACAAACTACTCAAACTCCAATACCTTTTTTTTTTCTTATAAACTTTCGATCTCAACAATGTCTTCTGCTGCGATCAACCACTACACCGGCGAGCAGTTCAGCGAGAACTACTATGCCCAGCGCAAGCTCGCGGACCGTCTGCCGGTCTCGCAGCACAAATCGGCGATAAGTGACGCCGTCGATAATAACGATGTGGTTGTTCTCGTAGGCGAGACGGGCTCGGGCAAGTCGACTCAGGTGCCACAGATGCTCCTAGAGTCGAATATTGTTGTCAAGCATGGCAAGAAGGTTGTCGTCACTCAACCGCGCCAGCTCGCGGCGCAGAAGGTGATGATTAGTTCATATACACCGAACCAAAAGTTGTGCTAATAGTCGCCAAATAGGTCGCCGAGCGTATTGCAGAGGAGTTAGATGTGCGCCTAGGCAGTACTGTTGGCGTGCGCTACAGAGGTGTGAACAACACCACAGCCAATGTTACCTGTCTGGAGATTGTCACAGACGGTGAGTTAGGCGTCCTCTATTATCAGAAATCCTGCTGACCTAGGATAGGCACGCTGCTCGCTCTTGCGAAGAGCGACCCCGCTTTGTCGGAATATGGCGTTGTCATAATCGACGAAGCGCATCAACATACAATGGCGACCGATCTACTACTCGGTCTTCTTCAGAATCTTGCTGGTAAGAATGGTCTAAAGATCATTATTATGTCTGCCACAATGGACGCGCAAACGTTCATAAATTTTTTTCCTCGATCCACACTTGTCGAAGTTCCCGGCAGGGAGTTTAAGGTGCACATCAAATACACTGCGGATCCACCACAGGGCGAGGACCAGGACCTCGAAATACTCGTGGATACGATTCTACAAACGCACCTTATGGGCCAACGCGGCAACATTCTGGTGTTTGTGTCTGGCGTAAGGATGATCAACAAGGTCATCCAGAGGGTTGAGGATGCGCTCAAGGAGGGCGGCGACAGGGCGCGCTTTGCGCCGCGCGACATTGGCACTCTCCGGTGCTACCCGCTTCATTCCCAGCTTACCCCAGATGCTATCGACGCTGCCGTGGAGTCTGTGCCGCCAACCCGAGCCGACAAGGTTAGTCGAAAGCTCATTGTCGCGACCAATATCGCAGAGACATCCGTAACTATTACTGGCGTTACGCATGTCATCGATACCATGAAGGTCAAGTCTCGGGTCTGGAACCCGGTTAACGAGAGCTACTCGTTCAAGGAGCAGTACATCAGCCACGCTGTAGCTAAACAGCGCGCTGGCCGAGCTGGTCGTACTCGCGAAGGCGTCGCGTACCGCACGTGTACAGAGTTTGGCTTTCGGAGTGCCTTGCCGCAGCATTCCGTGCCCTCTGTGTTGGAGAGTGACATGATTTCAGAGTGCATGGACATTCTGAGTTTGGGAAAGTCGCCAATCAACTTCCCATACATTGTGGCACCAGCAACAGAGACTGTTACCAAGGCGCTTGGTATCCTCCGCGAAATGGATGCTGTAAACGCTCGTGGTACAGAACTAACAGCTCGTGGCAAGGCATTGTCGCGCCTACCCATCGACCCGTATCTCGCCGCAGCATTGCTGGAGAGCCCGACAATCGGCTGCTCGGACGAGGTACTTACGATTGTATCTATGATCGAAGTATCGGAAGGTGGTGGCAGTCTTTTCATCCAGCCGATCGGGAAGGAGGAAGAGGCAAAGCTTAAGCGCATTCGCAATGAGTTTTGCGGGCACAGCGGCGACCACGTTCTCCTCCTGAATGTCTACTTCGCGTGGAGAACTGCTTCGGCCCCGAAAAATGCAGCTCTCAATATCGACCAATGGCTGGAAGAGAAGATGCTTCGCGGTAGCGTGTTGAGGGCCGCAGATATGACGCGCCGACAACTTCTCAACCTCTTGCACACCTCCTTTCCCGAATGGAAGTGTCGTTCCCTGAAGCTGGGTGAGATGAGCTACTACCCTTGGATCATCCTGGCTCTCGCCCGCGGCCAGTTCATGAAGGTTGCGCGTCGCGCGCCCACACAGAACAAGAAGGGCCCGATGGTCTACCAGACCCTGAGGTACAACCAGCGAGTCGAGCTTCTAAAGACCACGGATCTAGGAGCCCCATCTACTGCCAACGAATGGGTCATCTACCACGAGTGTCGTACCGGGGAGAAGAAAGACAACATACTGATTGTCTCACCTATTGTGCCGGAGATGCTCATCAAGGCTGTGCCCACCTACTTCAGTAATGTGGAGTTCTTTCCTGACGGACCCACGAAAACTGCTCTTGTTAAGATTATCGTCGAGATGACTGGCGAGCCTGAGGACTCCCTTCGAGGATACCCGCTAAGGTCGTCTACCACTACCACCACCCCCAGCTCATAAATTCAACATCCTATTGACGAACGTCTTTAGACTCCCCTTTCTTATAGAACACCTACTTACACCCTGTCGACGAATGTCTTCAGTATTACATACACCCTGTCCACGAATGTCTTCAGTATTGCATACACCCTGTCGACGAATGTCTTCAGTCTTGCATACACCCTGTCGACGAATGTCTTCAGTCCTTCACTCCTAATAATTTACACCCTGTTGACGAACGTCTTCAGTCCTGCATATGTACACTCTGTCATCGAACGTCTTCCTTTGTAGGGACATGCAGGCATGGTACTAGAGCATTTACGTAGCCTTGTTTAGTAATTAATCCCTACTATACGTGCATAGACTATTGTTGATCTGCCTTTCATATGTATGTTATATTCCTTTGTGAAATTAGACGCAAGAGAAGTGCTATAAAACGAGTAATTACAGTTTCGTCGCTGGGAACCTGGTTTTATTCCTTGAATATCTACGTTAACTTACGCGGGAACTGCTACACAAATGACAACACGCTTACTCAACAAGATTACCAATATCGTTGTTGAAACGGTTGGCAGAGTTAGCATTAAACATCATGACACAGTATGTGTAGACCAAACTCGCTGTTGAGACTAGCGCGCGACAACACAATCGCGCTGACACCTCTGCTTACTACTTAGCTACGCTCAGGAGGGTATCAGGATCCTTGTCAAATGGGCAGGGCGCTAATTAGCACTATAACATCAATAATCATGATATGCGCGCGACGACAATTATGATTGCATTTAGTACTATCTAATAGCCGCCTTCGTCACCGCCCTTCTAGTTACTACGAGAGGAGAGGCTAAAAGCGTTCGCTAATAGAGTATGTGTTTGTGAAGAAGACTAAAGGCGCTCGCCAACAGGGTGTAGGTGGTATGAGGGAGGGGAAGGCTAAAGGCAGTTGCCAATAGAGTGTAGGTGTAGAAGACTAGAGGCGTTCGCCAATAGAGTGTGAGTATGAAAGACTAGAGGCGTTCGCCAATAGAGTGTTGTTAAGAGTGGAAGACTGAAGACATTCGTCGACAGGGTGTATGTGTGCAAGGCCAAAGAAACGTTAACGGACCGTGCTCAATTCTCAACCAGTTGTGACCTTAGTCTTGATGCCCAGCTTGGCTTGGTCGACTTCACCGAGAGGCGTACCGTTGTAGAAGTCCCTTGGATCGGGTTGTCCTAAACGTCCATCCTCGAAGTCCATTGGTGGAGTCCATTCCAGAATCTTAGCCGCCACTCTCTCATTGCGTGTATTGCGCTCTTTTTCCCACCTCTGAGTGACGCGGAGGAAGTCCTTGTGACTGATCAAACAGCGGCAGAGCCAGTTCGTAAGCCCGTTGTAATCATGTCCTTCAACGGCGGGCAGACCTGTCTCTTTGTCCACAGCGAAAGCTGTGGAGGCGGGGGCTGGGGCTGTCGCGGCAGCGTCTGTCGAGGCATCGGCGGTGTCTGCTGCCGAATTCCCTTCTTGCGTCTGGCCCTTCTGCTCCTGCTTCTGGCGTTTCTCTTCGGCAACTCTCTGCGCCACCAGCTTCGCATAATGGCGGACAATTACGCCTGCAAAACTCATGAACTTGCCAGCCCCGAACACAGCCCATTGGCTACCCTCCTTATATCTGCTCGTAGTTGGAGGCGAGTCACCCCTCGCAAGCCGTAACTCACCCTCGGTGATTGCCTTCTGTGTACCAAGGTGACATTTGGTAAGCTGAGTGGCGATTATTGCGTCCTCCGAAACCGCTGGGAGCTGCTCACTTGATACTGCGCTCGACTCGCTTGACGGGCCAGCTTCAGGCGGTTCGGGCAAGCCAAACTCAGATATTGCACGGCCGTAGCTCATAGTGGCCGGACCAGGCTGTGGGCCAAGACCTTGCGATGGCTGTCTTTCCGCTTTGGTCGACTTGAGGAAGACCGAGAAACCCACACCATCGTTGACGATCCAGTCCGGGCTCGCCTGTATATTCGAGCGGTCTAGACCGGTGAAGCTGACGTTGCATGCCGGGTCCTCTGGCACGAACTTGACCAAAGCTGCCTCATGCTCGTGCCTCGCACTAGCCTGCCAGATCAACTCCATGGAGAAGGCCCTCTCAAGGGCATCGGCTTCGAACACCTGGGCGAGCTCGGCAGTGCCATTCGCTTCCAATGATTAGCGTCAGCGCTACGAATGCTAGGGTGTAATGGCATCTTACCATGATCACTACTGACACACAGGGCTTTCACCGCCTCTGCGAAACCTCGAGACACGTCCTCGAGTAATCTTGAACGCTCATCCCATGCAGCACTGAGCTCGGTTTCTTTGGCAAGCCTTTCGTCGAAGCGGCGCTTCTGGTCTGTGGGAAGCTCGCTGGTTTGATGGAGATACGCCTTGTATCCCTTGATCGTCTCTAAGCACTTTGACTTCTGAGAGTTTGCCTGCTTTTTGTTAGCGCAAATATTGGTGTCTTGCCTTCTGCTGTCATACCTCTCGAAGGTCAGCCTGCGTATCCTCAGCGCAACAGGCCAGGCAGCCCGTGCGGATCTCAACATGCTGGCAAGTATTAGGCCTGTCGATGCTGTATGTGGTCGACATTTTCTGAAATTGGTTTTGATGTATTGTAAAAAAAAGTGGTGTGCTGGTTGTATGTGTGCGAGATTACTTGCTTGCGTTGTGTGTTACACTCTCTATGGTATCTGCATGTGAAGCTCCTCTCTAGCTATTTACGGCCCACATAGTTAAGCGAGGTCACGGGACTACCGCTTTGTCCTTGCAATGCGTTTTCAGAGTCACGTTTACCACTTCGTCGCCGACAGATGCAGGCTTACATAAGGGACCCGCTTGTGCCTTGTGCCATGTGCCCTTAGCCGCGGTCCTTCGTCATCGCCGCAGGAACCACCGAGCAACCAACCTCCAGGTAACCACGATTGAACCTTTGCACTAGGCTGCCGTAGCTATACACACGATCGCACAGCTTCACACATCATCCTGATAGTTTTGTTGGAAATAGCCAGTGTCTTCCTCCTTATCCGACAACATGTCGTTTCAACGTTCCAGCGCCCTCGAATCGCAACCCACAACATGGCGAAGGGAAGACGATGCGTCTTACGCCGATGACCCAGAGTTCCGCGATTTCGCTGACAAGCTTTCCGATGACCTCTTCGCATTGACTCGTAATGTTGCCCGTCTGTCGCAAGAGACCGCCAAGCTAGGAACCAAGCACGAGACAGCCCGCGTGCGCGAGCGCGTGAAGACCACCGTTGAGGAGACATCGGATAAATTCAAAGAGCTCGGAGAGGGATTGAAGAAGATTACAACCTGGCCTGATGTCGGAGTATGGATGCACAGCTCTTGGGATGGAAGACAGTAGCTAACGGGAACAGCCATCGCAAAAGTTTACGCAGTCGAAGCTCCAGCGCGAATTCAAAGCCTCGCTCACCGAGTTCCAACACCTACAGAAGCAAGCGCTAGAGAAAGAGAAGCAATCGGCACAAGCGGCACGCACTGCCCTGCAAGACGTATCATCGCCAAGCGAAGAGCGGGGAGGGGAGTTCGGGCAACAACAAGAGCAGGAGCAGCTGCGCTTGGCAAACCAGGATGAGGTCGACTTCCAGGAATCCATGATTATCGAGCGTGAATCTGAGATCCGCAACATCGAGCAGTCAGTTGGCGAGCTGAACGAACTCTTCCGCGATGTGGCGCATATGGTGCACGAGCAGGGAGCTCAACTCGACATCATCGAAGAGAACGTCGAGACTACTCACGACGCGTCGAGAGGTGCACACGTGAACCTCAAGCAGGCGAGCAATTACCAGAAGAGTGCGAGGAGTAAGGCGTGCATTCTTTTGCTTATCCTCGCTATTGTTTTGGTCATCATCATCCTTGCCGTTGTCCTCGACTAGATGATACTTGCATGCTCTCTTTAATGGCTGCTTCTGTTTGTTTTGGGCGTTGCATTAAATACTTGGGAGGGATCTTATACCATGGCGTGAAGCGCTCTAGTGCGATCCATTGCAGATTTCTGTCGTTTTCGGATCATGTCTTTGCCAACTCTGCATTTTGGCTGTCTATTACTTGTCATATGATGGCTCTTATGTTAGCCACGTCATATGTAATTCATGTTCAAAAATTGATTGCACTACCGATGTTGTTTCCGCGACAGCTGGCCGCTCCTTCCTCCACATGCCATTCTTGTCAGTGCCCAGCTTTCTGGGAAGGTACGCTTTGAAAACCTTCTCTCACTTCACTCCACTCCCACTGCATACCTTGTCACTCCAATTCTCTATTTTAGCACCGTTTGCATGTCTCCAGGACTTCCCAACCCGAATCTGGCTGCTACTACTGAGAGTTCATTCGATCTTGACGATATTAGCGACTGGGATACTGACCAACTCTCGCCCTCCTTCTCACTCTTCTTCTCACCCTCGGCACGACTCCAAATTCACCGATCCACCTCTTTGCAGACGGAGGGTATGAGTAGTGCGACGATTTCCACCCCAAAGGCAATGCCACCGCTTCACAGGTACACACTTTCTACTCAAACGCGGATTGGAGCTGACAAATTAGTGTTATAGCACAGCATGGTGCTATATCAGCCATTATCGTCGAAGTTGGCCCAGACCGCAGAAAATACCACGTCCAGAAGGCATTTTTGACTCACTACTCGGAATACTTCTCTAAGGCGCTAAATGGAGCTTGGAAAGAAGCGAAAGACAAGATCATACGTCTGATCGACATCGAGCCTGCCATCTTCGGTCTGTTGATTGAGTGGCTGTACACTCAAAACCTGCTCAATCTCATCACCCTCAACGCGAACAAAATCGATCTATCTAGTTGATTGTGGAAGATCAAGCTGTACGTATTCGCCGACCGATTCACAGTGAGTCGATTGAGAACCGCTCTGAATCTAGAGATTGTGAAGCTTACAATGCCTCTCCACACATATATATGGGATTATCCTTCTATCGTCTATGCTTTTGCAAACCTCCCCTCTACTGATCCGCTCCTGGATTTCTTTGTGGATCTTCACTACGCATACTGGGATGACATGGGCGACGAGTCTCAGGACAAGGACGGATTCGACGAATTGCCGCGGGAGTCCCTCTTGCGGTTCTTCAAAAGAGTAGGAACGGAGAGATGTTTTAAAAAGCGATTTCGTCTTACCGGCTCTTACGATATCGATCTCTGCAGCTATCACGAACACGCAACAGACCAAGAAAAGAGTGAATGCGGTCACCAATCCAAGCCGCAACCCAAATCGATTCCTCTTAAACGAGGGCTCAGAGGCATTGAGCGGGCAGAAACTAATTAGCTCAGATTGGAAGAAGAGTCGTACCCTCTTACCAGAGAAGTTACCCATTGAGGGCTCAGCAAACCTCAACAATACTCGGCGAAGTCCATAATTGCTGTTTGACCAAGGCCACTCCCTTGTACGTTTTCGGCTTATAGCATTGTACACTACATACGGGTATCTACTCAACATTGGCGACTTAGCTAGCCACAGCCGCTCTATGCGCTGTTAACAGGCTCACCCTTCTCATCAATCAAACTGTCCTCAGTCTTGACCGGACCCTCACCAACACCTGTCAAGATAACTCTGCTAACACCCTCCTCCAAGAATGCGATAGCAGGGCCTGCGTCGAACTTGACCTTCTCGAGCGCATCAGCGTTGGCCTGGATAGTCTGGCCCCTCTCGCCTTGCCATCCATCCTTCTCGTTCAAGATTTGCTTGAACAGACCTGCAACTTCCTTCTCGTTCTCCTCGAGGTAGTATACAACTGCTTTTGGGCCTGCATCGAGGGTGTCCGCAGCGATGATCTTACCCGCCGCAGCGTTGATGCTCTCGACAACCTTGATGGCCGCTCGGGAGACGTCGTTGAGGTAGAAGATGGGAGGGAAGGTGTCCAGACATGTGGCGTGGAAAGAGTTGCTGTCCATCATGGTAACCTTGCCAAACGCCTCAAAGTCCTTGTTCTGGATAGCCTCCTGCATCTCCTTCATGCGTCGAGGCACAGTCTCTGTGGCTCTTGACTGGAAGAGGCTGGATGTAGCGACAGTGGTCTGCATACCAGTGGTGCTGGACACGCCCTTCTTGGCTGCACTGACAACCAAGATGACAGCGCGCATGTTAGGCCAGTGGCTTGCGGGCGCGACCTGGAAAGCAACGCTGTCGCTGCCATCTGAAGCAGAGCCTTGTTCCCAGCCTACGTATCCACCAAAGAGCGATCGGCATGCTGAGCCTGAGCCCTGCCTTGCGATGCGGGAAAGGTCGGTAGGCGAAGAGGGGAGCTCGTAGAGGTTTGCAATTGCACGGACAAGAGCAGCGAAACCGGCAGCCGAACTAGCCAGTCCAGCAGCGGTGGGGAAGTTGTTCTCGGAAACAATGCGCAGGGGAAGGTCGGCCAATTTGGCTAGGCTTGAGTCCTTCTCCTCGAGCTGTTTCCTCAGCGCCCTAAGCTCCCTGAAGCATGCTTGTGTCCTTGCACCAGAGACATCTTGCGATTGACCGTTGAGGAGAAGCGTGTCCTCTTTCGGGTAGGTAGACGAGCACGAGGCGGTGGTGTGAGTACGGAGATCGGACTGCGCAAGGGTGACGCTGAGGGAGGAGTTGGTGGGGAGGTTGAGCTTGGGGTCGCGCTTTCCCCAGTATTTGATAACAGCAATGTTTACGGGCGCAGTAGTGCTGGCACGATGGATGTCGGACATCTTGAAATTTGGTATACAAGACAGAGGGAAAGAAGCAAATTACAAAGGGTAGCGGTGAAAGTCGGGGGGTTTTGGTGCAGGTGGGGTTTTGTTTATACCGGTATGCAGGGTCTAGTTGGATGCGGTCTAGAAAGCGCGGATCCAAGACAGCGACTTGTGAAAGCGGAACTATCCGTCGCAATGACAATGCTGACGGGTTGAGTCTTGGGAATTGATTACCCACTATAGAGTTTGTTTCGTCTGTAGAAAGACAAGCGTGCTGGACACATCTGCAGCGGTAAATCGCGATAGTCCAGAACCAGCCAATCAGCATTGGACGGTTTCCGCAAAGGCCCGTGCCCAAGATTTCTCGAACTGCTTCCGTCACCATCCCGAGTCTCTCGGAATCTCCAATCCACACATCTCCACCATAATGTCTTCACAAGACGACCCAGCCGCAGCCTGTCCGGTCGATCACAAGACTCGCGAAGCATGGCTCGCCCAAGCCCGCGCCCAAAACGCCAACGCACCCTCAAATCCTCATAGTGCACCCATACCAACACCCGCCGCCCCGCCAGCGCCCTCACAATCCGCCGTGCAGCAATCATGCGATTCCTCTTCCCTAGACCAAAGCACAACATCTCCGCCCCCTTCACACGCAAGCATTCTCTCCCAAATACGCCTCGGCACCGACCGTGAAGTCAGCACAATACCACGCGCCCTCCCCGACAACTTCGCTGCGCCAACCACACCCGACGCCCGCCCAGCAAACAACGAGCGTGACACAGGCGCAGATAAGAAAACTGGAAATTGGATCTACCCCTCTGAGCAAATGTTCTTCGACGCCATGCGCCGCAAATCCTACGATCCCTCCGCACCAGACATGCGCACCATAGTCCCCATCCACAACGCCGTCAACGAGCGCGCCTGGCACGAGATCAAGTCCTGGGAAGCGAATCGCGGCGCAGAGAAATGTGGAGGACCTAAGCTTGCTTCCTTTTCTGGGTTAAGCACTAGTTTGACTCCCAGAGCACGGTGGAAGAGTCTGATGGGGTACCAGCCACCGTTTGATAGACACGATTGGGTTGTGGATCGTTGTGGGACAAAGATTGAGTATGTGATTGATTTCTATGCGGGCAGAGATGAGGGTAAGGTGGGGAAAGCGTTGAACTTCTATTTGGATGTTAGGCCCAAGTTGAATAGCTGGGAGGGTGTCAAGATGAGGATTGCTAAGTTCTGGGGGTTCTAGATATAGAGAAGAGAGAAGAAGTGGGCAATGTAGGATATGATGTGCGTGTGTATGATTAGTGAATCCGGATCGGAGTATGGCACTTGACGAATATCTTGATGAGTATGAAAAGATGTATATAAGGATGCGGAAAGGGAATAGAGAAACTTCGCTCAAGAAGGGAACACCCTGCGCCTCGACGCGCGGTTGATGCTACCAAACGCCTCTATACGCCATGCGTGCATCTAAGGCTAATCGTGTCCCCAAGGCAACTCCCTCAAAAGACCGTTCAAGCCGACCATCCACCAGCAAGAAGATACTGTACGTACAGTCAAAACTACAAACAAGTCTACCCATATCAAATGTACCAAAGTTCCTGGCTTAGTACACCTCGAGCCCTAACTTCCTAAGCTTATTACAATTCTTCAACTCCATGTTCCGCGCCTTGTTCATAGCCTCTTGGTCCACACTAAACCAACCCTGTGCTTCCTCCATCGCTCTCCTCTGCTTGACCCGCTCGTTCTGACACCGCGTGTTGGTAATATGAACGTACTGATTCTCAGCCTGCTCATCCAATTTCCGCCACTTCTTCGGTGTGTAATCGTGAACGTCCTTGGGGTCGACAAAGTAATCGATCTTTATCCGCGTAGATACGCGCTTCAGTGTGTTGGGGGAGCGGGGGGTTTCAAAGACGAAGCTGGGGCCTGCGGATGTGCTACTTGAGCCGGAGAAGAGAGAGGAGAGGAGGGGTAGGACGAATAGGAAGAGGAGAGGGAGGAGGTTTGCAAAGGCTGAGGAGACATTTTGTTGGCCTTCGGAACCGGGGGGTACAGCGGTGCCGGGACGTCTGCGTGGTCGGCCGCCGCCGAATTGGTGAACGCGTACGCCGGGGCCGCCGCCTAGGTTGAAGACAAAGCCTGGTCCTGTGTCCATGCCGCCTGTGGGATGTTAGTCTTTTGTTGAACGGTTCCACTTATCACCAGCACTGGAATCTGGTTGAATGAGTGGATACATACCAAAAGGTCCTCCGAACGCACCGCCAAAGAACTGTCTAAACAACTCTTCGGGAGTCATTTCCTCCTCAAACCCTCCTCTTCTCGCGAACCCATTTCCGAATGGACTCGCACCACCTCCACCATTCGCACTAGCATGCGCTCTAGGATCGAACCTCGCATCAGGGTCCCCACCAAATTGATCATACTTCTTCTTCTTATCCGGATCACTCAACACCTGGAACGCCTTGCTGACCAGCTTAAACGCATCGTCCGCACCATCGTACCCATTCTTATCCGGATGCGTAAGCAGCGAGAGCTTGCGGTACGCTTTTTTGATATCCGAGTCTGAACAGGTGGTTTTGACTTCTTCGAGGCCGAGGATCTTGTAGTAGGCGGTTGGCGCACACGATTTGATGCGTATTACGGCGGCTTTCTGCTCCACGGTAAAGGCTCGGCCTGCGCTGCCGTCGTGGTGATCGCGCGATTTGGCGTCGGAGCCAGAGGTTTTGCCGGACATTGTTTGGCGGACGAGTTTATGTGTGTGGGGTATTGGTGTTTACGGGGTGGGAGATTATGCTGCCGGGCGGGCAGCGGTGTCGAAGGAAGGCCGATGCGCAAGTGTGGGCAGCCGGTAGCGTTACAACGATGATTGCGATGTGTAAGTGCGTTGGATACGATGTCATCCAGAAGACACGGTTGTGGTTGTATTAGTCGTGATAGGCGTGTTATCTGCCTCTGTTGAAGTTCGCGAGTTCCGAAGGCCAGTTTCCAGGTGCTGGGTTGGCACGGGCTGACGGTCCACTTGCCGGACTAACGTCATTCAACTTCACCCAATCTCAACCCATGTACCCTCCAGCGACTGTTCTTCCAGCACCGAATCCGTTCACACAGCCATAAACTCCTTCGCGAACGCTGAGAAGAGATACGAGTGTCACGATGACTGAACAATCGAAGCAGTCTGTGCTCCAATCGCTGAGGAATTGGGGAGGTACGTTCACATGTCACTTCCTGGTTCATCTCGTTACTCACGTGTTTCATTTTGACCTTGATATTCCGATACAAAATTGCTAACCTTACTGTTCCCTTGTAGAGAACTCTGTACCACCAACACTCCTGGCCACCTTGATCACAGCCCAACATGCGCGTCCTTTCCAGTTCTTCCCCATGACGTTTACGCCCGTCCTGCTCTTTTCCTCTTACCTGAATCTGAGCAACTATAAAACCGACGCTGCCGGTATCACGGCTGCATGGAGTGGTCTCTATGCATTGCTGGCCATGCGGAGAAGTCAGGTATGCTTGCATTGCTCTACCAAAAAACAATACCTAGACAGTGGCAAAAGCTAATCGAATACTAGGGTATCAAGAACAAGCTTAGTGCTCGCGGCATAGTAAGAGGAGGATCACTTGCTCTTTGTGCAATCAATGTCGCAGGTTGTGGATTAGCCTACACATTTGGCAAGCGAGAAAAGGAGGAGAAGAAGGCGTAGAAATCGAAGACGCTATCATGTGTAACATTATGTATCCCTAAGATTGTATGCTCTAAAACTTTCCGTCTGGTCTGATTGAAACTCACCAGGTGTAAACCATCGCAAGGACGCCGTCGCTATGCTGAACAATCGACATCATTTGCAAGACACCATACCACTACCAGGCATCACCCCAGCCTTCTTCTTCGTCTTCATTGGCTTTCGGTTCTTCTTTCTTGACCTCTTTCTTTGGCGGCACAATGACTTTCCTCGTTGTTCCTGTTGTGCTCGATCTGCTTCCAACCGCCGGCCTCGCTGTCTTTGCTACTGGCGTTGCTGATTTAGTAAGACCCTTTGGAAGAGCATTCTTCGTTGGCTTCTTCGCATTGGATTGTGCTGCTAACCAACCAGCAAAGTCCGGTTCGCCTTTGTCGTCATATGACGTCGTAGATGCTGGCTTCGACACAGCTGGTGTGCCCCATGGATCCTCTTCCTCTTGTGGTTTGTCCTCTTCATCAGCAAAGCCGCCCCAGTCATTGTTGAAATCCTCTGCCTCGTCATCAAAGGCCGCTGCTGGGTCTGGTGACTTTATGGTAGGAATAGATGCAGTACTCTTGGCGCTATGAAGGGGCATCCCTGGCTTTGTCGACATTGGGACTGGCGGTTTGTTGGTCGTAGTAACAGCTGGCGGTACTGAAGACGATCTTTGATCCACTCCGTTGGTTGTTGAGCTGGCTTGCATCTCGCCAGCTGTTGATGCCAGCTTGTTGGTGAAGCTTGATATAGCCCAACCAGTCCACGAGGTACCATTGGCAGGGGTCCCTATGCGTGGAGTGGATTCTCCGCCAGACGCGAGGCCTGGTGGTGGGAGTACCGTGTCCGGCATTGTGGCGGCAAATTTGCGGATACGTGCGATGTAGATATCAACACTCTTCTGCGCCTGATCACGAATGAGCTTCTCCTTGTCCACCAGTGACGGACACATGATGGGAAGGAGTTTGGTTGCGCAATCATCCTCGCTAAAGAGATCGGCTGTTGCGGCCAGTGCCAGGAGGGCAGCATTCCGAGCGTGCACAAACGGATCACGTAGCGAGCGAGAGAATGCAGCAGCAAGAACCTTGGCTCGACTCTGTGCATATGTTAGTAACTGCTTTATATCTCGAACATATCGGAACGTACACTGGCTCCCAAATTGCGCGCGATCTTGCCTAGACAAATTGTGGTGTTCGTCCGAATGCCAGGCTGCTCGTCGTTCGCGGTTTTTGCCAGATGACGAAGAAGCTCACCATTCACTACCCGGTCCGACAGCTTGGGTACTACTGTGAGGATAGCCTTTACGGTCTGTTCCCTCACTACGGGCGCAATATCTGAAAAGCCAGTCACCTGGTTGGGTTAGCATATGGGTAGTGGTACCTAAATGGTGCTCACCATCTGTGGGAAGATCTTGTCGTTGACAAGCTTCTGAGGTAAGTGGTCAATCATAAGCGGCAGGTTGTCTAACAAGCAGACGCGTATCGCTCGATCTGGGTTTCCGAAGAGTCGCACCACAACTGGCGTAATCTGAGTCTCGTACTCGTCATCTGACAGCTTCTGCCCTATCTGCATGACAGTGCCAAAGACTTTGGCGCCTCCGCCTCCGAACTCGACTGATTTGAGTAGCTCTGGAAGAACCTTCATCTTGAAGAAGTCTGTAGGAAAGTCGTCTGCGACCGCGTCAAGCTTTCCAAGCAACTCGTTTCGCTCATCCTCTGCTTTCAGTCCCAGATTCTCAATATCGTCTGTGACCTGGATCAAAGGCGTCTGGAAGAAGCCTCCTATGCGCTTTCCCTGGTCCAAGAACTGGCCCACGCTCATGCGTGACTTTGGATTCGGGTTGAGAAGGCGTTTGTATGACTGGTGCATGGTTGGAGGAATGCTCTTCATTTGCCCTAACTGCTCGCTGCTGTTGTAGCTGCCGTTGAAGACCTCGAAGATGAGAACACCAAAGTTGTATGCATCTACCGCATGCGTCGGGTTCTGTTTGACAACCTCCCACCCTCCCTTCGAAACCTCGGGCGCCATGTACCGTCCTGCATCTGGTATGAGACCACCATAGGTCGGTAGTATTGAATCATCCTCCTTCACGGAGCTCAGCGCATCGAAGCCGCCAAGTTTCCACTCGCCACTTTCGCTAAAGAATATCGATGCCGGACGGATGCAGCCATGTATGGACGCAGCGTCGGCATTTACGAACTTGAGCGTCTTCGCGATGTTGTGTAGCCCCCATTTAGTGGTTTCTTCCGTCAGGCTCTTTCTCTTGACATGCCAGCTCAGTGGGCTGAGTCGCTCAGTCGCAATGTAGATATAAGTCTCCGTCTCTACTGTGTCTAGGACTTTCACAACCCCTGGATGACGCAGCGTTCGTAGCTTGCGCAGCGCATTGCGAGCGAGGGGTAATCGCGATTTGTTGGCGGTTATATCGAAGGAGAAAATGCTGCATTTGGAGCCGTCTTCCTAGCAAGTGAATGTTAGCAAGCGATTAGGCATGTGCAGACTTCTGGGCCATACTCGCTTTGTGCCGTTGTGCAGTGTCCAGATGGAGTCGTTCAAGTCGACCCGATCACCAAACGTGTAACCAAATGCAGGGCCTTTTGATATTGCAGACGCAACCGCCGACTTTAGGAAATCCATGACAGCAGCTTAGAGTTATGCGCTGCAATAAAGTTGGTGAGTCTCAACTGCGAGCACATGCAAGTGCACTTACCCGTAGAGGCCAGATGCGCCTGCCCCACCGGATCATCGGCACGTGATAGCGCGACGAACCTCCAAGGCTAAGCCTGGATTCTTTCTTGCCATCAGTACCGCACCAGCCGCCCATCTGTGCATTACCGCGTTCGCCGTCAGCCTCGTCTTCTCCTCTCACTTGGACGTATGGTACACTACAAAGTCTGCATGGCTGGACGCAGGCCACCCTCACTTCCTCTTTCCCCTTATGCTACGCGCAATCGGCATCTCGTTCTAGGCGCGTCTTGTGGGACTAAGCTCACTCTCTTCAGTATCGAGTCAGCGGACTGAACCACAACAAGTAAGTCGCAATATACCGACACTTAACCCGTATCCTTTCTTTCATGATGACTACTGGTAAAAGGTTAGATCGCATAGCATTGTGATGGTTCTCCTTTGATTCTACTGCGTGTCCTGGCACGTCGCGGGAGTTACTACTTGCATGCGCCTGCCCGCCGAAGAAGCAAAGCGGAAGCCTCCAGTGCTGCGAAATGCTGCCGTATAACAACAACCTGAAAAGAGCTGATTCATCTCCTTCATCACCACTTGACTTACTCGAAAACAATTATGAAGCATGCGCTAACACGCACGTACTATCCCAGGTGTCACCTCTTCCTTTCACACAGCATTCCAGATGAACGAACATGACAGCAAACGACGGGCACCCTTTCATAGTCATGGGAAGTTGCCACATCATGGTCGGCCCAATGTTAGTATCAAGACAGCCCCCGAAAAGCCTCGTGATGTGCGCGAGAGCCATGTGCAACCACGCCAGAAGGGTTCGATATCACCGCCTCCACTAAAGCGTCAACGTACAACATACGACAAGTTCAACTTGGAGACACGTGGCCCACTTTCCACAAATCGAAAAGCACATCTGCCAACTAGCTCTAATGCACCCAGGCACAGGTATGGTGAGGTCCAAAGTAATGTTTGGCCACGCTGACATGTGCCTCTAGCTTCAGTGAACACACCGAAACTGCCTCTGCCGCACCAAGTAAGCGAAAGCCAGATACGGTTTCGGTATCGAAGTCATTCCCAGCACCACCTGCCCCACGTAGGCATGATAATCGGAATACCCACCAAAATTCAGAAAGTAGCCTTACATCTCGTGAGAGAAAACCTTCAAAATCAGGCACATTGGGTAAACCTGCATGTCGGATTTGCGAGAAGAGTAGTGCCACAAGTTTCAACCCAATTGTTTTGTGTTCGGAATGCTCCAGAACTTACCATGATAGCTGTCGAAAGCCTCCACTCTCTTCTGGAATCGATCCGTAAGGCACGCCTACGATCATCATTGGTAGAGACTGACAATGACAGGCAAAACTGGAGATGCACCTTGTGTTTGAGCGATAGTGGAGCGCGCAAGAATCTCAGCCTATTTTCGGCACCGGCGTCAACCAGCCACTCTATAGTGAGAGACATATTCAAGCCAAGATATGCTCAACCGGCTCCACGTACTGCGTCGTCAAATCGTCTTCTCGAGAACAAGTCCGACACGCATGCTGAACCTGAGCCTGCTCGACTTACTACAAAAGCCACCACTGCTGACAAACTTATCAAACCTAAGAAGGCCCCTGGCCCCTCTCAACCGCTTGTACCAAAGCCGATCAAGCGCACGGAGATCTCCAACACACCATCACAAGGCTCAAGTCAGACTGACAGCTCCATACCTGAGAAATCATTCAGACACCTTCGCAGAGATCAGATCTCCCAACAATCCCTCCATACGCAAGATGATGAAAATGCCTTGCCTCTGGACACCTCAGTTCACGTCGTAATGTCGACTCCTTCGATGACTCTTTGTTCGACTTGTCAAAAGCAGGGTGATTTGGCCAAGTCTGCGGAGATTGGTGTTCAGTGTTCTAGCTGTCGAATCAGCACACGTTTCGCTGAGACAGGAAGGCTAGAGATACCCGAGACTCCGGACATAAACACTATCCGTAAGCCCTCACTCTTGCCATCGAGCTCGGCAAGTTCGATTGCTCATATTGCAGCTCCGACCGTGGATGATCCTGTATCGAGTATGGCTTCTTCAGTACAAAACTCAGCCAGATCAGAAGCCGAGCTTGACTTGCCAACGGTCGAGGCGAGCCCTTTGTCCTGGTTCGATCCAGAACAAGTGAACATCTTACCGGAAGTCAAGAAGGTTCGTGATAACGAATTGTCCTGTAAATTTGCCGCAGACATCCAAGCTACGGATACCGCATCCACATCTCATGAGACCTCTCTTGAGCAAAGCAAGGCCCTGGAAATGCGTCCGATTGCTGATATCAGTGAAAAGAAGACTACTCTAGAAGTGGAGCAGGTATTGCAAGGGGATCAAGTTTGCGACAACGATCCATTGCCACAAGTCGATATGCAACGTGAGAACTGTACTCCATCTACTGATAATTCGAACCATGATGAACCCTCGAGGACCCATGAGCCTGACACCGCCAATGACACTTCACCCGGCAAATCAGATATACTGGGAGACAGTGAACCTCGAAAGCCAGCAGCCATTGTCGTTGGGCCTCTCGAATTGAGCTTAGATGTTATACCCCAGCAACCTTGTGCTGAACGTACGACGGATCGGGTTGTTCCTATATTATCTGCAGAAGAACAAGCACCAACAGTCTTAGAGTCGAGAGGAACGACTGAAGGTGTCCCTGTCCCCCCAGTCCTAAGCGTCTCAGTGAGCCCGACTCCGGCAAGCACAGGTTCGCCGACACTTAACGAACGTCTCAACAATCGCGATTTGGCCAGGATAGCACTGGTATGTGCGAAGGGCACAGGTTTGACTGCCTTGCAGGTCATCGACTGGTTGGCTTCAGAATTTCCTCACTTGCAAAAGGGTCAGGGTGGTTGGGAGAAGACTATCAAGTCTGTGCTTTCTCTTCTACCTGAAATCCATGGCGTGAGGTCTCCGCGCCAACCAGTTTTGTACAGCTTCGCCAGTGCAGCTCTTAGAGCAAAGTACGAGAAACAATATCGAGGCTACCTTCAACCAATCCCAGTATCAGGATCTCATGGTAGTAAATATAAGGCCAGAAAGAGCGTACGACAACAGCACGAAGCAGATACTGTTAGCCAACAGCAGCATGTCCAGATTAGACCACCTGCTCAGACCGAGAGAACTGCTTCAAAAGCTATCAAGAGTGCACCAAGTCGCCGAAATGTTACGGCCCACGGCTCTACTCTACTACCTCTGGTTCTTGAGGGAACACTTTCCCACGACCCTGTGTCAGCGCCTGCGATCGAGCCTGTTGAAATCGACACGTCAGCAGCCAATCTCGACGGCGAAAAGTCACCATCAGCCCCGTCGGTCTTTGGACCCAGGGTTCAGAATGCCGAAGCAGACAAAGTCAAGATTACTTCAAATTATGACGACTTGTTTCACCCGTTCGAGCGCGCTGTTGCGTCTCGTCCGAATATTGCGCTTTCTGATGATTTAGAGACCAAACGTGGAACGAGCTTACGCAGTATCTATCCGCGCACTGTAACGCCTACAATTGAGACCATGACTGCAGAAGAAAAAGCTGCAAAGATTGCAGAGATCAAAACGAGGCCGAAACGGAAACAGTTCTTCGGCTCACTCTATCGTCTGGCACACGTGCGAAGATATGGGCGGCAGGATATTCATGACCAGAGTGACGGGGCATGGAAGCCCAACTCCATGACAGGGAGGTTGATGGGTGAACAAGATTCCGCTGCCATGAATGAATGTGGTGAAAACCGATCTTTGTTACAAGTCTTTAATCTGCCGAGTAATGCTATCCCTATGAACGACGGCAAGGAGCTGGCTTTCCGAGACGGGACATTGGTGAATGGCCGACTGCCTCGGCCGCGGCAAGTATATCGAGTTGGCAAAGCGTTTGGAAGCGAACTTACGATCAGATGAGCGGAGTTCTTCGGGGTCGCAAGGTTGTTTTTTTCGATGTTTTGTAGCACTATACCCTATCGTACATGAATTACGACATGACAATGCTATAACGTTCGCTGACTAGGCCTAAGTAATGCTTTTGCACTTTAAATTGATTAGCAGACAAATGTCCGAGCCTTCTCAAGGACTCTGGAAGCCGATCATAGTTTGATCAAGATTGAACGGGTGGAGTAATCTTCGATTAAAGTTCCGTCGCTGACAGACCCTCACCAGCTGTCCTCGCTTGGCGCCCTGTGTACCCGCCAGTTTCGCGCCTTCCATCTCCACTGCAGGCACCCCAAAACAAAGACTTCCAGACTGTGGCGCCTTGCATTGGAGGACTGCAATGCTAACGACTGAAGGCCCGCTCGTATCTTGCCGCCCGCAGATCGTGCGGCCCACGTTGTGCGGATGTTTCTAGGCCTGAAACACGACCCTTGCGGCTACGCGGGCGCGTTTCAAGGCCTCAACACCAATCATTACGCGACTGCCACATCTCGACCAAACCTCGCCTCACCGGCTGGATGCCAAAACCCCACGTCGACCCTGTACCTTGCTCTGCGACAATTTCGCTGCCGAACTTACCAGCTGAGAGATGATTGACTGGGCCGCTCTGGTTCTGCACATCCCGCCGGATCTAGCGGGGAGCGTTTCACATGCGCCGGTAGTACTGGCGCGACTACCGTTACTGGAGTCATTTGGGCCACTCGTAGGTGAGGCGACGAGACTACCCAGCGCGAGGGGCCTTATTTTAGCTATTGTAAGGTTCGCGACAATGACAGGTCACGCTAGCGGCGAGTTTTGTCCTGAGGTTTCCTCCTTCACTTCGGATTTTGCTTCTCATCCTTCATCTTCAGTCTCTATTGTTCGTTATTGTTGCCGTTGTTGAAGGCGTGCTGCCTTGACGGCGTGGGATACTCCCTCTACTTTATCTTCGTAAACTTAACTTCTTCAATCCATACACTCTCTTTCTCCATCCTACGCTTGACGCGCTTCTCTCGACTGCTGGACAGACCAACTACATCTTCCTATAAATTCGAGCTCTTCAACATCCTACGATTTTCTCTGCACAATCGAAATGGCGCTTCTTTCAGCCGAACATCTGGCTGGTCCAGGCTACATCATCCTTAACGTCTTGCGAGGTCTGAACATTATTGCCCTCGCTTCAGTGGTCGCTAGCAGCGTGGTCATGCTGGTGAAGACGTTCATCATCTCGAAGGTACGTTCAAGAGCCGGCTCCAGAGATTCACAGAAGCTTACATATAGTAGTTTTTCTTCTTCGACGCTACAAGCCATGTCATTACTGCGATTGCTGGAATATTCTTCATCGTCTCAGAATGCTCATTGTTCCGCAACTTCTACGCCTGCAACTGGCCGCTGCTCAGTCCATCTCATGGCTTTGTCACTTTGGGTTGTGCGATGATGGTAGTCGGACTCAACATGCTCGGTAACATGAACAAGGAGGCCACGAGCCAGAAGTCGCTCACTCTGCCGTTCTGGCGCCTGCTTGTTGCTTCGGGTATCCTAGCCATTGTCATTGGCTTCTTCAACGTCGTCGCCAGTTTCGTCTTCCGCGATAAGTCCCGAAGGATCACTGCTCGCATGGTACGCTCGAGAGGAGCCATGACGCTTCACGAGGACATCGAGACCCAATCTCAGTACGATCCCAAACACAAGGCCTTCACTATCAGCACCCACCACACTGGAAGCACCTCCTCTCGCACCAACGTCCACGGCGGCACACCACCCATGCGAATGGGTACCCCGCCAGTTGATTGTGGCTCACCTCAAGTCGCATCTCCTAACAAAGAAGACCCCAACCACCTCTCCCAGTTCGACTTCAGCCCCCTCCGCGCTTTCCGAACAGCTCGCCAATCCTTCCTACCCTCCTACCACAGTCAATCACCTGCTAAGCCCAGCTTCTTCTCGCATCGCCCATCAAGCTCCATCTACTCGCGTACCACATCCGGCGAGCCGGCGAGGAAGAAGTTCTGGCAGCGACAACGCGAGGAGCAAGAGGAAGAGACTGCACGTATGCCTGAGATTAGCTACCCTTTGAACGTTAACCCACAATTTGCACACCTTGTCAAGCCAAACCTTGCGCATCATCCTAGCGTAAGGAGGCCTGAGGCAGACTATGACAAGATCTAGATGGGCTTGTCGAGCCATGGGGGTGAGCAGAGCAGTTGACGGCGGAGGAGTACGATTACTATGATACCACTTTCTTTTTCCTTGTCTGTTGCATCAGCATATTGCTACATACGGCATTGGCGTTTACACATTGGGACCACAATCATATACGCTCCAGAGTGACTAAATCTGTCGAGCGAGCTGTCCTTCACTGGAAGCGCTACTTTCTTTTCGGTTTTCTTTTTCCTACTGCTACTACATACACACCTTTAGCAATGTCTAGTATTGCCATCTATGACTTGGTTCTCGTTGCCTTCTGGTGGCGTGTGATGCGCGTATATATTTACATATGTTACACAGCGATAAGATCGGCTGAATCTTTTTCACTTGCTGCTTCGCCGAAGTCTCTGCTAATGGCTAGAACATGCTGAGCTGCCAGCTCTTACTTCCATGATCTCTCGAGTATTCTCATACTTTCCAGACCAGTCCTGCCACTCTCCTCAAAACAGCCACAACATTTCTTTAATCCATCTACCGCCCTACTCCTCCACAGCAATGGCCTGGAACGGATCAATAGCATTTCCCTCGGGATCATAAAGCTCCATCTTCGTTCCATCTTCCATGGTCAAACTATACTCCTGCGTATAGTACAACCCGCCCCGACCCCTCCTCCTACACCTGAGCTTGACCTCTCCCGCCCTCTTTGTCCCCTTGACCCAGAAGCTAACATCAATGCGCCCATGAAGCTGGTTGATTTCGCCCTTGATCCAAGGATATTTACTCGCAAAGTAGATCTCGTCGCCGAGTTGTTCGCGGACCATGGGGTTTGTGCGCAGCGCGTAAAGGGTTGCGGTTACGACGGAGGATTCTTGCTTTTGGTAGTTGAAGAAGGCGAAGAGGGAGATTGTCATGGCGATTATGAAGAGCGGGAGGGTTTTTATGACTTGCGGGGAGATTAAAGGTGGAACTCTAGAGGTTGTTGTTAGTATGTTCACATCGAGATGGTAGCCAGATTCGTGGCGGAAGGTTTTGGGCGAACGTACGGTGGTAATGCGCGGTTTGGTCGGCGCTCCAGTAGTACCTCGCCATCTTTGGGTGGGGGGATGAGGTTCTCGGGCGACCACACACTGGTGGGTGTTTTCCAGGGCACGACGGGTTTTATGTCATTTTGTGATGGTGTGGTTGATGCGCGGCGGAAAGGTGCTATGCGGCGGAGACTTTGGTAATTTGCTTGCGGCCGCGCTCGGAGTAATGCTGGAGAGAGCCGTGGAGGAGGCATTGTGTTGTTGTGGAATCGCAATTCGGTGGGTTTGGAGATGGGTGTATGAGATCAGTCGATATGCCGGTGGTGATGTTTGCATGGTTTGCACATCGGCGCTAGCGGGGGTGGTTCGGCGGGACTTGCTTCACCTCACTTCAACTTCATCTCCATCACCATGTTCAGTAACATATGTTAGTGTTTGCAACTGAAGTGCGGTAGCTAACATGTTCCGACTTATCGAGCCCTCCATCCCATGAACTTTCCACCCAAGCTTCTGCGCATACGAACGTGTCAATCACGAACCTCCCGATAGTCCGATCATTTAATCACAAAGATGTTCATTTTCTACGCTGAAGTACTCATGAGAGGAGTTTACAGCTTTCATTTCGTCGTAGTGTTCATTGAAAACGTTGTGAATGTCTCTGGAGTTAGGTTTCAATTGCTTGATCTTCAGACATATAAGTTGCCTCGTAGACTGAAAACCAGGTGAGATGCATACTAATTCGCTATTGTGATGCCTGTTGCCAGACTTCAAGTAACGATGTATCCGAGGAAACCCCGTAAGTATGCTGATCGAGCCTTTCTCGTTTTCGTCTTCTCTCAGGCTCTTTTGAAAACCCATTATTTCAACCTGTATCCATCTCCATTATATGGTCCATAGATCATTTGACTATTGTCCAATCGGCGATGGAACACATGGCAGCCTCTGGGTTAATTGTCTATCCATTACATCGTTGTTTGCTCTCTCAGCTGAGCAGTGCGGGCGTCGCTACCCTCTGCTTCAACCAGTCACATGGGAGCGCGTCACTAGCGGCAACGCCAATTGTTGCTCTTTCCGTCTACGGTGTTTGTATACACTTTAATTTCAATCCATTTTTCTTTCAGATACAATTCTTGCACCAGAAAGTCGCCCACCATGCCAGGATTGACTGTCTGCAGAGGACAAGCTGTATCACTGGTTCAAGATCAAGATATCGTGCTCACAACCGAGCCTGGTTTGGTATGCCGCTTCCACCTGCGTGCTTCATCGACCACTGACCTTACGTGCAGTCCAATTTGACAATCACTATCATCGGTGCCGTTGGGGACGATGGCGTCAAGCACGTTACGGATTTACTTGTCGCCTCAGACATCTGCAAAAAGTCACCCTACTTGAGGGCGCTTCTTGACGATAGCGACGACAAGTCGGAGCTAACCTTTGGCGGAGATGCCACATCCAAACACGATGACAAAAACAAAGAGGCTGCCATAGTATGGCTTGCGAATCTTCACGAGCTTTCAGAGCAGCGTTTAGACGAATTGCGCCTCTTTGACGTTTCACTACTAGGCGTCTGGGAAGTCATTGCACTGTGGGACTCCCACCATGACGGCGACATCAAGGAACACTTGGGTGATTGGTTCAACAAGTGGTATGAGAGGAACATGGTCAAGGCCAACTTGACTGTGCCGATTGCTCAAGCTCTTGCATACCCATGCTATATGTTCAACCACGCTATCGGCTATGCACGCGTCACCAAATACCTCGCCTACGAGCACGTCGGACACGTCAAGGAGCGCCCACCCAAGGGCTTCAAGGGTCCTAAGCACCTTCATATTAACGAGCGGGTGTTCATTGGTAAGTCTCTCTCATCTTTCGATCCTTGTTTCTCTTTTGTTTATCATCCCTCTTCCATTTGTAAAAAAAAGGCATAAGCCGGGAAACGTTGAATACCAATATCAACGAATAGGTCCTTTGAATCATGCCCGTGGAGGTCTGCGTAACTCCCTACACAAGTCACTGTACTCCCGCGTTGGTAGGATCCTTCGCTCTGATTCTTCGCTATGTTCCTGTTGGGACGCTACGATCGGTCGCTACCAGCTTGCCCTCACCAAGTGCGATGCGTGGCCAGTCGACGACGTCCTCAACTACTCCAGCATCGGCCAGGTCGTGCGTCGCCTCAAGGCCTTCGATTACGCGTATACTCCAAAATGTAATCGCTGCCGTAGCATCGACTGGGAGACCATCGTCCTCAAGGCTATTTCTAATACACTTGAATACTTCAACGGCATGTGCCTTGACTGTATGGATCGCAGCAAGCCTCGTGGAGACAACTTGGACGAGGAGTATGAGACGCACAATCAGCCTGTGGGAGGTCGCTGGGACACGCAGTGCCGCATCAAGCATGGACAGCCTACGTGGTACATCTCATGGCTCGGCCGACCGGACATGCGCGAGAAGATTCTCCGCGGTCCTGACGGCTACCGCGCACCTGAGGAGGAGTAAGTGTCTCAAGACGGGTGAATACAGCAGAGCATCTGAACCACATCTTGTTCACTTTCCTATCTGAATCTGTTCGGATGAGACTCATAGGGTGGTTGGGAGAAAGATTATGCAGTCTCTTTGGCCTGTATTGAGCCGAGTGGGTGGTCTTTACTGGAGCTGTCAATCACGAAATACAATGTGCAATATTTAGTGCATTGGAGTCAAATCCAGGACGAACAATATGAACTTCATGTGATTCATTAAATACTAAACGCTCACAACATCGGGTATCTCCAGGCCTATCGTACACTTATCGTAGCGCCAATAACAAAGGAAACGGTTTCATTACCCCAGTCCAATATGCTTAGTACACACGGCGGGCGTTCCGGCCGTCAGTGCCATGCATGCGGCGAGTGCCAGCAGCCTGTGTATTGTTAGTAAAGCACAGTGTATTATGAATGACAGTTGCTTACCTTGAGACCGGGTCTGCGCGTCAAAGAACCTCGTAGCTTCATCAACGCTCCACTGACCTTGTCACCCATAGTGGCATGGCGCTTATGGTGATGGACGGGAGCGGCAGTAGTAGCGTGACCGTGATGACCACCAGTGCGAGTCGTCCTGGTGGTTGTAGTAGTGGTAACGGTGGTGCCGCCCGTGCGCTTAGTGTGTGTGCGACGGTTTCCACCAAGAAGGCGGGTCTTAAGGGAAGGGCGCGCTGCACGTGTAGTGCGTGGTGAGGTGCGCACGGCAGTGCGGGGAGCGTGGCGGCGGGCGAGAGGCATGATTGCTTAAGTTGGTTTTGGTAGGATTAGGTTGATTGAGGTATTGATGAGTTGTTTGTAGGGTTGAAAGTTCCTAGAATCGATTGCTTGTGATTGATAGTTGGTGTTGATGTGTGAATTCACAAAGCGTGCTATAACTTCCATCTTATACTTCAAGGCACAATGCCCAGTCCTTTCGATCTGATCCTCTCCAAGTCCCTGGAATCAAGTTCTACCTTGCCCAGCACCCTGTATAGGGCTGCGATCGACTATCTAACGTCATGCAGGGACCCGTGCAAGATTGTACCCCGACGCATGAGTCGTGGCGCATGACGTGCCCTAACATCCTCTAACGGCTTTGGTGTGGCTCACTCAATGTAAGAGCGAGTTACGATGGCCGTTGGTGCTAGGGTCTTAGGATCGAAGTGAAAGGGCGAGGCTGGATGCGGTCATAGCGCGTTGTGTCTGGACCCTGATTTTAGCGCAGGGGTACGTCATACCTCTGAATAGCTTCATGAGCGTCATCGTAGGAGGATTGTGAGGATTGCAACAACAGCGCCAAGGGGCTGGTGGAGATGAAATTTGACGAGAATGGAATGTTGAATCCGTCGACATTGGTTCTGGCCCTTCCGAACGATGTGAAGTTGGTGGAGGTGTTGTAGGTCTGATCAACTCGATGACGTCGCGACCGAGAAGCTTGGTGGGGTTGCTACAGAAGTTGCCCCGAGTGACTTTCGTAAGTAATCCGAGATGCAGCCTCAATCTTCGTCTCAGCTCAAGCTACTTGTACACTCAAGAAGATATATGTGTCGATCGCAAGGCCGTGCGAAAGAGCGTGTTGAGGCTACGGGTAAGGCTGAAGCGACGTTAGCCGTTCCCACCAGTTCGTGCCAGCATCGATACATCGACCGATGCTATTCTATCGTCGATGGAAAACTTAGCACCGCATTCTCTGATGTTCCGCCTAACTCTCCTACCACACCGGGCTCCACTCTCGCACATGAGCGTGCCGTGACAGCCTTGTGATGTCACAAGAAATCATGAACGTCAATAAAAGTTCCACCTCGAGCCACGATGGCCAGGACAACTTCACCAACTCTACCTTAAACCACACAATTGTGCTCAATCTCTCTGTCTTATAAACTCTTTACTAATTCCGAGATACCCTTACAACAATCACGCATCATGTCTTCTAGCAAGGGCCAGTTCGAGCAGGGTAAATACACACCAAGCTTCTTTCCATGTGTTCCTGCTAACCCAATGTGACAGGCTTCCAGCCCGATGTTCAGCATCAGAAGGCCCCCGGTCTCGAGTCCAAACTCGACCCTCTCCCCAAGGTCGATGAGCTTCCCACACCCGAGGGAGGTGCTGAGAAGTACAAGGCTGCTGGCAAGCTCAAGGGCAAGCGCGCCATCATCACCGGTGGAGACTCCGGTATTGGTCGCTCGATCGCTGTTCTCTTCGCCATGGAGGGCGCCGACAGCTTCATCGCCTACCTCCCCGAAGAGGAGCAGGACGCACAAGATACCAAGAAGATGGTTGAGGAGAAGGGACAGAAGTGCTATACTCTTGCAATCAATCTGAAAGAGAAGGCGAACTGCCAGAAGGTCATCGATGAGGCCGTCAAGCAGATGGGTGGCATTGACATCCTGATCAACAACCACGCTTACCAGATGATGGTAAACGACATCAGCGACCTGTCCGAGTAAGTATCAACCCCGGGTTTCATCTAAGAAATTTTCTAACAACACATAGGGAGCAATGGCTGCACACATTCGACACCAACATCCACCCCTTCTTCTACCTTTCGAAATACGCCCTACCACACATGAAGCGCGGCGCAACTATCATCAACAACGCCTCCATCAACGCCTACGTCGGTCGTCCAGATCTTCTCGACTACACCTCAACCAAGGGCGCCATTGTTGCTTTCACCCGAGGTCTATCAAACCAGTACGTCGGACGGGGTATCCGCGTAAACGCTGTCGCCCCTGGTCCCGTCTGGACTCCTCTCATCCCTGCCACCATGAACGACGATGCCATCAAGCAGTTCACCGCTCCTATTGGCAGGCCGTCGCAACCTAGCGAGATTGCTACTTGCTTCGTCTTCCTGGCTAGCAACGACAGCAGCTCTATTAGCGGTCAGACTATCCACGCCAACGGCGGTACTGTCGTCAACGGTTAAGCATTTACTTCCCTGACTTGTTGCGGACGATGTATCTTACGACTTTATGAGCATGTAAAATATACTCAATGAATGAATCATAATACTGAACTTCTCTTTTCCATATGTTGAGCATTTGTGACGTTACCAGATGCCTCCGCATGTTAGTTGAACTCGACTCGATTACTTAGAAAGATTGAATGAATTAATCTCAAGTCATGTCACGCGTGTTCATCGCGCTATACATGATGATCTATTCCACGTGGCATGTTCATTTTTCATACGCTGATGGTTGTAACAACCTATAAATCCCGTTACCTAGCTATAATACAGTATACCCACTTAAGGGATTTTAGTGGTGCGCAGTCCCATCCTGACGCGGAGTTGGGCCCTCCTTCATCTTCTTCATAATATTGCTTAATTTCGAGCCTCCACCACTTCTTCCTCCTCCTTCAATTTGTGATCCAGAGACTGGTGGCCCCTGGTACGCCGTCTTTCCTGGCACCGCAGATGGTCCTATACTTGGCTGGGAAGGAGGTGGCGGTGCAGCTCCGATTATAGGTGCTTGTTGTTGCTGGTGCTGCACTGGTGTTTGGTCCGCCATATGTGGCTGCTGTTGTTGGTTTGCGTATTGGCGGGCGCGTGCGGTTTCGATTTCCGATCGGCCTTTGTCGATTACGGCTTGGTTTTTTGCGTGGGCGGCAGGGTTGCGACGGTCGAATGTGTCGTTGAATGTTCCGCGGAGGGTTTCTCCCGCGCCCTGAGGTATGGTATTAGTATGTCTTTGTGTGAGTGGCTAAGCGGTTTGAAGGACTTACATGGATACCTGCTGCCGCCGCTTTGAGGTTTGCCATTGTGCTCTGCTTGTTCAAATCATGACCGGCTCGGTATGGGACCGGACGGTTTGGGTCGTTGTTTGGGTTGGAATTGATGCCAGACTGTAGGCTAGGGGGTATACTCGACGGCTGCTGGCTAGGCATGGGCGGCGGCATACCAGATTGCTGTTGCTGGTGCGCGGGTAGCTGAGGGATACTTGATCGCCGTTGTTGCTGTTGTCCCGGTACTGGAGGTACAGGCGGTACGCCTGCCTGCTGTTGCTGTGGTGGCATACCGTCAACAGGCACTTGCCGTGGAACTCCTTGAGGCGGTGTTCTCGCGGGATATGAGAAGTTCGCTCGATTCGGACTGCTAGGAGCAACTGGACTGACAACTTCCTCCATCGGGTTTGGCCGCTGAACACCAGGCGATACCGAGTCCAGCTCTACTCTATGCCGAATATTGTTCTTCGCGGGAATGGGCGGAGACGAAGAACCCTCGATGTTGGAGACTTGTGGAGACAGTCTGTTGCCTTGCTGGTTATTGTGCATAGGTACTGGCGGGGTTATGTTCTGAGGTATGGCAGATTGTGCTGATAGGCCTGGCCCTTGATGGTAGTGGTTGTCGGGCTGAGGAGGTGCCGGCTGTGGTGGGCTGGGACCAGAAGTGTGCACGCTTTGTGCAGAGCCAGTAACACTGTCGCGGGGCTGCTCTACGGTGGTGGAGCCGCCTGGGCCTGTCGTAGTGGTTGTTGTCGTTGTCGTGGTCGTTGTGACTGTGACGATGTTCCCAGTGCCGGCATCGCGGTACGTCTCCCTGCCCACATCCTCATGGCTTGAACGACTTTGGAGTGTTTGTTGAGTCTGTTGTGGAGGCGCAAGGGTATTATGGTTCTGTGCGTTTTGTGGTGTAATTTGAGCAGGAGGTGCTTGATTGTTCGTGGCAGGTGGGTGGTGGTACTGTTCACCGGAGACGGGACGAGCTTGGTTTGCGAAGCTTGGATCTGCGCTGCTGCGCTCGCTACTGAAATATGCCGAGTCGGCATCCCTACGGGCCTTTTCCTTTTCTTCTTCCTTGTGAGTGTGGTTCAGACTATCCTTCGATGTCTTCTCTTTGGAAGAGAACGGATTGGACATGCGCCATTTTGATCGCTTTTCCTTCTCGGCGGACGTCATGTTCTCGGAGCCAGACATAGGTTGCGAGGATTTAGCTGCTGGTTGACCACTCAGGCCTCCTGTCATCTGCTCAAGCTCTTGTCGTTCGCGACTCTTTCGCTTTTGAAGTTTGGCAGGCTGTCGGAAACCGTCATCCATTGCCAGCGGTATACCCAGATTCGGTTTGAGGAACGGACCCGGATACGATGCACACGCGAAGAATTGGTCCAAAGAACTATGATCGGAGCTTTTGGTCCTAGAATAAGAAAATACTGAAGAGATCCCAATCAATATGTGAGTGTGTCTAGAGATGCATCGTATCAGTAGCGGGGAAGCCTTTGTATCGAGGACGAAACCCGAAGCAAGGCTTCTCTGCCCGCTGAAGACCCCATGATATCATACCGTAGTTCTGTGGCGCAGGGCAGGTGTGGCACCCAATGGGGGATAGCCATCGCGCGGCGATCAGTGGAGGGACGGCTGACAGGCATGGATGTTGACGCTCAATGATGATGGAGGGAACCCTGCCAGCGAGCTATCCAAGTTTTCGGTCTGCGCTATGCTTCGCGCAGCTAGGCCATCCGGACCAATCTGGGACGTGTGAGGATTTGGCATTTACTAGTACACGGCAGAAGCATTCAATCGACACTTGCTCACATCCTGAGATATATGGTTTCTTCATAGTGAATGGTGTACGAGCAGCCTTGAGGTGCTGCCCCCCGCACTCAGCCTTGAGCTCAGCCGCCCGGGTTAGCTCGAGGTAGTTAGTGGGGCTGAACATTATAATCTCATCGTGGGCACCAAGTTTCGAAAAGCATCTCAACACTCTTGTGGTCACGATCAAACGCTTCTCTTATTCTTGGAAATCATATCACTCTGTAGCCACATGTAGTCCAATCATGGCAGAGGTAATAGGTCTGGTCGCCAGCGTCGTGCAATTGGCCGATGCAGGTCTGAAATTGTCATCGGCGCTGTACCAATATGCTGATGGGGTGGCTACTGCCGATCGAAGAATCAAGAATATCGCGAACGAAGTCAAACTTACAAGCTTCGTTATCCAAGAGCTAGGGGGCATTTTTGAACAAAACAAGACGGCAAACCTGATTTCGGGAAATGCAATTATAACGGCGAAGGAAACGATCAAAGAGTGCGATGCTGTGTTTACAGAGATCAAGGTGATAGTCGACAAGACCAAGTCAGGAAAGATGGGCCGATTTATGTTACCTTTCCGGGATAACAAGATCGAACTCCTACGAAGTCAGATCGACAAACTTAAGAGTACATTGCAGCTGTTGATGCAGGTACTCATATTTGCCCAGCAAGTTTCGTCAAACAAGCTCAGCTACGAGGCCGAAGCAGAACAACGAAAAGAGATCATACAATTGAGGAAAATCGCGAAAGAAGCAGCCGAAAAATACGAGAAGTCGCGGAGAAGCTTCAGTATAAGCGATGATGGTACCGCTGTGAATGATGACGAGCGGTCCCTACAAGAGGGTGATGGATTTGTGTCGCCTTCTGATTTTTTCAAGGCTGCTTCGTCCATCAGCTCCACGATCAATCCTGAAACACTTGCGACATGTGTAAACCATGTTCGAAACCTCTTGGTAGATATTGAGACATTGCAGCTTGCCCTGGCCAGGGAAGTAGACGGAGATGATCATTCAGATCATCATCAGAAGGCTATTGGGTCTTACTTCATCGCTCGCTCCCATCTCGACAGTGTTTTGCTTGGCAACTCCAAAGCCAAATTCACTAGCACACAAACCCAGCAAATCATCAGCGAAACGAGTGCCAAAAGCGCTGCATCAGAGCTTCAGCGAAAGTCGGTGCCTGATGCAGCACACGAGAAGTTACCCTACAGGCATACCGATACCGCTTCGTATGCTGCGATAGTAGCAAAAGACACAGAACGAGTGTCTCGGCCAGAATCTTCGCCTGAAGAAGTACTGAAGATAGGAGAGCAACGTCTTCGAAAGTTAGCCCAAGAAGAGGTTCGACGAAGAGAGGGGACTGTTTCCTCTGCAAGAGACGCCCAATCCCCCAAGCGGCTTTCACTTTCGTCGCTCCAGCCATCGCAGTCGACCCGCGATGGCTCTCGTTCACCTTCCGGGTACTATCTCGTAGAAGAACGTCGGCCATCTGCGTCTAGTACGGGCCCTCTTCAAAACGGCCCTGGTCCCAAAAGAGATAAACCTAAACCGAGACTGGTTCTCGCTCATGCTCCTCCACCTGCACAGATTGCCTCTGAATACGATGTAAAATCAAATGCATCGTGCAGCTATACATCATCCCAGCATTCTTCTCCAAGCGCATACCAAGGTCATAAGACACGCGAGCATTCGCGTTCCCAGCGAGGAAATAAAGAAAGGGATATCAGGGCGAGTTCGGGGGCTTCAAACTCCCTACCCCCTAGACTAACATTGACGAAAACTCAGATACAGGAACAAAAAGAGTTACTAAGGGCAGAGGAAAAGGCGAAGACACATCAAAGAGATGGTAGGTAGACCCGAATGGTATCAAAAGAGGCACAATGCTTGCATATCTCTATACCATGAAAACTAAGAAAACGTTGCTGACGCTATTACCAACAGTGCCTAGAAGACGGAAAGATTCACAACAGAAGCTGAAATTGGGCGACTTCCTTGGAAATCAATGTAAGTTCATGGAGACCCTATACTGCAACAAATTACTGATACAGTGTAGCACTCGGATCCTGGGCAGACGAGATGGAAGACGGGCCTAAGAAAGTCCAAACAGAAAGAGGAATTTTTGTCTCCAGTAGAGGCAATTCCAAACCATCCGATGTTGACGAGGTGGACGAATTATTGAGGGAATGGACTACCGTGCTCGGATGAATATTTGGTAGTTGGTATCGCAACAGTTCCACGCTTGTTGATTAAAGATGTTACATGCTAAGAACACGCTCTGATTATTAAACTAAAAGACCCTGAACAATTTGACAAGGAACTACAATGTGCTGTCTCATCCAAGCAGCGTCCGATATCGACTTTGTCGGACCGTCGCACACTCCCAACCCTACATTTCCCGACATCGCCATCCCCCTCCGATATCGAAAGCCCAAGCCAGCCCAGGCAATCCGTCCGCGCAAAACATCTTTTCCGCGCATGTTTTCCGAACCCGGCAGCTCACCACGGCTGCTGTGCAACGCGACACTTTCGCGCCCGGCCAGATTGCGCCGTGGCCGAGCGGAACGCGTTACTAGTTGTCTAGACATCACCGTACCACACATCCGCCCACGTCTCGGCCTTCTCTGACAAGAAAATTTCACGTCATGTCGCGCGCGTGGGCGGGCCTAGCCAGGACCGGTAATGAGCTATGCTATCTTCTGCATTTGGGCTTTTTTGCTTCTTTCTTTGGTGGGGTCGGGATTTTTACGATTCTGTTTGGGCGGGGCATGGCAAGAAGCAGGGGTATGGGGCGCGTGGAGGGGCAGACAGGCAAGCTGAACGCCACGTTTTTGTGCTGCGAAGTTGAATTGCTTTTCCTATAGGGGGCTTGGTGACGTGCTGAGTTTTTGACTCGCGATCATGCTTGTGCTTCGAAGATGATTACCTATCTTGGAGTCATGCCACAGCTGGCAAGTGCGCCTGAAGGTTCACCGGGTACAAGTCCCGGTTTTGGCTTGGAAAGAGCTTGTGCAAATACAGTGTATTGGGAAGGCACGCTTGTAAAGTAAGCATCAGGCTCACAGAATGAGAGAGTAGATGATGAAGTGTATCATGATCATATTCATGTAAGGTATCTATGTACAAGTGAAAGCATCCAGCTTCCGAACGCCAAATCCAATGAGAAGGTATCGTAAGGTATCATATACAAAAGGCAGCCCGCTTAGTAGCGACCCGTTCACCACCAGTCACCCTGGTCGTGCATGGCAGCAGCGACCTTGCGGAAACCGGCGACATTAGCACCACCAACGAGGGATGGGAACTCGCCCTCGGCAGGAGTGAAGTACTCCTTGGCGGTACCCAGGCAGTTCTCGAAGCAGTCCTTCATGATGCCCTTGAGCTTCTCGTCAACCTCCTCGGCAGTCCATGACAGACGCTGAGAGTTCTGGGCCATCTCGAGACCAGAGACGGCGACACCACCAGCGTTGGCGGCCTTTCCGGGTGCGTACCAGATGGCCTCACCCTTCTTCTCGCGACGGTGAGCCTCAAAGACATCAATGGCCTCCTGTGTGCAACCCATGTTGGAACCCTCAGCGATGAACTTGGCGCCAGACTCAATAAGAGCCTTGGCCTCGTCCTCGGAGACTTCGTTCTGGGTCGCCGAAGGAAGAGCAACGTCAACCTTCTTGACCTCCTTCCATGGGCGGGCACCCTCAATGTACTTGAAGTTGTGGTTCTCCAGGGCAGTAAGAGCCTTGCGCTCCAGCTTGAGGGCGGCGATCTGGTTGATGACTTCGGGAGTGAAGCCCTTGTCGTCTTCGGCGATCAAAGCACCCTTGCTGTCACTGAGGGAGATGACGGTTGCGCCAAGCTCGATGAGCTTGAGAGCAGCGTACTGAGCGACGTTTCCGGAACCAGAGAGGGCGACGCGCTTGCCCTTGAAGGACTCCTTTCCTCCAGACGCGTAGTTGATCATGTGCTCAACGTAGTATACGAGACCGTAACCGGTGGCCTCGGGACGGATCAGGGAACCTCCCCATGAGCCGCCCTTGCCAGTGAGGACACCCTCCCAGCGGTTGCGCTCCGCTCGGTATGCGCCAAAGAGGTAACCGATCTCGCGACCACCAACGCCGATGTCGCCCGCAGGTACGTCTGTGTCGGCACCTGTAGTTTACGTAAGTGAAATGTTCCTAGTGGAGAAGCACGAAAGGAGCGCGAACGTCGCCGACGGGGCAGTGCCAGACGGACGGAAAGATAGGGCAACATGAATGCGCCGGATCTCGTTGGTCTGCTGTCGGAAGAGTATGCGAACCCGTTGAAGGGTGCATGCCCCACTGAGGCTGGAAGTGACGCGCAGGTACGCGCTAGGGTCAAGACCTACCGATGTGCTTGTTGAGCTCCCTCATGAAAGCAACGCAGAACTTGCGGATCTCGTTGTCGGACTTGCCCTTGGGGTCGAAGTCGCATCCTCCCTTGCCACCGCCCATGTTGACTGTTTGTGTTTGTTAGCTTGATGTTCTTATGCGATCGGCTCGGGTATGACGTACGGCCGGTGAGAGCATTCTTGAAGATCTGCTCAAAACCCAAGAACTTGAGGATGGATAGGTTGACGGTAGGGTGGAAGCGGAGACCGCCCTTGTAGGGACCGAGAGCGGAGTTGAATTGCACGCGGTATCCCTTCTGGACCTGGCACTCGCCCTTGTCGTTCTCCCAGACAACGCGGAACTGGATGATGCGCTCGGGGACGGAGACGACCTCAAGAGCCTTCTTGTATTCGGGGTTCTTGGAGAAGAGGGAGGAGGCCTCGAGGGTGGAGACGAGCTCTATGGAATGTTAGATGGAGTCGCAAATGGTAGAGAGCATAGAGTCAAAGTAGTAACTCCATGATTCTGCAGCGACATGACGCATGAGGTGGAAACGTACCCTTCCTGGCTTGCTCAAACTCAGGCTCAGACATTGTGATTTGATGGATTGTATTGGTGACTGGTGGAAGAAGTAGAGTGACAGAATCCGACACAGTTGGAGAGTCAAAGGTTGATGGAGAGAAGGCACAGGAGAGACAGTCTGGTATATATAATTACAGTTGACGGAAGCTAGATAGTTCGCCTGGGCTCGCGGTGACGGTACGGGAGAAAGTCGCACTCGATTTGAGTACGTCACAGAGGCCGGAAGATTGGGGTCATGGACCCTTCTCAGTGGTCAATGGGATCTACTGCGCGCCATGTTGATGCAAACCATGGTGTGCACTTTTTCTACTGATAAGGATCTGGCCAATGGGCGGGCGAGGACAAGTATCGCGGGGTGTTTGCACGTGAAGTAGCGGGGGCTCCGGCCACCTCAGGCTCGTGGCGGCCGTGTAATTGTCGAGGGTCAAACCATGGGAGGCGACGTGAAGCCGACGTCGGCGGGCGAGCTTGTTACGTTGAACATTCGCTAGTGTCTTGTCAGGGTAAAGGCAAAAGGCAGAGAGAGTGGGAGAAGCCGGGATGTGGGCAGGCGCTTTGGCCAGACAAGATTGTCTTGGCGATGCGGCGGCCTCCGCGGGTATGCATCTTTTGACTTGTTGCAGCGGAGATGCCGCAACATTACTGCTTCGTACATGCCACGTCAGTTTAACAACCTCATACTCCTACACAATACGGAGATGTCCTTGATGCGACATTGCACAGCCTCGTTAACTGTCGACGCGCCCTCCGGCATCAAGCAGATGCATCTGTTGCAGTCGTTGAGCTGCAAGATGACGGCTAAAGGCTCCCAAGTAGTAGCATATTGAGGTTTGCATAGTCATGCATCGAATATACGCATAGAATATCACATTGGTTTTTTTAACCGTGAAGAGGGCGATGCTCCCACCTTTCATAAGCTGGCACCCCCACGCGCGAATTCTCCGCCTCCACACTCAATCGCAATCGGTAGGATCCCAATCTGGAGAAAAATTTGTTTGTCAGTAAAGGCAGCGGGATGAGGGTGTTCATGTGACTGTGTAGACCAGACAGTTCAAGGAACTTACCGGTCACGAGATACTCGTCCAATCCGTCCATCGTCTCCATATCGCCATCCTCGATTTCGAAGCCTCCAACCTCCGAGTTCTCGATGATTCGCTCCTTCTTCACACTCTTAGGCAGCGGCACATAGCCGTGCTGCAGGCTCCAGCGGACCAACAGTTGGCCCGGAGTGCAATTGTATTTCTTGGACAGGGATACAATTTTGGGGTGCTTCATCCGCAAGGCTCGGACGAGGGGCGCGTATGCCTCTACAACAATGTTATGCTGTTGGCAAAAGGAAGTAATATCCTTCCGTCTAGTGTCCAGAATCAGTATAGTCATACACATAGTTCACACAGGGAGCTCACGTGTTGAACGGGTGAACCTCGATCTGATTAACCGCTGGAGGTATCGTAGGATTCGAGTCCAATAATTCTTGCAGCTAGACTGTTATTAGTGATTGACTTCGGCGACGTTGGAAGTCTTGTGATGGCCATAGCTAGACTACAGATCCAATAAGGGGGTTACAACGACTTTCCCATCCCGGGTATACGTTCGCACTAAAGGTAGGATACGGGGCTACCCGAGACAACTAAAGCAAAAAGACGGGAACCAGGGTCTACTTACATGTTTGACTCCATAATTGGAGACGCCTCCAGTCTTGACTTCGCCGTCGTGAATTGCGTCCTCCACCGCTCGCCAGCTATCAAGGCGCGCTTGCTTGCCTCCATATGGAGAATGTAGCAGGAACAGGTCGATGTAGCCAAGACCTGCTTCCTTGACTGATCTCTTGATAGCTTTGCGAGCCGTCTCGTATGCGGAGTTGGATGCCAACTTGGAAGTAAAGTGGATGTCTTCGCGTTTGAGAGAGTCTGTGTTTGCATCACTTGAGAGAAAGTCCGAGATGGCTTTTCCGGTCTCTTTCTCGTTATGGTACATCTGAGCTGAGTCGACTCTGGGTATACGTCATCTATCAGCTGCGGTACAAAGGTTGTGCCCCGTGATGCTACTCACGCTCGGTAGCCAGCCTGCAATTGTGAGCATGGCGTTTACTGATAATCAGGAACAGCCGAAACATACCTCCAACGCCCATCGGACGGCTTGATAAGTCTCTTTCCCGGACGTCAAATAGACGCCGAGATGAATCGTTGGCATTGATAAGCCATTAGGAAGCTGCCAAAGTTAGACACGGGTGGCCAGTTGTACAACGATCGTCAACGCACCTTAGTCCGCGACGCCAATGAGAAGGAGGATTGTGCCATGTTCACTGCTGGGGCTATGTTGTGCATAAACCAAAGTAGATCTGCGATGCTGCAAGAGGCAAGCCACGATAGCGGCAGAGTAAATGGATATCCTCGGCGAAATGGTTACATCATGGCTCGCTTGCGACCGGGGTCTTCACTTTATTGTGGGCGCGTCACGATCACGACTTTGAGATCTCAGATGCAGCGGCTATGGCTGTGCAGCGTCCCCGGTCAACTGCACCTGCAGTAAAGATGGCGTTACACATGCAAAAGCAAAAAGGCGATATGTGTGTGTGTGTGAGCAACCTATAGCGCCCGCCAACTGTGTCGTGAGGACGGTGCTTGCCGATTGGGGCGCGTTCCTCTAACCTTTGCACCATGCGACTAGCTCTCGCCGCGATAGACCCGAGTGCCCAGTGCCCGGTCGTACAGTGTCTCGTTAACTCGTATGGCAGCCTCACCGAGGGCTTGAGGGCTTGAATGATCGGCGAGGAACGGTTCTTCTTCAGCCTGATGCGCTGCCGTGATACTGGAAGGGACAGGCAGCGCATTAGTGGGCGCCCTATTATTGTGGCTCTCGGACACACGAACATCCGTTTTACATCCCATGGCTGTGGATCCCCTACCACGATTGACGAGATCTATAGCCAGGGTGTTTGAAGGCGCCTGTCATTCTAGTCATTCTAGCCAACTTGAATGATGACAAAAAGGATCCAACGCACTCAGAGAGGCTCAGAAGCGAATCTGGCTCGACGCGCCTGGATCTCGGCGTCTCCGTCGATGTATGCCAACTGTCTGGGGTCGCAAAAGGACCATCATTGCGCAGCAAAATCTACAAGGAACGTTAAAAAGGGGGGCAGCGTTCGGCTGAAGCGCGCGCAAGCAACCAACGACAGCACAGGCAGCGCAGTCTTAACGACACTTGGTTTACACAGTTTTTGAATAGACCGACTTTGGGGCCGTCGACCATCCGCCAACCCGCGAACTGCGAAGCCACCATCTCCGTCCCCACCAGGCTTTATGCCGCCGCTAATTGGCTCGGCAGCCTGAATCTACTTGTGAAGGGTTAGAGGAGCCCGCGTGGCTCGACTTGATCACCACCGGGATTATTCTCAAATCGAGTCCATCTCACGGAGGCTTCAATAATTCCTCGCAAGGTTAGCAGGGCGGCGTCGACCGAAGCCACACCATATAAGCAAGTTCAAAGCCTCATCATCTGTATACTCAACCTCTTGCATGTATAAAGCATCTTATCGCGCCCGCTATACATGCTGCCATAAGCCCAAGCAACAAACATATTGCAGCAGCCTTAAACTAGCCGCCCACTGGGTCGTTTCGTCATTGATCCTACTTCTCGTCACAACCTGTCAGAAACCTGAGACCCTGGCTTCCTTGGGCTTCCTTAGCTAAACCCGACATTTTGCACCGGCACGTTTATTTGACATTGGTTGCACCCAGCTCGGTAAGTTGCGAGCTGCGAGCACACAAACTGGTGTTCTTCTCCAACCAGCCAACCAGCAGTGCTGACTTTTGCCGTTCCTGCAGTAGCCCCTACTGCCCTCCATCATGGCGAATTTACCCGGATTCACCACCAACTTTCCCGCGGGATACCCAACCTTTCAGACAGGGCGTGGTGGAACTTTTGCGCGCGGTAGCACCTCTTCAGGAGGCTCGCCATCTGTCCCAAACGCATCTTCCGAGCCACACTTCGACATCTTCGACTGGCACCCGGCGTATCAGAGCTGCCAGCGCTACTTCCTCGACCATGCTCAACACGATAACGGCGTACAGGCCGTTTGTGCCCTCATCAACATCCGCCTGCCATTCCAATGGACACAAAATCCCCTCATGAACGCATCAGGGCCGCTGCCGCACTCGTCGGGCGCTGCTGCTTACAACATGCCTTGGCCCCGCCAGGGTCCTGTCACCAATTCGCGAGGCCAGCCGGCCCCGGCATGGGTGTCCCTTGTGCCCTTCATTCGACGTCTCGTCATCACAGGAATGGACAGTCCAGGAATCATGCACGGCTTTTTCGGCGAGGACTGGAGGAAGGGAGTCGGCCCAATGCACGAGTGTGAGCGTCGCAACTACCTCTTTGCAGCCAAGAGTGTGGGTTGGGCCAAGGTCAAATGCCAGTACGACATGTCGCCGCACGAGTCGGTGCCCTTCCTGAAGCCACTGCAGGAGGTTCAGCTGGCCGAGATTGAGGGGGCCGAGAAGACGTGGAGTCAGTGGCTAGCCATGGAGGACTGGATGGTGGGCCCACGCGCACCGGATGCGGACGACCAGCCACAGGATGCTCGTCGCCGTCCATCTTGAAGTTTGGCTTGGAGTATGGCGTTGTTTAGTGCACGACAGTGCTCGATGGTCGTCAAGCATCATGGTCGTAATCCACGTCGCACCAAGACGTGCGTAGGTTTTTTTGGATTTGCGAGAGCTAGGGTGAGCGGTCAGTGTTCAGCGATCAGCACTATGCGCCACCAGTACGCAGTGGTTGTACATGTTTCACAACATGAGCAAAACGTTTTTCATTGTAATGTAAACTGTTTTCGATACCATCAATGTTATGTTACTATGTTAGTCCTGACGATCTGTGTCCCTTCCACATTCATCTCCTTGCGCATTCAACTCGAATACAATTTCTTATTCGTGGCTGATAGTACTAAAGGCCCGACGAGTGATTTTCTTCTGCTGGCGATACACGTGGAAAAAGTTCCAAGGTTCCAAAGTTCTGTGCGGCCCGCATCCGTGGATCGTGCCTGCCAAGAAGCTTCGGCCAGCCTCAGCTACCTACGATTGCATTTGTTCCTCGCCAGAACACACCTCATATTCTTTTTCTTTTCAACAACCGACCCAACCTTCGGGGCGTATTCTTAAAGCACATGTACCATGGAGTCCATGATTAAGGAATGGTCGGTATTTTTGGATAAGTGCCTCGAGCGGCGTATCCAACCTGATTTGTTCGCTGCAGCCGTCGCGCAGCTCCACGCGAAGTCTCCACTGCCCGGCCGGAAGCTTGCTGCACTGGTGCTTCGACCACGCGTCGCAGGTTCCAACAACATCGATCCACGTTCTATTGTCTTTCTTGAGCAGCTATTGGCTTTGAAGAAGGTCGATGCCTCTGACGTCCTGACGCTGACGTTCCTGTACTCCAAGGACCGCCTTCCAGTCAAGACAGGCGACGAGAAACCAACCAAGGAGGCGCAATGGGACAATCCACCAGAACTCGAGGAAATTGTCTTTCATCGCTTACACAAGGCTTTTGCCGCAGAAGAGCGGCCTATCAACAATACTGAAGGCCTGCGCACACTTATTGTCTTGACAAGATGGATGCAGGCAATGGTGACCTCGCATACGAGCGATAGCATGATCCAGGCCATGGCTGGTATTCAGCAGCCCCAGCAGCACTCTATTAATGTTCGGGAAGGCCTTGCAATGCTTGTGATTGGCGTAGTAGAAAACTCAAAAATCCTGCGGATACTGAATAACCCCAAAGGCAAAGGTAAGCGGATCTCTTACTTTCGTAAAATCTTCCTATGCAAAGCTCAAAACGACTCTTTCAATCCTTGGTGACTGCACCACTCACATAACTCAGATATACGCAAGAGTTTCATTCAATCGTTCTCTTCGTTCATCCCGTTTCTCTCCAACAACTCGGGCGGATCGCATCAATCGTTACAACTAGCTGAAAGATTGGAACTCTCACAGAAACGGCATGATTTCTACGAGAAGCTTCCTAACGTCAACGGTGAGGAGAGTGGGAACGCAGGTCTTGAAGTCGCTGCCCTCCAGCTCGATGCTGTAATGGAGCTCCCACAAGTGAACACGCGAGCCGGTCTCTACATCTTCTTGAATGCATTGGTAAGTCATACAGATGTTGAGCTAGTCTATTGCTAAAAGTTCAAGCTTGTCGCGCGTCCTCTAACCGATGACTTCATTATTATCAATCATCTTCACTCACGATACAAGGTAAGGTGGTGGTCTCTCATTCCGGGAGAAATGCTGACTCGTCATAGTTGGAAGCGCAGAACATGGCCACAGACTTGATCACCGCTGCTTTTGATGTTCTTGCCAACGCCATGTATCGCAGTGAACCGTCACAAACCATGTTCTACCTGAAATCTTTCCTAATCAATAAGGTGCCATTACTCCTGGCACAGCTGACCGGATCGATATTCCCCATGACAGTCGAGATGTGCATCACTCAAGCACTCAGTCATGTGGACCCCCATGCATTTCCATCATTCTCGCAAGGGTTCGATGATATCATGGGAAGCAATAACAACTCCCTCTCCGATGTCAGGCAAGACTTCCTCAACGCCTGTGCGCTTCATGCTCTCATCCCAACGGGTACCGTAGAGCGGTTGCTTGGTGAAGCCCCCATGCAGGGCCCACCTTCGAAGAGATACGAGAGGAAAGAATTGCTAAACCAGTGCAAGTCAAACTTTGACAAAGTCAGCACATTCATCGACGAACTTGAGAGCCTGGACGGAAATGCGGGTGCCATAGTCGCTGCTGTTACAGATGTACGATTTGATTGCATGACTTCCAAAAGAGACTTGCTGACATGAATACAGTTTATAGCACACCTCTGTGAAACTCAAACGACTATGTACTTGAAGCAACTATCCTCGTTACTCTTCAAGAAACCGCAGGCAATGGACGTAATGCTCCAATTCACCTCACCAGCGAGCATTCTGCGACCTCTATGCCAATTTCTTGACGACTGGCACTATGACAGCGATCAAGGTGAGTTCTCAACAATACTAGTGTTGTATTCCGCTGACACATGTAGGCGAATACCAACCAGTATACGACGAATTCGGTGCGATACTGGTCCTCGTCATGGCATTCATACACCGCTATGATCTTACGTACCACGACATCGGTATCGGTCATGATACGTTCATCGCCAAACTTTTGAAACGTGGTCATCATAGCATGCTGCCCGACCAACTGAGTGAAGAGCAAGGCAAGCATCTTGGTAACTGGCTAAAAGGACTCTACGACGCCGATAAGGAAGGGCTTAGCAACGAGGTCTTTGCATCTTGTCGTCCTCAAGATTTCTACCTCATAGTTCCCACATTATTCAGGCAGACAGTCGTGGCATGCTCGACTGGAGTTCTGTCATTTGAGTCGGTCAAAGGTGGTTTAGAATGTAAGCTCATCCTGATACCTTTCGTTAAACCTAGCATTACTGACCCGTCCCAGATCTCGGAGAGACATTCTTGTTGCCATCCTTAATAGAAGGTCTTACCTGGATGGCCTCATACGCGCTCCTTCAAACGCACAACGATCTCGATGCAATGATCCGTATATTCAACGAAGTCATACTAACGACTCCCTCCTCTGGCGACGCACAAGCTATGCATTCGACTATAATAGCTATGGTTTCTAGTCGCCTGGAAAAGTGCTTCCGCACGCTACAGCGACGTGAGCCGAACCGAACGACACTCGAGCCTTTTATCCAGGCGATCAAAGTTCACGCATACTACGAACGTTCTGTGTACGCTAGCTTAAAAGAGGTAGATCAGTGGACGAATGCGCCGAACAGCACTCTCAACTCATCCATACGGCACACCATACAGCAACTGTCACAGTGGGCTTCGACCTCGTCGTTACAGCCAAATCCACCTGGCTACACACACCGCCAGATCTATGCATCGCTCAAGATGCTGGGTGCGACGAGAACACTGCGCGCAGTTGTAGATGAAGTAAAGGCACAGACAGATGCTGGCAACGGTGCGGCTGCACTAGACATCGGCGTGTCCATCATCTGTGCTCCCACTGTCGAGGATAGTCCCATCACAGTTGACTGGGTAGGAAGCTCGATACCAGCGCCGCCCCAACAGCGAAATCACATGAATCTCCGCGAAATGCTCAAGCAAGAATTCGAGAGCGCTGCAAATCTGGTTGCGACAGATCCCCTAACGGCGGAGACAATAGTACGCCTGCACCGCCGTGTAGAAGCACACTTTGCCTCCCTCGGTGAAGCTGGACTCCAAGCACCGCCTATCAACATCCCAAGTGTCAATATCGCAGATATGCAATCGCAAACCATATCTGACGATCTCAACCGAGCTATCGATGATGCGGCCGCTGCAACAGTTGTTGATGACATCTCCAACATGGACAACAAAGCGCTGCAGCGCAGCATGGATGAACTTACGGGTCCTGAAGGCCTGGATCTGTCAAGCATCGGTATGGGTAATGGCGATGCGGGAGCGGGTGACATGAGCACAGATCTGGGTAATCTACCCGATCTGAATCTGGGCGACATGGGTAGTATGGGCATGGATATGGATATGGACATGAACATGGATATGGGTGGAGGTGGAGGTGACGATGACTGGGGGTTGGATTTCGATAACATGTAGCAGATGTTGTATGAAGGGGGGTTGCTTGGATAAGCGCTTGGATCGGACTTGACTGTTTGGGCATCGAGTCTAGAGACTACCAGTACCGCATCTTTGGAGTTGTTGTTTGAATAGATTATGTTACCACCGGAAGTAAAAACGGATTCGGTGTGATTATTGTGCCAAATGTACCGAGGTAACAAACACTAATTCGGAAGCAGCATGAAGTAAGATGGATGGAGCGGGGTGTACCTGCATAGCTCCGGAAGCTCTTGCCCCACCTCTACCCCAACGGAGTCCGTCAGTACACAGTGTAAACAACTTTAATGACGTCTCATACTGATTCACAAATTACAGTTTTCTCATAAACTCTTTACAATCCCGTGTGTCTTATTCTCGACGAGAACCCGTTGACAGTATTCTATATCTACCCCACTACCACACCAAGTAGCAAAGATGCCGTACGATCTCAAAGGCAGAAACGTGCTTATTACAGGTGGATCAGCGTACGTACAGGGCAACTCCTAGAAAGCCTTCAATCAATTCTGCCATCTCTGTGTCACGTCGGAAGTTCGTCACTGACAATATCTCCAGTGGTCTCGGCGAACTCCTCAGTACGACGTTTGCCAGTGAAGGCGCGAACGTCGCTATCAATTACTTCAACCGTATCGAGCCGGCACAAAAAGTGCAAAAGGCATGTGAGGCACATGGCGTCAAAGCTATTGTAATCAAAGCAGTACGCTCATCGTATTCTTGTTTGTAGTGAATGTAAGCTAAAGTGTCCGATAGGATATGACATCGACGGCGGAAGCAAAGCGAGCGGTTAGAGAGACAATCGAGCAGTTGGGTGGGCTGGATATTGTGCTCGCTAACGCAGTATGTATAAACAGATACCGAAGAGAGAGAATGCTGCTAACGCCAATGCAGGGCTGGACGCGTTTCGCTGAATGGAAAGACCTCGACTCCATGAGCGAAGAAGAGTGGGATAAGTGCTGGAATGCAAATGTCAAAGTACCCAAGGCGATACTCTCTGAAGCGAGGGCTACGTTCGATGCCAATCCGGATGGTGGACTTATGATTACTACTGGTAGCATTGCGGTACGCTGCCCCTCTGATCCTCTCTTGATTGCGTTCAGGCCAAAGGTCTAGTAGTAGCTACATGCTAATCGTGAAGTACAGGGTGTCAGCCAAGGCGGATCAAGCATGCCATACTCGGTTACCAAAGCAGCACAACTTCAGCTGGTTAAATGTCTGGCAGTCACTGTTGGACCCAAGATCCGTGTCAATACGGTCCTCCCGGGCTTACTACTGACTGAATGGGTACGACGAAGAACCTCTCCTAGCACCTTGTATTGGATGCTAACACTATCTTAGGGCCTCAAATACTCCCAAGAAAAGATCGAACAGTTGAAGAACCTTGCAGCACTGAAGCATGAGACATTCCTGGATGATTGTGCAGCTGCGTTCGTGATGCTGGCAAAGAACACTAGTATGACTGGTATGCGCATTCAGGTTGATGGCGGACTGAACATCCAGGGCGCATAGAGTGCGGTAGAACAGACATTGTGGCCATGTCCCAGGATCATCATCAACTTAGCAATGGAAAGAATCATGGTGAACACTCACAAGTTTGTCAACTGCCTCGGCGCCGATTTGTCGCGGAAAAGGAAGAGACCTCGGCCGTGGGGATGCTGTCACCCCACGACGCTAAACCGAGCTGCAGGGCACCTCACGTCAATTCCCCGCGTCCCGAACCTCCGCATCTCCGCAGAACTTCCAGAGATCAACACCATGACTCCCCGAAAGTCATAGTCAGAAACCTACCATGTCTACTTCTCTCAGTACCGCTTCTAGAGCAGCCCCGCGTTTAACGCGACGGTGCATGCGATGCGGCGAGCGGAGCGACAATTGTCAGCCTGCGCGACGGCGCTGGATGAGCAGCGTACGAGACGCGCCAGCTAAGAGACCCAAGACTGCCATCTTCTTCCCTGGTACTTCTTCCCAGCTCCTGCAAACCTCACTATTTCAGCATGCTAAGCAGCAACAGGTCAGGGCGTACAGCGAGTGGGAATGTGCACACCATGGCTGGAAGCTTTCCCCAACACCGCGAAACCCATCCTCGAGGAAATCGACGAAACCCTCAAACTTCCCCTCACCAAGACGATAGAGTCTGGTACCAATGCCGAACTCACACGCACCGAGAATGCGCAGCCGGCCATCATGGCAACCTCGATCCTTATACTGCGGATATTGGAGAAGGACTTCGGCTTCCAGACTAGTGAGCGTGTAGACATCACACTGGGACATTCACTGGGCGAGTTTGCGGCACTAGTAGCAGGCGGTTATCTCACATTCCGGGACGCACTAAAGATGGTACGGAGACGAGCCGAAGTCATGAGTAAATGCAGTCAGGAAGCAGTTGCAGAGGAAGGCGGCGAGTTCGGCATGGTCGCCCTAGTCTGCGAGTCCGAAGAGCACATGCAAGCACTCATCAACGGTATCCATGAGTTCCTTGCCCTGGGCTCTAAAGCAGACTCCCACGACCATCTACCGGCCGTCCAACAAGTCTCAATCGCAAATCTCAACTCGAAGAACCAAATCGTCCTTAGTGGCAGCATCACCCGCATCAACACCTTGCTCACGAATCTACGTCAATTTGGCGGCCACGATCCACGTCACGTACGCTTAAAATCCGACGCGCCCTTCCACAGCCTTCTCATGAAGCCCGCTCAAGAAACCATGAAACGCATACTCCACAAAGAAACTGAAGATGGACGTGACATCGTTACATGGCCAGGTATCATGCCTTGCATATCGAATGTATCTGGCAAGCCCTTCCAGGACAAAGAGCAGCTGAAGGATCTTCTAGCACGTAGCTGTGTTGAGACGGTACAGTGGTGGAAGAGTGTAAAGTATCTTCACGAACAAGAGAAGATTATGCGTTATGTGGGTATTGGTCCGGGGAAAGTGGGCAGAAACCTTGTGGGTAAAGAAGTGGGCATGAAGGGCTCTGTCAAAGGAGGCGGTGTCTGGGGTATTACAAGTCCGAAGGAAATGGAGGAAGTGGTTAGGGCATTGGATGACACCGAGCATGTTGAAGTGGATTGAAATTTCTGAATTCACGTTTACGACGATTCACGATAATGCCGCCATGACTGGAAAGATGGGCCGTGGTTCCTTGAGCATTAAAAAGTGTACAGATATACCCCAGTATAGCGAATTTACAGTAATGCTGATGGACAAACCTGATTGAGTCGCACCAGGTCAAATGGTTTCTCGGATACGTAAGTGAAAGTGGTTATGATCATGGGGACGCCATGAGCACTGGCGTACTCCTCCCCTTTCCATCACCACCTTTGACATGCTCAAACAAACAACGGGGTGACGGGGTGAGCTGGTACTAGGGATGAACTGAATCTCACTCCTGTCTGTCGAAGCATTCTCATTCCTGACTGACCACCAACTCTATCTATTCAAACTCAACAACTCCTCAACATACCTCCTGGCATCAATACCAATCCCCTCTGCCAACCCCTTGGGTCCCCAACCCGCTGCCGCTCCCCCCATCCTCTGATTCTGACCTCCGCCACCACCCATACCAAGCCCACTCCACATACCACTTGCAAAGCGACTCGAGCTCTTCGTACTTCCTGGCTGACTATCCCTCGCGCGGCGGACTAAAAACGCTTCGCGGAGTTCATTTGTGTTGAACTGCGCGGAGCCAGACTCCTCGTTGGAGTTGTTCTGCGAGTCTTGTTGGGCAGCTGCATCTTCGGAGCTGACTTGAGAAGGCGGGAGACGCATCCAGACGACCCACCATCCGCGCGAAGTCTTGCACGTACGTTCTATCTCAGACAAATCGCGGCGCGTACCTGCTACCGTGGCTAGGATCTGGGAGTGGACGTTGAGGGCTTCGACTCTGCTCCAGCCGAGGGAGCTGGTACTGCTGCTGCCCAGGCCTTCAGCTAGTAAGGTTCCTGGGTCGGGAATGTTGGGCAGACTGGAATGGATTGTGTGTGTGCGGGGGTCGAAGACGACATCGTAAATGGCCTGGGTGTTAGGGCCTGAGTTAGGGCCTGAACCGCCGGTGGAGGCTTCTGTTGTATAGTGGTTGGAGACTGCGTGGAGACGCGCGGCGACGTTTGCAGGGGAGGTGCTTTTGTCTAGGGAGCGGTGGAGGGGTGAGAAGAAATTGTGGATGTCGCGGTAGAATGATGCGACGCCTAGAGAATGCGTGCGGTGTTCGAAAAGGAAGGTGTAGACGAATGGACGGTGCTGGATTGAATGTTAGTCGGGTTTTGGATATCTTCGATACTGTTCAAACTCACCACGTAAACGACAGGTCTTAACCGGGCTAGATTACTTCCTGTCGTCGTCGGTTGCACTCTCATATCCTTCTCGTACTGCGGAGTCTCGTCCGAGTCACCGTCTCCTGTTTGCAGTGAGGCAGCTCGCCTGTCAACCTCCACATGTATAGTCCGCAGTGGTATTCGGTTGTTCCAATCACCCTCTCCGTTCTCGTCGTCGACTTCCAAGTCTTGCAGATCCCCCTTGAGCCCTACGAGAAAGTACCCATCGTTCTCTAGGCGTATCTGTTGCTTTATCTTCTCTTCTGCTGGGTCTACATCGGGTGTAGGATCGACGTAGCGCATCGCTGCGGGGGAAGGTGTTCGTTCGCATACCGGTTGTGGTACCGGAGCTGGCGCTGGAGCAGCAGAACCCGAGGTCTCTACGCTCTTGTTTCCGCTTCCGCCCCACGCCGTCCCATAGCCAAGGGTCATATACTTCATCCATGTCTCGGTGTCACCCAGAGACGATAGCATTGTCTGCGACTCGGGCGCAGTTGAAGTGGCCTGAGATTTGTTGTTATCGACGGCGGCTGCTGCCTTATCAAGGGAGTTCTCAACCGCTCTGACAATCGGTGGAGGGATACCAGGTGGCAGGTCTGAGCCATCGTTCGATACTGGAGGACGCGGCCTTTCGTCCTGCATTGGAGGCGACGGTTCGGGCTCGGACTCGGGCTTCAGATTTCTCCTCCGCCGTTTTCTGCGATCAGAAGTCGGGTTGTCTCGTATGCCGTAAGCATACTCGCCGTGAGCGTAGATAGTCTCTACCCAGTGAGACAAGTCCCGCAGCGACTTTCGGCTTACCGCTCCCAGACCTGAAAAGACAACACCATCAGCGGCATGGGCATTTCTCCCGACCCCTATCCAGGGTTCCAACTCGGAGACTTCGAGTGTTTTTGGGTCCGTAGAGGTTTTGGCTTGTTGCAACGGCGATGCTTCGCCGAAGCGGGATACCATGACATCCACGAGACCTGATGTTCTGCGTGCAAAGTCCTCTAGCACATCCCGCTCACTGCTACCCCACTCCTCTTCTCCAACACCCATGCCCAACTCTCCGCCTGCTGCCAGTTTCATGCCACCGTATATGTCCACCGCAGGGCTTCCATGTAGTAGCACGTCCCAATTGCTCGCAAACCGCGACCAATATCTGTCTAGTATGCTGCAGAACTTGCTACGGCCGTGCTTGGCGAACATGGCCTCCATTGTCGAGCCATGATGAAGCAGGAAGATGGACTGGGCGCGGGCGAGTTGTTGGATCAGCAGTGCAGGCGGGCTGACTTCGCGTGACGAGTACTCGATGACGGGCTCGGTGGTGTCGGTGCTCGAATCGGTTCGTGTGAGGCCGCCAGTAGCGGGTAGTTGTGTGAGGTCAATCGACTACCGTGGTGTCAGTTGTAGTCTACTAAGCATGTAGAATGTGCATACTGCCAATATCCACCATCCGTCTTCCAATTCACGCAGAACAATACGCGTCTTCTGCGTTTCTACGGAATCAACTGCCTCGCCATCAGAGAAGCTCCTATGCTTGATCAGCTTTGATGTACGGAAAGTGCTTGCCACGCAACCTACTTCGCAAAGCCTACCATGCCCTGAGCTAGCCCGACCTGACGGAGCTTCTCATTCTCCTGCTCGCGCAACTCCTCTTCCCTCTCAGTATCGCCATCTCTCAGTTTGGAGCGTGTCTTGGCGGCCTTGGAGTAATAGAAGACAATCTGCTGGTCGAATGTCTCATCTGACGTTCCGAGGGAAGGATTGTATATGGCTAGGAAAGAGAGTTGCGCCGGAATGACCTTGGAGCCCGCCGTGGACGACATTCCAGCATTCTTCGAAGTGCCTGGTCGCGAGCGCTTCGAGTGGTTTTGGGTGAGGGATGAATGGCGTCACACGTGCGGAAGAGACGCGGAGGAGAAGACAACCAGCCACCGTGCCAACCTCAACAACAAGCGGTCGTTGTGGACTATTTGTATTCCATGGTCAAAGATTGCGATGCATCGCGATGCGGCGCCAGGCGGCAAGGATGCACCCAATTGTCGTGGTGAAGATGCCCCACGAGATCTCGATCGCAACGTCCAGATCCTGCGGAGCGGCATTTGTCGCCGAACTTCCTCACTCCGACCATGTTCTGCAGGCTACGAGGTCGCGTCTACTCCCTGGTCCAGACTCCACACTGTCGCTATAGCTCTACAGCAGTTCCCGCTCGGACGTCGGAGCCATTGCGGATATTGTTCTGCGGTTCTGACAATTTCAGCATCGCATCACTGCGCGCCGTAGCAGACGCGAAGCGGCATGTGCCGAAACTTATAGAGAGCATCGATGTAGTCCATCGACCAGCGAAGCCTACCGGACGAGGACTGAAAAAACTAAGAGAGGGTACGAACGTCTTTTGACTGCCACACAGCATCAATTGACAAGATTCAGTTCCTATCAAGCAGGTAGCTACCGAAGAGCTCAATCTACCTACTCATGTGATCGACACCTTCACAGGCTGGACGCCACCCAACCCCATAGATGTCGTCATCGCCGTGTCCTTCGGCCTCCTTGTCCCGCCGAGGATCCTCAACTATGCGCAATACGGCGGCCTGAACGTCCATCCTTCTCTGCTGCCCGATCTGCGTGGCCCAGCGCCCATCGAACATGCCATACTGAAGAGGCGGCAGTACACCGGTGTCTCTGTGCAAACACTACATCCAAGGCATTTCGACCAGGGTACTATCCTTGCCCAAACCCCCATGCCTGGCCACGAGATTAGCCTTTCTCGTGATACTCCTGGTATGGCTCGGGTTATAGAGCAACAGCTTGCCACTGCCGGGGCAGAAATGCTGGTAGATGTCTTGAAGAAACGCAAATTTGTGCCTCCGCACGAGCCCGTCGGATGGTACGCACACTCCAACGGTCCAATTGACCACGCACCAAAGATCACCAAGCAAGATCGCTATGTTGATTTCGAAAAACATACCGCGGCAGACGTCATTGCCAAATGGAACGCACTTGGCGACCTGTGGTGTCTGCTACCCACGGGTGAGCGGCTGATACTACACGACGTGCTTGATCCAATGCTACCAGACGATGATGAGTATGTCACAATGAAACCTGGACTCTTTGTGGATTCAGATTTGGAGGGCTTTCTCTGGTTTAGAGGAGCGTGTGGTAAAATGGGAAATGTGCTCAGTAGCACATTAGAAGGAGGCAAGAAGGGACAAGGGAATGCGAAGTTGCTACAACTGTTCGGTCCCCAAAAAAATCCAAGCGTGGGAGATATGCCTTTGATGCGTCCTTTACACAGGGTTATCTAACAGCGCTGTCTCGCCCAAATACTGAACTGTCAAACTGTACAGTCAACCAACTCGCTTCTGCTTCTCCCATTCTTCTTTAGCATCCTCGAACTCCTCAATCTCTTTCATCACCCTCACGCTCTTCGATATGGTTTGTACCTGGTCCAAGGCCGTTGCAAAGCCTGAAGAGTCCGAAGTCTCGTAGAATAGCTGTCGCGTCCCTCTAGAACTATTTTCCACTGCCTCATTCAGCGCTCCCAACAGCATCAGGAAACATTCGTCCTTCTCTCTCGGAGGCGCTTTGTGATTGATGAAGCGAGAAAATCCCTCAGTCCAGCGATTGATCTCGTTTCTCAGCTCCTGCGTCTGCTGCTTACCTTCCGCCGTCGAGCGAAAGATGTAGGGTATGCAAGCTTGGAGCTCCTGACCAGTGGGAGTGACAGGTTTCAGAATGGCGGGTGTTAATAGTGACGGCTTAGGAAATCTCTTTGGCTGTGGGTGTCGCTGTACGAAGGCTTTGTATTCTTTTGCTCCGAAAGCACGACGTTGGTCGTTGAGCTTAGAAGTAGCCACTGATAGGTTTCCGTGGCTTGCTGAACCATTTTGACGAAGTTCTTTCTCCGCAACAGGCAAGTTTTTCGAAGATGAAACACGAACAACTCCTTGCATCGATCGTTCTCCTGGGCCGGGTCCAAGATGTGCTTTTGCTTCGGACGTTACGTATGGCAAATCCGACAACGTATACAGGCTCGCTCGAGGCAACCTTTCTCCATTTTGTACGAAAGGGCCAGAAGTTGGGCTACTTAATGAATATGCAGCAACATCAAGCTGCTGACGAGGAAATGCCGCATCTTGTATCATATCCACCTGGAGAACCTCCGCCTCTGGTCCCGATTTGACGAGAACAGCATGCATCTCTTGCACCATGGTTCGAAACTCAGTATCTACGGTCGGGTTACGCAACAAGTTTCCTAGCAAAGACTGTGTTGTCTCATGGTTCTTCTGAATGCTTGAATTTGTGAACGCGGTGTTTGCCCTGCTAGATGGTCAATCTGTAGTTACCTGAGAATCGCGTCATGAAGCTTACCAGATTACTGAGGTCAGCATCAGATTGATTGCATCGGTGTGTGACTTCAGCTTCTCCCGATACTGTTGCAACGATTGCTTCTCGTGGTCCCATCTTACCCTCTGCCAGTTGACCCGGATACTCTTCTTCATGTCTTCCATCGTGCGCAACCTCGACTTCCCCTTGATTGCCTGGCTCTCGACGTCACGATATTTCTTTGTCACTTCATCTAGCTCTTGCAGTGTGGAAGCACATGAGTTGATCATCACATCGAGCTTCTCTTTGAACCCTGATCCGCCATATCGGAAACCTGGCCGTGCGAGCACATCGTTGGAAACTTCTCCAAGGTGGTCTAAAGCGCACTTCAGACTAAACAGTACTTCCTCAAGCTCTCTCAAGTCCCGCGATGCTGCCTTCCGTCCAGAGCTGACGCTTGCGTAAAGGCCGTACGCTAATTGGCTGACAAGGACTAGATAAGTTTAGTGCGCTCTCCTCATGAACCAAGATCTATGCACCTACTTATGTCTCCTATCGAGAATCCAAACGACATCTTTTCTCTCCTTCGCTACGATATGAGTGGAGGATGTAATGCCCGACCAGGCCGCATGCAACGAAAGTGGGCGCAGACATGTGGCCAAGATAACCCCGCCTGACGAAGTATATAAGCAGCCTCCCAAGCTGAACCAAATCTCAGCCTGACCAGCAAACCAAAGTCTTTCTGCACTTCAGTGAATTCCTTCTACTCTCTACTCACGACGTAGACTTTCAATTTACAATGGGCTCTAAAATGCCTCCAGCCGTCCCTTTAGGCTCATGTAGAATCGCTATCGAAGGCCTTCAGGTGCCTCAGAATGTCGACCACGTCAGCCTGAGAACTTTAATCCGCCAAAAGATTCGCCGGTTCGGTGGCAGCAAGACGCCTCAACCCCTCGAACAGGTAGGCTGCGAAGCAACGGTAACGGTAGATGGACAGTCCAACCTGGTGACGGTCACGATGACTATGAGCGAAGACGAGCCGATCTCTCAGCTTTGGAAACATATTGAAGGTTGATATACGTTCCTGGAGTTTAAGGATCATGCTGATATTGAGCAGACTTCGGTTTTCGAAAGCCCCTCGCAATGCACACAGACAATCAAGACTTCTTCGAACAGCATAGCCATACGGTCATAACAAATCATGAAGAAGTGGTTGTTGTTGCGGCCGACCAAGTGTCTACCAAGAACACCATCAGGATCACAGAACCGCTCATTCTACATGCCAATACTCATTACGGCCAACCAATTGAATTCAATATCAACTCTGTGGCATCTTCACAACCTTCTGTTGAAGACAATGTTGGCTTTCACGTGTCTTTTGAGCGGACACCGAGGATGCCAGATGACAACAAGATCCACCAATTGCCAGGCTCATTAGGAACTTACGATATCTTCAGTGTAGAGGCATATGCGGACCGCTTGCCGGCGAAGATCAGGAACAGCAGTGGTGTGTTCTTTCCAATGTGGCAGAGAGAAGCCATGTGGCTCAATTTCCATGCAAAATCACATATGTGTGTGGTGCGCGTATTTATCGGTCACGTCAATGTGGTTTCTGGTCTCACCATGGAGGAGACATGTGACAAGCAGTTAGATGAAGGAGAACAGGATTATATTGTCCTTCCTGACCAACAATGGTTGGACGGTATCTGTATAGCTCCTGGTATCGTTCGTCAGTTCGTCGCTATGCCACGTATGTGCTTCAACAGCTTTTTTAAGCGCCCAGATGGATCTGGATCTGCTAACTTAACGTAGTTGGCTCTGGCTACACCATAGAAGGACAAAAGACAGCAAAAGAGAAATTTGGAGGACTGCAGCTGGAGGTTACACCAGAAGTCCTTCCAAAACAACGTTTCTGGTCGTACGCCAAGCAGCAGTACGTTAGTTTCAACGAAGAGGGGCTTTTGTTCGAGGGTATCATCGACGCTGAATCGGATAGCACGCGTGGACAAGCCGATAGTCTCAGACCGGTGGTATTCTCAGACGATTTTGACGAGGGCAGTACACCCGAGCAGCTTGGCTGCGAGATTGGTGACATTCTGAGATCATATCCGGTCGAATCTTCTTTTCGAGAGCCATTCAGAATTAAACATCTATCCGTTCCAGGAACGACCGTTAGATTCACAGTAAGCCAGACCTCCACAAATCCGATGGAATGTGTGTGCTAAGTTTCGTGTTTGAGGCATCTTATGAATACGACTTCGAGGATGAGGCGAGCGATGGAGAAGAAACCGGGTATGAGGCAAACGATGAAGAAGAAATCGAGGGTGCAGTGTATGGTGAAGTGAGACGATCAGATCGAAGTAATCACAGCCTAGTAACAGATGGGGGTGATGCCATAGCAGAAGATTACATGGAGGCAACGCCTCGAGGTGACTCTGATGTCATGCCAAATGAAGAAAACCTCGAGGTAAACCTTGATCGTCTCAATATCATCGAGTCCAAGGATGTCAGAGCTATGGGTCTCGCTGCTGGTGGAAAGCTTAGTATGGCAATCCTCTGCAGTACATTACTTGTCTGCTAATCTGTAAATTAGTCCAAGATATATACAAGGACGACAACCCGGCCACGATATGGAACCATGCCGCAGCGCGTATCCTCCACGTGCATATTCTCGACCCAGTAAGCTGTGAGAAGGTCACGCACGTTGTTCCAAAACCTCCGGCGACCGACGTTAAAGGTTATACAGGGGCTGGTGGGCAATTCTTCGTTGTCGAGGAGAAGACAGACGCGCGTCTTGACAAAGGCGATTTCGATAATGTAAAGAGTGTCAGCCAAATGGATCAACACATCGGCATCAGTACAGAGCCCGAGTTTGATCCAAAAAAGCCGAAGATGTGCGTGGTATGCGAACTTCGACTATGTGATTGCATGTAAGTAATACTTCTTCAGTTGTGCCTCTTCTTGCTAATACAGTCAGTATCCGTCCCTGTGACCACCAACTGTGCAACGTCTGCATCAAGAGGATTGAGCAGAACAGCAATGAAGATTCTGCTTCAGCGCACAGACAATGGAGGTGTCCAACATGTGACAGCATGGTTTCGCACGTAGCAGGTTTCTCGGCTCCTATGAATCTGCCAGGCGAGGAGCCATTGCGCGTCAAGGTCCCCGTTAATGTGCTGAAAATTGAAGACGGTAGGGTAAGATTTGAAAGTGTGCAAAAGACCAGAATCTAAGGTTCACATCATACGAGTGAATGGGTGGCAAACACACAAGTCCTTCTGAAGGAATAATGTGTAACAATCTATGTATGTCCTTTGAGTTGTAGGATCTCTTCACCAAGAAAACTGCACATAAACGCGACCACGCTTACAGCCAATGGAACGTGCAAAAAAAAAACATCCCTCTACAAGACACACGGGCGAGCGTGTCACCACAGTAACATGGACACAATTGATGTATACTTGATGAGCAAAAAGATAATCCTCCTCCGGGAAGGCTCGAACTTCCAACCTCCTGATAGCCACTGATGTAACAGTCAGACGCGCTAGCCAATTGCGCCACAGAGGATTGTTTGATGAAGTGCTGAACAAAATTGTCAAATATATACTAATTTGTTTCCAATGCTTGTCGCGTCGCGTTGCGTCGCATCCGAATCATAGTCAAGATAGAGTTACGCAGTGTGGAAGTTAGGTGGGGTAGCTACTCCTCACTTCAAGATGTTACCGGAGGTTCCATCACTAAACGTAGCAGAACACCCACTACGATGAGAACGAAGCAAGGAGAATTCACAACAACACCATAGTGGGTTGAATTCGTGAGCATCGCAAGTAGATATGTAGTCATGTTTCGATAAGCGTCTATGGTCTATATTTCTTTCCATACTCATGTGAAATACCCTGGCAATTTTCTTTCCCAAAGCGCATCAAGTCGCTGTTATTGCAGACACTCCATGTGAACGTCTCTTCATCATCTCAATGACCTCATCGGTATGTCTGCGTCTTCTTCGTCTGTTCGTTCGCCTTCAAATTCCGACGATATCAAACCCCTCTCTTCCTCGTCGTCTCCTCTTCCCATTGGCTCCACTTTCTTCGTCGGCGCCTCCTTATTCATCGCAACGTATATTGCCGAACCAAGGATGAGCGACGATCCAGTTATGGATAAAGCGCCAGGTGTCGTGCCCCAGACCAGCTTGTCAAATGCGAGTGCGAAGAGCATTTGCATATACACCATGTTTGTTGCGCGAGATGACTTCTCGTATTGAAGGCCTGCGGCTAAGAGGAATTGCTAAGCGTTGTCAGTCAAGAAGCATAACACGGCGGCACTATCCAATAGACGTACCATTACGAAACCGCAGACGCCCAGAAAGATTAGGTAGCACCAGTCTCTCGGGCTGTTCGGAAGCAGGAAGCCAACACCAGGTATGGTAAACATTGCCACTATGCTGACAATTGTACACCATGTTGCAAAGTAGTTGACGGATATGAGCGGATGTGCTCGCTTGCCGATCCATCGAATTGTAGTATATGCACCTGCTGCTCCGATGACACCCAGCATTGCAATGCCCACTGCCATTGCCCGTTGCGTTGGCGTCACCGAATCATAGTCGGCAGCGAGACGATCGGGTGAAGATACAGTTGTGTTCGGGAGAAGGGCATCTAAGTCGCCGGTAGCAGGAGGAATAGGTGCGTCGGAATGCGACAGCGCAGAGAACAATGTAACGGGTCTTGCGATAAGGACAACGCCAAAGAGCGAGACGTAAGCAGCGATCTGTTCCATCCGGGTGAACGGCTCATTGATGAAATATGAGCATGCCCAACAGGCGAGCGACGGTGCCAGAAACGTAATGACCGTGGCATCCGCCAGAGGTAGGTACAACAGGGAGTCTGTGATGGTTAGCGCTATGAAATGCAGGAAGGGCCCATATGATGTACTGTGGAGTCCATCACAGCAGTGGGTGAGCAAGAATCCTCAAGCGCGACCTAGCATCTGACGAGCTGAGACGAGTTACTGTACCCACATGGTTCCTTGATCGAGGCTGTATAACTTACAGTACATTCCAAAGACTCCAAAGAAGCCGAAAAGCCCCCTAGCAACTAACAACGAGCGGACTTCCTTCATTCCGAAAGGAAAGTGTTCTGTCTTCTTGTACCACATGTAGAAAGATGAACATGCCACGGTGATACTCATCCTCGCGAACAAAATCTGGAATGGGTGATATCCATTGCCTATGATAATCTGTCAGTATATGCGGCTGTCGCTACTGGGGGGTCTTCATACCCTTATTTCCTTCCATTTCTAGTATTCTCGTGGTTACATTCATCAGAGTTCCGAACAGTTGAGCAAGTAGAACAAGTGCTAGGCCCTTGTTTGATGTCCATGATGCTTGAATTCTGCCTTTGAAGGTTCGCGGAGGAGCGGGTAAGCGTGAAGCATATCTGTCATGGTACAGAGGAGCATAGTCTGGATTTTGACCAAATCGTATAATGTTCGAATCGTCTATTGATACAAGGGATGGGTCCGGGGAAGGAACGCGGATTGCCCCGCGATGAACAGTTAGCGTATCATCCGTCTTATCACCGGTTTTTAGAGACGATTCAGCCTCGGGTTCGCGCTCGTTGAGCTGCTGCAGCGATTTATCATCGTTTTGAAGAGAGGTGGAGAGCGATGCCTGTACCATAGTGCTTCATGGAGGAATGATAGAGGATTGCAGGTCAGTGACGATGACATGAAGACATGATGGACGGCGAACGAAACGCCAGCCACGGGCGCCAATTGTGAATGAGGAAGGCGGCAATCCAGTCGACGAGTCACAGGCACGCGACACTGCCCCAGATCCACACATTCGCCCCTCCCTCGCGTAGCTTTCCCCCAGACCCCGCTGGTTCATCGAAGAGTATCCATTTTAGACGCGACCACTTCTCTAGTTCTCAAAAGACTTGATATGTGTTGGAGTAACCGCAGAGGACGTTTATTTTTTCATAATGACGTTGGCCTACCTACCCCGCCATTATCGATCCATGCAGATACCTCGGTCCAACCTTGGCAATCAATGCGGCGGGTCAGTTGGCACATGAAGAAGTCTTCTTCAAACGTAGGGGTATATCATGTAGGAAGAACGAGTGAGTGTTGCCTGACTCATGTATTTGGTGATACTCACATCCTATCAGCAGTTCACACTGAACCCTGCTACCATCGATTTTTGTCACCTAGGCAGCTCCTTCTCTTTTGGTTGCGCATGAATACCAGCCAAATTTGATCAACATCGAAATGAAGTTACCCATGTATAAGACAAGGCTATCCGGCCCTTTCCCAGTCTTTAAGGCCATGCGACCCGTATTTTGCAGACGCAGCTACGCTCGCGATTGTTGTTGGTACACAGGCGCTCTGGGTGACCGACACTATCCTTGAGAACGCGGAGGACCAACCCGTTCCTTCTCTGATCGCCCTCTCGTCACATTACTCCAATTGATGACAAACCCGCTGGTACACCATCGCTATGCATGAGCTGTCAAGACAGAGTTAGAGGCGTTCTTTTGGGCGCTTCGCGCACCGAGAAGGTTTACTACACCGATCAACGGCAAGAGATGTTAGATGTTGCACAGGACCAGCAACGCTTGGAGTCGTGTGGCTTAAACAAACTTTTCATCCACATGTAGGCGGGCCAACGGCTGGCAGCCACAAAATGATGGCTTGGAAGCGATGCTGCAGATTTGGTGATAACCCACCGTAGGAGGAGATTTGCAGGGAGCACTTCCTCGGATCAGAGGCCCCCCACACTATCTTCAAATCAGGCAGGACGTACGGATCTCGTCACCAAACCCGCGATTCTAGACAACCCTTTATTTGTGAGCAATTCCTAATAATGGTCGCTATCTCGCAGCACACCATTACTAGTATCAGTGGCGCTAGTCTGCCGCTCTTGAAAGTGGATTGCGGCATCTCCCAGCTCGTAAAACGGCGTCCAGCCGCTGCTCTAGTGGCACAACAGCATCGTCTGCCACATCGCTTGACCATGGGCAACGCTACTGCTCGTCACAGAAATGATGCAAGCGAAGCACTTACCCCGGCCTGTCAGTCACACGTCTGTATACCGGGGTCGCGGAAGGCGAAAACTAGGATCCCCATTGTGTGTTACAAGTAAATGACAACGACAACACCACGGCTGTCAGCGATAATCTATGAACTTTCTTTGCGAACTTCGGGGAAAAGGTGCACACCATCCTTGCGTCATGGGTGGGCCCAATGATTGTGGCCAGTGAGCTGGATCGAAAAAGGAAATAAGTGGTGGAGCGTTTCACAACGACTATCATGACTCGCAGTTATGGGGCGTATAAGGCTGGAACACACGGCAGCACGCGCTACACTCGACGTGATATTGGTGTGATGAGTGCCTTCCCTTTGTAACGCTTATGCACGGCATCCAATCGCTATCGGTTCCCATCCAGGAAACGTAATTTTCCAACAGAGTGGATCTACCCTCAGGGGTCGACAAGTCGAAGAGCAAGACGGTGTCTGCGGCAGATGGCACCAAACCCCCCCCTACAACAAAAGTGCATTCCTTTTTGCAAACCCTAAATGCAAGACAAAATTCTCGGATTCGCAACCCTTTGTTTAGTGAGGCAGCTTTAGCCGTAGTACTGTGTGGTCACAGAAGGTCTCCCTTACAACGCATCGCCTAGGTTACATTCTGCCCAAGTAGACAATCCCAGGTGAAAACCACAGTTCACCACGCATTACCGACGTTTCAGGCTTGCCACGAGGGGAGGCAGCGTTCGCACAGATCGACTGCAAATCTCCCGCTCAAGGCGCCCCACGGGAGCGCGCGTAAGGACAGCCCGTCGGCTAAAAGGGAATCAACAACGTGACCTAAGCGCGCTGTATCACCAACAGCTTGGCCTGATGCCCAAGCACATGAACAATCGTGTATCTCTGTTGAAGGTTGGGAAAAAGAAAAAGTAGTGAGACACATGTCTATCTCGATGCTTCATGTGGACAGCTTTGCCGACCTTTTGCGACTCGCCCACTCGACGTCGCAATTAAGTTTTAGGTCGCCGTTGAACAAAGCCAAGAGTTATATCATCGAGACTATGATGGTGCGCCTTGCGCGGGAATGGAGATATCCGGTAGTGGTGTCCTTTTTTTGTCCATCCCCACATCACGACGGCAATGTAAACACTTCGGACATGGCGACGTTGGTGCCCAAGGAAGACCCATGTTGGGGAATACCAAGAAAAAAATCCTACTTCCTGGTCCATGTTCGATATGGATCGGCGTGGGGTGCTGGTAATACCGGTAAGGATGGGAAAGGGATATATCAGCGAAAGCGATATAGGTAGGGTGGGGCGAGACGGCATGAACGCGAACTATCGAACGGCCACATGGGCAGTGGCAAGCGAGATTTTCTTTCCTAAAAACGCTGTAAGCACCATGAGATGATTAGTCTCGTCACCTTGTGACAGCTTGGAAAGTTTATGCTGTGGGACTTGGTGGCTTAGCTAAGACATTGATGGAGAGAATGAGTATCGTCGCGCGACTCGTACTGCGACTACCATCCCGCTGTGAAGAATACATGGCGCCTAGTTTTTTGGATGATCAGTTGCATAGCGTGAGGTCATAGTGTTGAGATCGAGCGATGAGAATAGGAGAATACTGCAGTAAGACTTCACTGTGCTTGCTCGCGAAACAATACTGAAAGAAGACTGACAGCGCATATGTCGTGAATCCCATTGATTTGGAGTAACCATGCAGTGCGATAACGGAGAATAAACGCAGCAAAGCAAAAACAGCAACCAGCAGGAAACCACCTTTGGGATCCGCTCATCCTATCCCAAAAGCAGCATGACAGTTACCAAGCACCACAGACTGTGAAGATGCCCCTGTCGGCGGTGCCACATCGCTTGCTCGTCAAGTGTCGTACAGATACCGGTAAACCTTCCTTCATCCATGTAGATCCGACTCCACCTTCCTCATCATTACTTCTTGCCGCCTACAGTGGCCCCCTACCTAGCATCGCCCTAACGCCTGTTGCCGCAAAGTCATGCGCTCTTTCTCGGGAGCCCTGCTGGCCGGGTGCGGCGAATTTGCTTTGGCCACGCGCCTGACCACCGAAGCTTTGGTCGTCATACACGATCGAGTCGTTGGAAGCTACAATGTGCCTTTGGTACACTTCTTGTGTGCCCTCGCTGAGTGTAAGGCGTTGCTCCGTGTTGCCTGATCCAAATGACTTCTTGAGTGCGGGGACGGACAAATAAGATGCTGTGCCATTCTGCCTGTTTTTCAAGTCTGAACTAGGGAACGCCAGGTTGCTGTAAGGCATCGAGCGTAGGCGTGTGTAGTCGAACGTCTTCAAGTCGTTTGGAAAGGCCAAGTCGCCTTGCTGCAGCACGTTTTTACTTCGATCCATGCTTGCGTCAATGGTAACGTTGCCTCCCACTGGTGCATTGTAGGATGATAGAACCCAAAGGGGATATTCAAAGCTTCTAGAATAGTCGGAGGATGATGTATGTGTGCCTGTTGTCGATTGGCGAACGATCTGGTCGTTACCGCCATTGCTGAGAGTGCCGATGTTGGAGAAGGTGAGCTTCTGTGTCCATGTTACCGTTTTCGATCCTGTGGGTGTATCAATGGTAGACTTGATGTCCACGTTACGAGTGACCTGTATAGAGTAATCCAAAGATATGCCTTCACTGCTGTTCGAGTTTCCACGTGTTGTCGATTGCAGTGTAATGACGGAAGTAGAGCGAGAGGTAGCAACTGTGCCTGTTGTAGGATTGTTACCGGAGTCGAGCCAAACGAATATCTTTCCTGTAACGACCCAATTCGATCCGATCGCCGTCGTAAAGTTCCCATGTCCGCGACCATCATCATCAACGCCGACAACCTGTATTTCAAAGCTATGGGGTTGATCGTCGCTGAGTAATGATATAAATGGAGTGATGTCTATCTCGTCGTCCCGCAGATCAAATGCATCGATGCCTACGACCGGTCTCCAGAATCCCGGCACAACACCTCCAGTAAAGATGACGGGAAAGGGCCAGGCAACACCAGCCAAGGTTCCGTCGATCAGAAGACGAAGCTCTCGGAAGGCCGAGTGACCATACAGTGTAGTGTCGTTGCCGAATGCGGTAGTGTCTGATGACAGTACGTTGCTCCACCAGAACTCTTCAGCGGCCTGACCACAAGCGGAGATCGAGAAGACAGCTTTCTTGGCGTTCTTTGGGAGTGTAGCACTGTTGACTGCTCTTGTTTCCGGGACGACGAACGCACTCGACGCATCCTCGCCAGACTTTCGTGCTGAGATTGGAATGATGACATCTGCGGGCTCGATCGCGTCGTCGGCAGTAAAGAAGGTCGCGGTGAGCGTGGTGTCCCAGAGACCAGTATATGTATCGTCGACGATGTTGCCGAGATCAAAGATGATCTTCTGTGGCGTCTTGAACAGAGCAAGGTAGCCGGTCATGTCCTTGACATAGCTCCATATGATGCCGCTCTGAGTCGGCTCAGCGGTGGAAGTACGGAATACCTCGGTGTCATCAAGGAACATCAAAGCAAGCCGGTCGAATTGTCGGCCAGCGGAAGTGACAGTAAAGTTGATCGTGACTCTGTTGAAGCTGCAGTTCGGTGGATTGTACTGACCTACAAAAGGTTGGCCGTACGAGTAGGCAAAAGTATGGACCATCAAAGTTTGCTGGCATGCGTCAGTTGGACTCAGGACCGGTGGCGTAACCTCAAGACACTCTAGAAGGGACGATTCGTTCGTAGCACGGTTTCTCAAGGACAAGGTCTGGGAACGGGACTGCGCAAACGGGGGTGTCGTCAGTAGAGCGGAAGCAGATTGAGATAGCGTCATTAGTATTAAGAGCAGTGCTACGAGACGTGACTGTCCGTAGATGGGTGCTGCTCGTAAAGGTGATGCCAATTCTAATAATTCGCCATTGCGCCTTGCAGAAACTCCATCGCTCTTGCGCTTCCAGTTACACATGCTAAACGCCATTTTTGCAACCGGCCAGTAGTGGTTTGCTGTGTTTAACGCCGTTACTCCGTTGTCAGAGGTATCTCGGAAAAAGTCCAGGTATCTTGGTGCACCGATGAACGCCAAGTAAGAAATTCGATGTCGATATATGATAGCCAGCTAGTTCAGGTCAGTACGTCATGGATTGGTGATAGTACAAGGTAACTCACATCATCAATTCAAAAGTGCAGCAGGTGCCTCACTCGATATGCGGCGGAAGCTTGCGGAAAGTGGGTGTTGTAGACGAAGGCTTCGGAAAAGCAGTTGCGAGGTGGTGGGTGGTGGTATGTGTGCCGTTCCGACGTCCGCGAATTTCTTCTGTCACCCGTCGAATGCGAATGAGAGCAGTATGTCCGGCGAGCTACTATTGGCCGCCTTTGTGATTGTCCCAAAAGCGTTTAGTAGCGTTACGGACTACTTCGTTATCTCCAAATCGTGTGCGATAATAGTTCATAAGCGCGAACTCGTCTGGAGGCAGGATGTAGGATTGTGGTTGAGCGTTTAGTTTTGACCAGACTACGGCAAGACGCTTTTCGAGGAATTGAGCAAGTTGCTGGTCAACGCCTCCTTCGCTGTTTTGAGCAACGTGGACAGCCTGACCGAGAGAGAGGTAGCCATGGCCTGCTATATGTTCCGTGTTACCACCCATGTTGCTGTCTAATGCAGAGTATATTGGTTGGTGATGAAGCTAAACGAGAGAGGAAGGAGCGATTGGTGATAGTAGTGTTGACAAAGATAAGGAGCGTGAGAGTCGAAATGTATGTCAAGAGAGCGGTGACGGGTAGTGAGACACGGTGCAGAATAGGTGAGGAAGTAGTGCGGACAGGTAGTCTATATACCAAGGCATATTAATAGGCAGCTTGAGAATGAGACGAACCCACGTGGAGAAACAGGCAGATCCTGAACAGCAACTCATGCAGCTCTGCAGGGTAAGAGCTTAGTCGAAGCCTCAAACAGTTGGCTCCGGGAGCGTGCCGTTTTGGGCGCTGTCAAGTTGTGAAGCGAAGGAATGGGTGTAACACCAAAGCACAGCATCATCCCGCCGAATAATGTGAGAGGCAAGGGCCCTTGTCCGCCAGGAAGTCACAAACGGCGCCGAGCTTTGCAAGGGCAGGGCGATCAACTCCATAGTCTAGCCGAGCTAGCAGGGGGGGACAGACGACGCTGGCGCCGTTCAGAGAGGAGCCCTTGTCCGGTGCTTTGGAACGTCAGAGAGCAGAGGAACGCTCGTGACCACGGGCCAATCAAGGGGGTAATGCGGCGGCAAGAGGATGATGTTAAGACCAGGTAGATGAAAAGTGGTCTCCATCACTCGTCAGCTCAGTACCCAAAGCTCAAAGTTTGAGACTGGTGCGGTTGCAGGGTTGTGGGAACGCCGAAAACTTTAAAGGATCAACTTGCAAACCTTCCCAGGCCCTCGCAGCCAGGCGCCGACCCGTGCTGCAGGATTGTTGCCGACAAAGTTGGACGAAAAGGAAGGACGAGCCAGTTGACGGCAGGAGAAGGGCTCACTAAAGCAGAAGACTATACAGTTGTCGTTTGCGATGTCGTGATGCAGTTGTTCGGCAGTGGGAGTGGCGCCGGGAATTACGGACGCGTCGCCAGGCATCTGAACGAGTCGGCGAATGCAGCACAGCGGAACCATGTGTGGAACCTTGTCAGATCGAATCAGGCTAATGTAAAACGTTGAAGACTGTTAGAGGCCGGATGCGTCCGCGCGATGCCAACGCCCTCGATTAGCCACTCCACCGTCAGGACGCAGGCAATTGTCCTATCCCAAGAGTGATATGCCCCACCGCTTTGCCAAAGGTCATCCCATGCGTAGCGAGGCGACCGGATAATGACAAGCGGTCTAAAGGAGTGTGGGTAGTGGGTTGTGAAACGGTCGTGCTGGATGGATTTCTGTAACGGAGGGCTCTCCTGTTCCACCACCTGCGCTATCGGTACCAGCGAACAGGTTCGCATACATACAGAATGGACCCGCACGGTCGATAATAAAGCTACGCGTGGTGCCCCCGCAATTTAGAATTCAAGATGCAGAGTAGGAATACGACGTGTGAAATGCAGTACGGCACACCATGGTCCATGCTGCATGTCGAGCGAGGAGCAGGTTGGCACCCAGTAACGCCACACCTCGGGCGTGCTTGACGGGCTTTTGGGATTGCAAATGACCGGAGCGCTTGCGAGACATCACAATGATTTTCCTGGCCAAGCGAGGGTGAAGGAGTCAAGCGTGCATGGCTGCATGTGCTGCCCATGTTCCGCCCGCAAGGAGGCGCGCAGCTAGCTTGATTGGTAATGGGCTGCAACAGATGTTTGCAGGAAACACGCTTCGAGACTCCCCGAGGAAGCTCTTGGCCACAGTTGGGCTGATGCAGGCTGACGCTTCTGTCAGGCAATTCTGAGAATGTGCGCAAGAAGTAATCCCTGGTCTATCCTTGTCTTGGATCACCGCGGATTTGTCGCATGTGGCCAGAAACGCTGTCGTATAGAGAGACTGAAGGCGTTGAGGAAATGAGACGATTCTACTCTCGCAAAGACAGGCGAGACAGAGTTGAATCCCAGCTCCACCGCCTCTGCCTCAAGCCATCCGGTCGGTGCGCCTTGACATGTACCTCTGGCAGGATTCGTCATGCGACATGGCGATGACAAGCCTGAGGCAATGACTTTTGCGGTCAGTGACTCGGTAAACTCTGGGCCCATTCTGGGTCCATTCTAGCGCTGGTCGAAGACGGGACGTGTTGTGCGTCTTCGATGTCTTCGAGACGAGAACCATGGTGTATGGATGATGCTCGTTGGCCCTACCGAATGCTCCGAGCGACAAAACCCAAGACGGCGTGTGAGGTCTACGGATAAAGCAGAGTCGGCAGCCGCGTTAGGAAGTCAGCATGCGCGAGCGGACGATGGCGCCATGGGCATTCGTGCGGCGACGGTGAATGCTCGGGGTTCGGAATTACTATTGGCCGCGGGCGGACCCTGGCAGAATTATATGGCAATAGTGACGCTGCAACAACGTTAGGTAGCTTTGGCGAGGACTTCCGGCACCACAGCGCTGTGACAGTGAGCCTGAGTCGACGACCACCGCTCCACGTGAAGACCGATTCACCTGCCGCCGCAACACTCGCCCGCCCATGCCATGAAGCCACGAGTAGATCGCCTCTGGACTGCCCAGCTGCCGTTTGCGCGTGCCGCCAGAAGCGCCGCCTCACGACCATCAGCACCCTTCCTTCGCACCTTCTTCACGCCTACCCAATCCGGCGCCCCTTCCAGACTGGGAAATAAATCGCTCGATCAGAGCGCTCTCCTGTTCTTCCGCTATCAACGCTCTGCCCTCGCCCGCCGCTTCCGCTCTCTGCGCTTCAAAAGTGACAAGCCCAATGTCCAGTCGCACAACCCCACGCCGCATCTAGGCAGTCCTGAGCCTGCGCTGTCGGTATCACAGCGGCTCAAGAAGCTTTCTCGCGAATATGGGTGGACGGCGGTCGGAGTGTACCTAGGACTGTCACTACTTGACTTTCCCCTCTGCTTCATAGCAGTACGCTGGCTGGGAACCGACCGGATAGGCCACTATGAAGAAGTGCTGAAAAACGCACTCTGGAGTGTTGTCCGCATCGTCGTCCCAGACGCTGGCAAGAAGCCAGAAGATGCAGGCGTCGAGGAAACCACTGCCGAGGCCACTGCGAGAGAAGGCTACGTCGAGGCTGGACGAAGTGTAGGACACAACGGTGGGTCAAACGCATGTATGGGAAACCTTTCTCTCTGGGGCAATGAACAACGTTGACAGCAGCCACAGCAATCTGGTCACAACTCGGACTAGCCTACCTCGTGCACAAATCCCTCATCTTCTTCCGTGTGCCACTTACCGCAGCCGTCCTCCCCAAGGTTGTCAAGACCCTGAGAAGCTGGGGTTACAATATTGGCAAGAGAAAGCCAAAGACCCCGCCAGTCTAGATCTGTTCCGAACAGACTTTCACGCAACCGCCACACGGCCCATCGATATTACTCCCTGTACATTCATGCATTCACGACTCTGTAACAACATACATATGTAAGATACGAATGTAAGAAGCGTAGCTCTTTTACATTCTAGTGCTAGCGCCTCAGCAGACCTAACGTTCCATGACGTTTGATCGCAATGTACATTTTTGGTCTTTGCCACAATGTCTTGACCATAGACAACAGCCACTGATATACTCAAATTATTCTTCTCTACCTCTTTCTCCTTTTGATACACAAGTTGGTCCAAAAGCTTTCAGTCGCCGGTGGCCCCCTTTGTAAAGCTACCGCGTTCACCTTCCGGTGAAGAGTCGTCGATTCCAACGTTAAATCCGGCATCGCACAACGAGGATCGTTTCAGGCCTCCCCCACGATCGCTCGCCAAACCTTGTCGGTCTAGACGTGCCGCGGAGTCCTCTCCGCACACTGCTCTCAAACCTAGCGCAACGACCCCCGCTGCTGGGAACGTTCCTTGAAGAACTTCAATTGTCGGCATGCCGCGTTTACACAGGGAACACCCTGTGCGACGCAAGGTACCAGCCGCGCAAACACCAGCGGTAATGTTATGCACAACATATAGGGAATGCAGGGGAACATAACCTAATCTTCGACTGTACCGACCACATTGCTTTTGCCGGACCTGTATCTTGGGATTCGTGGTGTAAATGTACCAAGCCAATCTATCGGCGTCGGAAAGACGCAAGCACCCGCTTGTTCTTCGTATCTTGGGCTTACCTGGATCGCGGTATCGTGATTCCGCAAATCTTCGCCCAAGTTACGGACTTTTGTCGCGTGTGGCGATGGTGTTCTCACCCGAGCTTTACCCAGACACCCAGTTCACCCTTACCCACATCGGTCCTTTTCGTGTCGAAACTTTCCTTACACTCGGGATTTCTTCCTACACTCTGAATCTCTATGCTTACCCAATTCGTACCCTGAAGCCGTTCACACCGATGTAATTGTTAGCTTCGGAGGCATGTTTTCGAAACCTTGCATTGTCCTAATCGATAAAGTATGTGCTGTCTGGGCAGCTGATTGGTATCTCCACACTCCGTCTTCGTTACCATCATGCCGTCGGCCTCGGCGCTTGCCGACAGATTGCTGTATACACTACTCGTACTTCTCATGGATCCCAAACTGTCGGATTTCTGGCTTACAAGCCTGAGATGGCCAGAACATTCACCCTGGCACAACCGCCACAAGAGCGCCTATTCTCGCCACATGTGTAGCAATCTTCGATCGCGATGTGATAGCCCACAGACACTGCGGTAACTTGTTTCCGATGAAACGCGTTACAAGCATCCACACTATTTTTTTTGACAACGATGGCAGCCTCGCTTCGTGCCGCTCACAAGGCATCAGCCGCAAAGCTGCATGGCTGCAATTGTGACGAACTGCCGAAGTCGGGCATCTGGGAAATTGATGTGTCTCAACGGTACAACAGCATTGACGGGGGCTAAAAGTTTATACATTGAGCAAAGACGTCACATCACTGGGAACGCGGAGAAAGTCCAAATACGGTAAAGCAATGCCTCACTTATTGAGAATAGCATATAGACCACCACATACGAGTTGAGACATGGCCGTTAACTATTCACAGAATTGGTAATGTGCTGAAATGAGATCGGCTGCATCGGACCAATATGGAATGCTGAGATGATGTTAGCTGTGACTGCATGTCCAAGGATATCCTTTCGAGGAACGATGAACACAATGTGGGTGGAGTGGCCGTGCCTGTAATTCTACCGCGGTCGTATACAGCCATAGCCAAGGCTCTCCTATCATTATAGCGGTAGCGGATACGCTGGTAGCATGTTATCGTGTCATCGGACGTGCACAACCACGGACACATATGGTATTCGGGTGCCGGATGTACCAGGAGCCGTGCCGGTCTATCTCAGCAATGCGAAGGCCTCCAAATACGCAACGTCGTTGTTACACTATATCATATCCCAGGACGAAAGAGCTTGGGAAGGGATGTATGGGCGCAATGAGACCCGAGTAGCCACAAATGAAAGGCAGCCAGGTCAATTAAACGCTCACGGTGTCGTTCTTGGAACATTCTTAGAGGGCTTATATCGAAGTTGATACTGTTCGAATAAGCGTGACAAATTGGTTCCTGAATCTATAGAAGATAGAAATGCTGATTGATGTATAGGCAAGGTTATTGCGCGTAGATCGTTTCAAACATTAGAAAACGTCGTAAGCACATAGTCGTGGCTATAGAACATGCGCATAAAGTCCAAGCAGTGGCACACGCATACGCGTCAGTGCAACGCGAAACGCTGATGAGCACAGCAGTTTGCGTAGGTAGCTAGAGAGTTGTACAGAAGAGAAGAAAACTTCGCGCGCTGCGAATTTCGCCAAAACCACGCTTGCACGTGTCTACGCTAGACCGAATGGTACATCCCTGCGGATGCCCCTAACCCCTTTGATCCACGACAACCACTCCACAAGCCTCACCCACGTATCTTCAACTCCGCGATATTGCGCAACCCTTCGACATCATGACATCTAATTTCGGCGTTCGCTCACGACAATGAAATCTGCTGTCCCTGTAATCGCAGCACACACAGGCATACCATGCCCCGCCTTCCTCTGCGCATCTTCCGCCTACCCACTACCCGAGCCGCGCGTCGGCGACGCATGTACACCATGTTCCTCATCGTCTTCGTGGTGGTAACTTTCATCTTGCCTTTTTACGTCATCTACAAGCCGCCGAATGTCTTGATCCGATATTTCCAACGGAGGTGGCCTGACGTACTGTGGCACGTGCCTTTACCTAGAGCAAAAGGAGGAGAGAAAGTCATTGCATTGACCATTGATGATGCGCCGTCAGAGTACACGCGTGAGATTCTTCAAGTACTAGAGGACTATGAAGCGCATGCGACATTTTTCGTTATCGGTGGGCAGGTGCGTGGAAGAGAAGATGCACTTCAGCGTCTTGTGAAAAGTGGCATGGAACTAGGGAACCACGCTATGCACGACGAGCCATCTCGTTCTTTGAGCCCTGAAGCCCTTTACGCAGAGGTCACTCAGGTAGAAGGATATATCAACGGCACTTACGACGCGGTGGGGAAGCCGCATCCACCGCGCTACTTTAGACCTGGGTCTGGTTTCTTCAGCACGAGGATGAGGGCGCAAATCAAGGAAATGGAGTACCAGATGGTGTTGGGTAGTGTGTATCCCCATGATCCTCAAATTGGTTATCCTAGTGTAAACGCGAGGCATATACTTAGTATGGTTCGACCGGGCAGCATTATCATCTGCCATGATCGGAGAGAGTGGACGGCGCCGATGTTGAGAAAGGTGTTGCCAGAATTGAAGAGGAGAGGGTATAGAGTTACGACTGTGTCGGGTTTGCTTGAGGCGGCCGGGAGGAGAGGGTGATACAAAGCCATGGAGCGAGGCTTGCAATATCGGATCCGCAACGTCAAAGGACAAGCAATGGGGATGCATACTATCGTTTCAGTATGAGAACGAGCCTGCAAGAATGGAGTGATTTGTGTCATGGAGGCATCTGGAGCTCATATTACGAAAGACTACCTTACCAATGGCATATACCCCGTGTCGAGTCTACAGCGCGTAATGCCATGATATCCATCCCTGGAAGCAGGGGCAGGAATGGCTTACAAAATTGCCTTCGAAAAACTGCCTATGGCTTTGAGGTACATCCAAGTTCCATGACATCGAGATCTTGGTGTCACAACTTCATGTAGTCAGACGGACATCAGAACGACGCAATTACTACAAGATTCCAAAAGGATAACCATGACGCACAGTCTTTGCTTTATGCACCCTTCGTGCAATCTGGTACCAATCGTGACCATGAATCCTGCCTTTTTGAGTCGAAAAAGAACCAATCACTCCTTTGTACTCGATGACTATGTCGTGTATCATGAGACCTGAGTACTGTCTTTAGCACAATGGCTCGACATTCGACACGAGTCTGGCCTTCACGAATCTACAGCTGCATGTAGCCGATGCACAGTTTCTGGGAAATCATACTTGCATCAAGATTATCATGCTAAGCTCTCTAGCAACGTTATTACACTGAATTGGCATCGAAGCTTATCCCACAGTAGTAAGACTGTATCAAGCTCTTTTCCGTCGCTTCGTAGCAGTGTTACACAACATTAATAGAGCATAGTCCTTTTCAATGACTTCAAAATTATGTCGATAGATTCATACATCTTGCAAACCGTAGTGTATAGAAAGTAACCATATCAATTTCCCAACACCAATGGCAATCACAGATAGCAAACGACTGCTATCATTCCAGATGCTGTTGACTCAAAGTCGAGGTCACTAACATTGTGCAAGAATAATTTCTTCAAAGAAAGGTTGTTGCGCAGTGACAGATGTTTTCTGGACAACTGCCCAAGCCCATGGCGAGACAACATACTGGGAAGCACAATGTAAAAAGCTGGAAAGACAACATCACAATCCATCATCAAAGGTAGTAGCGTGAATTATTTCCTTCATTGAGGTATATTACATCGTAATGCAAGCAAGCCCTTTTAAGCTTTTTGCTAGCTTATATCATCTGCATCGTTCGCTGACTGAAGCAATCAATCTAAACCGCCAAAGATGAGAATCCCTAAACTCCTCTACCACTATAGGGCGAGACGCTTAGTCGAAGGGGTTGGTGCGGGTTCCCCAGTAGGTGAGGAACAAGCTGAGGCCGACAGTCTCGAGGACGCGGGCAACAGCGCCGACGGCGATGGTGTCCATGGGACGCTTCTCGGTGACGACCTGGGAGACGATCTATTGGGCCAATGTTAGCGTATATTCGAAGACTTTGGTTGACATGTAGGATGACGTACTGAGGGAGCGGCGGAAGCGAAGAAGATGAGGGAACCGAGGTAAGCAGCACCCTTGTAGGTAAGAGTTCCGGTAGCGTTGATCAGAGCACCGACACCGTAGGCCTGGATACCAGAGCCGAGGATAGAGCTACCCCACGATGCGGCAGCGGTAGCGGCCTCCTTGGTGTGGAAGTACTCCTCCTTGGAGTTAGCCTGCTGCGCGCGGCGGTATGCGTCACCGAAGACGGGTCCAAGGACGGCGAGGGAGACAGCGTGGTTGAAGGCCGTGCCGAGAGCGATGGCAGAGGGCTTGACGGGAGGGAGGTCTGAGGTCAATTGTTAGCTAGACTGTTGTATTATGATGCCAATGCTGCCAAACATTGCGCAATTGCTTGTGCAAGTGCGGGCAGCAGCTTGTCCATTGACTTGAGCATACTTACAGTGGAGAGAAGCCATTGTGATGAAGATTTGTGTTTTTGGATGAGGTGATGGGGTGAGTGAATTTGCTTGTGGTGATGGTTTGCAGGAGACAAGGAATGCGAGCTCTTTTGTAGTCGTAGCCGCAGCGTTGGCCTGCACCTGACATTCGTATGACGTAGATGCCAAGGCCCCACTCATGGTGGGCAATCGAGCCAGAACCTGGCTTCAGCCGTCCCAATTGACGCAAGTCTATCCACTTGCCCTGGAGCGGGTCTGGATTGTACGCCATAGTTGAATTTAGCATGGACATAACGCGGCCAAAGACTGGCTTTTCGCCTTTCGACGTGCTTCCTTCGCATGCCTTTCATTCAGGTACGTCACCCGCGGGCCACTTTGGAGGTGGAGCAGGCAGGGAGCTTTGACCCACTACCCCGTCTGCCAGCAATTTGCGGCTACAGGCTATTCGCTCGACAGCTCCCAAGGATTTAGCGCTCGCATCCCCCTCGGTTGCCTCGACAGGTACACCTTGCCTTTGCGTCGGGGAGGGGGATCATGTTCCTTCTATCCTGGTCGCGCCGCTGCCAATGCGCTTTCGCTCGGTGTTTTGCAGCACAGTGAGCGCATATCTTTGCTTTTGACCCAACTGCCAACTCCACGCCCTCGACGGAGCTATCTCCTAGCGGCATGATGATACCAAAGAGAGCTTTCGGGCTCGTATTCTGCCTGCTTTTAGCTACAGGCCTCATACTCTTCTCACGCACTCTTGGCCATTCGCTCGCAGAGTACTTCTTTGGACCGCATGGCCCGGTTATTCCGTACACCACGCATATCGTGCTGTTCCAATTCAAAGACGGCACAAGCAAATTCGCTGTCAAAGAGGTTAGATGCTCGCAAGACTAACGCTGATGAGCAACGCTGAGGCCACGTTTTAGGTGGTTGCGCAATTCTTCGGACTGAAGAAGGCATGCATACATCCAACTACGCTGAGGCCATACATTGTATCGATTTCGGGTGGGAAAGATATCTCGACTGAAAATCTGCAGGTATTCAACACCGATGAAAGTGTTGGAATCATCGATAATCTGACATCGCCCACCAGAACGGCATCACCCACGCTTTCGTCCTGCAGTTTCATTCCATCGAAGATCGTGACTACTACGTTGATGATGATCCCGTTCACAAGGCTTTCAAGGAGGCGGCAAGCACGGCACTGGAGAAGGCAATTGTTGTCGACTATCAGAATGGAGTATTTACGAGTGTGTGATAATATGAATAGTAGGTCAACAATTACCCTTCGTTACGGCGGGAAAGACGGCGATCAGCCTACCGACATTGTTATCAGCTGGCGCGTATCGAAAGCACTTGAAACCGAAGAAGAAAGAGACACATTTATGATTAAAGTTCATGATAAAATATCGAAGCCACCAAACTCAAGTGCAGTCCAACCAAGCTATTTCACCATCCAAATTTATCGCTGTTGCCAAACAGTCTCCGACGGTGAAGCACACATTACAAACCAATGTCACTTGAGAATCATCCCCAGGAATACAGCGTCGTTTTTTATTCCTTCTCAGTCTTCTCTCTCTTCTTTTCACACTTTTTCCTTTCCTTGCTTGTTGCATGGTCATGGTACTTACACAACTCAAGTGAATAAGCATCGCGGCCACCAAACGCCATGTTAGCGTATTGAGCCATGACCTTTGCCTTAAACGTCCAAGGTAGGTCTTGAACATCCTTCAATGCCCAGAGGCTTTCATCACTGTAATAACAGTAATACTCGACCAAGAAACGACAGAGTGGATCTTGGTCTGTTTCCAAGTTACTGAACGTGCGCTGGACAATATTGAATTGGGGTAGACAGTGATGATCGGTAATCTCAGAGAAGAGTGTATCGAGGCACTCCCTCTTCAGTCCGGGTACGTCGTACTTGTCACAGAAGATGTATAGAGAGACGAGGCTCTCATACAGAACTTCATCATCCTCAGCGTCGTCATAAAGTGCAAATAGCTCGGATGAGTCTGTCTCGACAGGAAGTCGTTGGTAATAAAGCCAGTGGACAAACAGCTCAAAAGTGTTGCTAGCAGTATCGGGGAGGGTAACGAGCTTCTCGTCGGCTTCTTTGAAGGATCCTGTAAGGGCAGCGCGGAAGAAGGGCGAATGATGGATAAGCAGATCGAGGTGCACATTGAAAGTTAGTGCTTCGGGACCAACGACGACCTTGGCAAAAGTGGCGTTGTGGGCTCTACAGGAGATTAGTGAAGCGTGAAAATCATATGCACAAGGACTTACGATATACGCGGTCTTTTCTGTTCACAATGGTCTTGGTTGCTTGACGACATATTGGCTACCGAACAGGTTGTGGAGAGTGGATGGAGGGAGAAAGTAGACAAGCTCAAATAGGTTCCCTCTTATAGACTGCTAATCTGCCTTATTTTGGAGTCACTACCGTGCTCACCTTGGTGTTTGACCAAATAAGAAAGTGCTTCACTACTCGTTACCACACACTAAACCCCGAGACCTTGGTCACCTTGATGACTCGAGCGCATATATGAGCAATCACTTGAGCCAGGTGAGAGAGGAATTGTCGATTGGCCCTCCAATCTCGCAAAACATGCAGAGTATCGTGAGTAGTGTGGTAAAGAGCCAACCTCTTGATTCGTGTTGATGCAGTGTTGGATATGGATATGTTGTACATTTACACATTTACTACAGAGGCCTCGTGATAGCCACTTCTTCATCTGTTGGCATAATCCTACTCTTTGATCAGGTGTTCTTGCTTCTTACTCTCCTCTGCTACCTTTGCCCTCGGCTTCACTCTTGGCTTCGCTCTCGACGTCACTTTCATTGACTTTCCGACTCGCATAATCTTGTTCGGGTACTTGCCACTGTCAACCTCCTCGGGATAGTGCATCTCCCTCTTCATCTGAGTCTCCGGGTATACCTTCTTAGGCGCAGGTAATATCCTCTCATCCACACCCTTGGCATGTAGTTTCCGTAGTGACTGAACCATTTTCCGCAGGCCCTCCACACCATCCTTGCGAAACTGTGTGACCTTCTTGACATGCATTGTGATGCCCGGGCTCAACCCTAAGTTTGTTGGTCTCCTCGCTAGTGTTTTTGCGGTCATGGCGAAGCGCATGTCTTTTGGTCCGTCTACGAGTTCGAGGATGGCGGATTCGGCCTGGTCTTCTTTCATGGGCTCAATACGGAGGACTCGAGTGTAGCCGCCGGGTCTGGCTTCGTAGCGCTTCCTTATGGGGCCGAATAGCTTGGGTACCATTTCATTTGGTTCCTGACATTGTCAGTATGCGCTCTTGGTGGATGCTCTTGGCGTGTCGTACGTAGAATATCTGCGTCGCTCTCCGCCGTGTCGCCTCTGTGTTCTTCTTCCCCAGGGTAATCAGCTTCTCGGCTAACCGCTGGGCTTCCTTCGCCTTGTGCCATGTTGTCGCAATCGTTTCGTGCTTGAAGAGCGATGTGACGAGGTTTCGCAGGAGTGCCTGGCGATGCGACGACGACCGACTGAGGTGGCGGTATTTCATGTGACCGCCTGCCATGACGGGCAATTGGTTCTGTATAGGCCGGGGAGGGTGTGGAGGGCGTCCTGGTGTCGCTGCGGCACCTCAGCGTCTTGCCGTCTGCGATACCATGGCCCGCGAAAAGTTCGGGCATCGGCCGTCGTTTCCCCGACCCCACATCCCTGCACGGCTTACACAAGCAGCAAGCACTTTAGCACTAATCCGATCCGTGGCCCAAGCAACGCGACGGGACGCGTAAAGAGAAGAAACGCGTTATAAGTGTGTGCCTGCATCCATCCACCCCTCACTCCTGCACACTCTTCCCATACACCCGTTCTTCACGATACCCACTCCCAGATACCCCTCTACTACTTTTCTAATTCAACATGTTCGTTCTCAAGCGTGGTATGTACTGCCTGTCCTTCACCGCTGCAAATCTTCACCGCTAATAGTCGACTTCAGATGGACGCAAGGAACGCGTGCAGTTCGACAAGATCACAGCACGAGTGTCAAGGCTATGTTACGGCCTTGACCCGGACCATGTTGACCCCGCTGCTATCACAATGAAGGTCATTTCTGGTGTCTACCAGGGTGTTAACACCGTCCAGCTAGACGACTTGGTACGCTCTTGAACGCGTCTCATACCATGAAAACGTCTAACAAAGAGACAGGCCGCTGAGACCGCAGCCTACATGACCACCACACATCCCGATTACGCAATCCTCGCTGCGCGTATCGCTGTATCAAATCTCCACAAGCAGACAAAGAAGCAATTCTCTCTCGTTGTAGAAGATCTGTACAACTATGTCAACCCCAAGAACGGAAAGAGACAACCCATGATCTCTGATCACATCTACAAGGTCATAATGGAACACCAAGACGAGCTCAACTCGGCTATCGTCTACGACCGTGACTTCAACTACCAGTTCTTCGGTTTCAAGACACTTGAGCGCTCATATCTCCTCCGCATAAACGGCAAGGTCGCCGAGCGCCCACAACACATGCTCATGCGTGTTGCTGTTGGCATTCACGGTGAGGACATCGAGAAAGCCATCGAGACCTACGACTACATGTCTCAAAAGTACTTCACACACGCCTCGCCGACGTTGTTCAACGCGGGCACACCATCACCGCAAATGTCGTCATGCTTCCTCATCGACATGAAGGAGGACAGTATCGACGGCATTTACGACACACTCAAGACCTGTGCGTTGATCTCCAAGACCGCTGGCGGTATTGGCCTCAACGTGCACCGCATTCGTGCTACTGGCTCATACATCGGTGGCACTAACGGAACATCTAACGGTCTCATTCCCATGCTCCGTGTATACAACAACACTGCTCGCTATGTCGACCAGGGTGGCAACAAGCGTCCAGGTGCCTTCGCCATCTACCTAGAGCCATGGCACGCTGACGTCTTTGGCTTCCTTGACCTGCGCAAGAACCACGGCAAGGAGGAGGTCCGCGCTCGCGATCTCTTCTACGCTCTGTGGATTCCTGACCTCTTCATGAAGCGTGTCCAAGACAACGGCAACTGGACACTGATGTGCCCGAACGAGTGCCCTGGCCTCGCCGATGTCTACGGTGAAGAATTCGAAGCTCTGTACGAGAGCTACGAAAAGCAGAACAAGGGTCGCGAGACTGTTCGCGCACAAAAGCTTTGGTACGCCATCCTTGAGGCACAGACCGAGACTGGTAACCCCTTTATGCTGTACAAGGACGCTTGCAACCGCAAGAGCAACCAGAAGAACCTCGGTACCATCCGCAGCTCCAACCTGTGCACTGAGATTGTGGAGTACACCGCTCCTGATGAGGTCGCTGTTTGCAACTTGGCTTCTCTTGCCCTGCCTTCTTTTGTCGACTACAAGGCCGGCGTGTTTGACTTCAAGAAGCTCCACGAAGTCACACAGGTCGTCACCCGCAACTTGAACAAGATTATCGAGGTCAACCACTACCCTGTCGAAGAGGCACGCCGCAGCAACTTCCGCCACCGACCCATCGGTATGGGTGTTCAAGGTCTTGCCGATGCCTTCCTCGCACTTCGCCTTCCTTTCGAGTCAGACGAAGCTAAGAAGCTCAACATCCAAATCTTCGAGACCATCTACCATGCTGCTCTCACTTCCTCATGCGACATCGCAAAGGAACTTGGCCCTTACAAGACCTACGAAGGATCTCCCGTATCCCAGGGTATCCTCCAGTACGATATGTGGAATGTCACACCTACTGACCTCTGGGACTGGGCGTCTCTGAAGGAGAAGATTGCTGAGCACGGTGTACGCAACTCGCTGCTCATTGCCCCCATGCCAACTGCCTCCACTTCACAGATTCTGGGCAACAATGAGTGCTTCGAGCCATACCCCTCCAACATCTATTCCCGCCGTGTCCTCGCTGGTGAGTTCCAGGTTGTCAACCCATGGTTGCTCAAGGACCTTGTCGACATGGGTCTGTGGTCTGAGAACATGAAGAACCGTATCATCGCCGATGGAGGTTCGATTGCCAGGATTCCCAACATCCCTGAGGAGACAAAGACCCTTTACAAGACCGTCTGGGAGATCTCGCAGCGAAGGATCATTGAGATGGCCGCTGACCGTGGTGCTTTCATTGACCAGTCTCAGTCGCTAAACATCCACATGAAGGAGCCTACTATGGGCAAGATCACTTCTATGCACTTTGCTGGCTGGAAGGCTGGTCTGAAGACTGGCATGTACTACCTCCGTACCATGGCTGCCTCGGCTCCCATTCAATTCACTGTCGACCAAGAGGCACTCAAGGTTGCAGACACAAACATTGCCAAAGCCCTGCCCAAGGTACGAAAGCAACCCGGATTCCAGCCTGAGGCTATCCGACACTCGCCTGTCACCGCTTCCCAGACTCCATCATCGGCACCTCGTCCGATGTACGCCATCAAGCCCACCAACGGCGAGACCAAGACGGAGGCTGAGGAGAATGGTGTTTCCACACCAGTTGCTACCCCGCTGCCAGTCTCAGAGGACCGGAACGCCCTCGCAAGCAAGCCATTCAAGGCTGACGTGGAGGAGGGCGATAGCCCAAAGATGGTTGCTGCTGATGCCGTTTCCAAGCCCGATGAAGAGGTGGCCAAGAAGGACCCACAGGAAGAGGACTCGAAGGACGACAGTGAGGCACGGGATGGTGACATCTACGCCGACGCTGTCCTCGCTTGCTCAATAGAGAACCCCGAGTCCTGCGTCATGTGCAGTGGTTAGGCGCACCGATGCGCATGTCTGCAGTGGGCGATGTTAAAAGCGTCGCTGTTACGTGATAATTACGGTTTGCCCGAGCGTGCTTTTCTGCCATTGGGTCTTCGGGAATGCAACAAGGCGTTGATGGTTTTTAGGGGTAGGTATCATTTGGATCAACCTAAGGAGGCATGAGTTCATGAGTTTGAATGCGTTTATCGTCGAGCCGTAGTATGTGTAGCGAATACGTATGTTTGTACGTACACATGAGCCTTTCCGTACATGCGTGATGTCCTCAGGCAAGTTCCCCATGCTGTTGTTACTATAGCGCGACTTGTTCCGAAAGCCGCGGCTCAATTCCGACCGAAAGCTACATCTTCCCCACATTGCGCCCTACAACCACCCGCGCCCTTGGAAGTACATACTGCACCGCTCGTCTCATCAAAGCTCGTTGATATAAACCAAGTGGAGCTCCTGTACGTATACTTCGTCAAGGAATTCCTCCAACCAAGAAGCTAACATCGTATCTCGTCACAGCTCTCCCCAAGCTCCAACTACCGTAGCCCCACACGCCCTCCTCTTACCTGCCAGCTACGATATATATGCTCGCCCTCCGCTCCCTCCGTCCTCTCACATCTTCCTTCGCAACACCACTAAGATCTGCATCGAAGTTCCAGCAACGCACAATGGCATCATCAACCGGTGCTCCACTACAAGAATGGCTCGTCATTGTACCCGACCATGCGGGTGCGCTGCAGAAGCGTATTGCGAGCCGGCCGAAACATTTGGAGGGACTCAAGGCCGATAGGGAGGATATGTGGTTATGGGGTGGTATGTCTTCTCACATACTCTCTATCATCTCGTCTTGTCCTGTGGTCTCCCTCAGTAAACATGACAATCGTCCAAAGCTGATACTTTTATTTCCACAGGAGCAATGCTCGAAGAACCCATCAAAGAAGGCGATACGAACCCTCCCAAGATGAAAGGCTCAGCGTGCCTCATTGGAGCCAAGACGAGAGAGGAGGTTGTCGAGAGGCTAAAGCAGGATCAATATGTCAAGGATGGCGTGTGGAATGTGGATGAGGCGCAAATTATTCCATTCAAGAGTGCTCTTAGGAAGGCTTTGTAGTCTGGAGTTTGCGGAGCGGTAGTGAGGAAGATGTTGCCCAAATCGCCACCTTTTTAACTACTCCTCAGGTTCGAGAACTCTACTTCAATCTCCTTCCTTCTTTGTCGTACCATATCTCGGCAAGTACCAAGAGCCAGAAGACGATATACTTAAGACACATATACCGATAGGGAACGGCCCAATACTGAGTTACCCACTGGCTTCCACATACCGCGCTTACACAACCTTGACATTTACCCTAATAAGAATTATGTGTAGTGTGCGAGGAAAGGTCGGAGTGTAAGATAAGGCAAGCAATCGCATCTAGTTAATTGGGCATAAGAGGTCGTGATGTGGCAGGACGGGTGTCATTTGGCCTTTGAGGTTATTGGATGTGATGGCCACTACTTCGGATTGTATAGGAGAAGTTCCAGTTTCTCGCGTGGTTCGTGTGACTAGCTGGCTGATGGGATGCCGTACTGTGGTTGCTTTACACTTCATTCCATGGTACTGGCCCTCCCTGGATGTATTTAAGGACAACTATCAGTTTCACACAACTAAAAAAAATCCATTGCAATCCTGCTTTCCCTTCTGGTAAGATTGCTACTGTCTATCCATAGGTATACCAATGTTTTTCTTCGACAATAATCTCTCCTGGCTTTCTCAATCACCGCAAGTATCGAAGATCGACTCCATGCCTGAAAAGCCCAAGATCCGTCAGGTCGCACCCATACTCGGGTAAGTACATGTTGATTTCTCATATTCCTTTCAAGCGCGTTTTTGTCAACACGACAGATACATTAGTACCTAATGTTTCTTATTGTGCTCCAGTACGACTGGTTAGCAGTATACATGTGCACTGTATCGAAGAGAAGAAAAAACTTTCCCTTCCAACTACAAAAGAGCATGTGGGGTGCATGTAGATATAGGTAGAAAACGTAGAAGACTGCAATGTTATTAATCTTTACAAGTTCTCATATTAGAAGGTAATGTAGGCTGTAAGCTAGAGCTTGTTATTTCTGCGTCTGTCTGGATTTTTCCTTGTATGAGGTGTATGTACTAACAGGACTAGCAGCGCCGCGGCGAATGGCGAGATGGTCACGGTCTTCATCGGTCCCACGAGAAAGCGGTACAGCATTTATAAAGATCTCATCTGTCATCACTCAGAGTATTTCCGAGTCGCATTCAACGGACTCTGGCAAGAGTCAGACAAGGGTCTGACACTAGAGGATGTCGAGATCGAAGTATTCAACCTTTTCGTTCACTGGTTGTACACACAGGAGCTCCCAAAGGACATGTCCCTTCTACTACAGGCCGCCGGAACAGATGCTCAACTAGCAAGCGAAGACTCTGAGTATTCTCACTGGGGCATACTATTGCTAAAGTCTTGTATCTTTGGCGATCGGTTTTTTGCACCGGATTTCCATCGTCTGTCACACAACGTGTTCGTTGATGGTCACTTCCCAGGAAAGGGAGAGCCGGCCTTCAGCGCTGCATACAAAACCATCATCTGGAGTTTCAGCAACTTGCCAGAAGGTAATCCGGTCCTTTCTATGACGGTGGACCTACAGTGTCTTGCCTGGAATGCGGAAGATGATAATGAAGAGGAAAAGCAGCTGCTACCACAACTACCACACGAATTCCTTGTCGCTTACATGCTGAGACAGAGTGTGTTGAAGACGTTGAAGACGACAGACGACAAGTTGAAAGCTTGTGATTACTACATGTAGAACGTCTACTCTGAAGATATACGCGGAGTTTTCGTTATTAGACTAGTAAGAATATCAACAATATACGTGAGTATATTCCTAAGCGTGTTGTCAGCCATGGTTTATCGAACAAGTTCTTTCTCGTATCGGAAAAGCTATCGAGAGTTATTTTCCAAATCACGTCATGTCTCTGGTCCACTTCGGAGGATGCAATCATGAGATGAAAAGCCTTGTTACCACGTCCATTGCTACTGTTCACCGACTTAAGATTACCTTTTCCTCCAGACGTTAGAGAACTTGCACCAACGAAGTGAAATAGCCTTTTTTCAGAACGCCTGTACATTGTGCTTTAGCAATAGTATTCACTTTTGATAGCGAAGGTGCGACCGAATAATGTCGCTTCATTTACCACGAGTAGGAGCCTTCCGAAATTGTCTTCATGTTTTACTTTCACTGCAATTACGATTCTGGCATGCATATTTAAGCTTGCCTTCTAACCCACTCCCCTCACTACTCTTGCATTCCAACCCCACCACATCGTATTGTCTGTGATCTTAGCAGCTTTCAAAGATGATACCTGGCATTGCGTACGTATAGATGAGCAGCAAGACAAATCGAAGTCCATCTACTGACGGTTGATAGCGAAGCCACCGCCGGAGAAGTCGTCGCCATCAAGGTTGGGCCAGCCAAAACAGTCTTTAGGATTCATGAAGATGCCCTATGCCGCGAGTCAGAGTACTTCCGTGCTGCCTACAATGGACGCTGGAAAGAGGCAGAAGAAGGACTAACATTGGATGACGTCGAAGCTGGAGTATTTAAGACCTTCGTGCACTGGTTGTACATGCAGCAACTCCCAAAACACGGAGATGTTATCTACGATGCAGATGTAGACCCAGAAGGTCCGGATTACAACGTGGAGTATGGCATGATGCTGCTCAAGGCATACGTCTTCGCAAACCGATTCCTCATCGCAGACTACGAGCGCATCGTTCATAATCTGTTCATCGACCACATTTTTGATTGTGAATGCGCAATGTACAAACAGATCATCTTCGCCTATGAGAACCTACCAAAAGACAGCCTGATCTTAGAACTCATGGTTGAAACGCAATGCGTGTACTGGTCCACGACGCTCGACAACGAGGTGGAAACGCAGAGCCGCCTTGATCTACCCAAAGAGTTCTTTATTTAGGTGATGGTCAGGTTTGCTGAGCTACGAGACCGCCACATCGGATCTAAAGAGTTCAAATTGGAGGATTTCTATATGAAGGGAGCTGATTGAGCTGAGTTGTTTGCAACTCGACCCCAACAAGTCCTCAAGGAAAACTTGCAGAAGATGGAAAGCCAGCGTATAGTTTCGGTACCATATCCACGCCTCTTGCAAGAGCTGCTCATGTGTAAACTAGAACCTTAGAACAAGAAAATGAACACCCCTATAGAAGACACAGACACTCAACATCACAAGAAAAAAAAGCTCCATTCGATACTAGGGTATAAGATGAAGAAGCAGTAAACCGTATGCCCGCGCATTCTCACATGCACCCCACCCCATACTAACGCCTCCCATCCAAGTCACTAGTATAAACCCCCCTGCCTTCCATGCTATTACTCCGAATATCGTAACACAGCCCAACCCCACAACGCCTACGTTGGTATCTCGGTTTCGTATCGTAACAATTCAGCACTGGTGCGCCTTCTTCCATCGGACCTAAACCTGCGCATTCGGCGCCGGCTTATCCTCGCGCTCTTCAACAATGGGGCTCGTAGGCGCCTCATCCTCATCACTTGCTTCCCTCGCGTCTTTCCACTCTGAGCTCTTTCGGCTGATTCTGGCGGGGCCCATGGGGTCGCGTGGGCTGGCGAGTGGGCTGGTAGGCGTGGCGCGCATGCTGCTGATACTATCAGTGCGGCCGTGGCCAAGGAGCCCACTGCGCACACTGAGTCCGTCGGCTTGTTTGGTCGCATAGTAGCTGTTGCGCTCGCTGGGTAGTACTGGCGCAGTGACACCGGACGCCGAGTAGACGCTCGCGCGCTCGGCATTTACGAAAGCACCGACGTTGCTTGGCCTGGTGGAGGGCGAGTATATGGTGTCTGGGTTGGCTGAGAGCACGCTAAGGGGTAGTGACTCGCGACTGCCTCCGTAATGCGACGAAGGGGCTAGTGCTCGCATCGAAGCATTGGTATCTACGGAGTTGCGACGGCGACGCTTCGAGGATGATGCGAGGGTGAGGATAGACGCGTTGTCGGTCAGGATGTTGTTGGCGGTAGCGCCCTGATATGAGTTGGGCTGCTGCTGGGGCGCCAGATGCGGCGGTATAGCTGACGGTGGCGGAGACGCGGGGAACTGATGCGAGAAGTGGACGGGCGTGGCGCTTGAGCTTGTCGCATTGTTCTGGTTCTGGGCCTGGCCAAGGTTAAGGACGTTTGAGGGCGCGGTTGATTGTATTGTCGTCAGAGTGGTGGTGAGGGAGTGTTCTGAGCCATTTGGCGACGAGAAAGTGCTGCCGCCGTTGACAAAGTTGCTGCCGCCTGTCTCTGCCTTTGATCTTGTGGAGTGCACGGTTTCAGGGACTGTGGCTACGGTAGGTGCTGTGGACTTGTTGCTCTTCTCTACACCTTGCCGCTGTCCGGCTGCGGGCTCCTCGATGGACGTGTAGCTGTCATGCGATCGCTGTGTGGCGGGAGTGGATACGGAGGAGTTGTCGGCTGGGGCTACATTGGTGTTGATGTAGCCAGACTCGGGATAGGGGTTGTTCTTCGCGGCGCCTTTCTTAACGGTGTTGCCCTTTTTGCCTGGGGCGTCGGACGATGAGGGCTTGAGATTGGCAAGACGCTTCATCCAACCCGCAAAGGGTCGTTTGCGCGGGTGTCGGTCTTTATATCGCGTTAGCATGCTGAGCATAATTTGGTCAAACGAGAGTGGAAGTGATGAGGGGAATATAATAATTTGGGTAGTTGTCTGAGGCAATGGCTGTGCTGGGCTAGTTCACCGTACCATGGGGTCTCGATGCAGCTTCAGCCGTGGCCATTATGCCGGCTGCCAAATATAGAGTGCCGCGGTGGTGAGTGAAGGAGGTCGTCGAGCTAGCAGTTAGGCGCGGGATGCCACGTTCGGTCTCGGAAGATTCCACGTCGAAATTACTGGAGGGCTGCAGGACTGGGGACGCGGCTGTTGGTTGGTAACTTAGTGTGTGCGCGCGTGTGTTGGAAAGCCAGCGCAGACGGGCGGAACGCGATTGTCGCGATGGTGTGACGGAGTACCGTATCGCTGTTTGTCTGCCAGATGAGGCGAGTGAAGCAGTGCGTCTTATGTGGATTACGCGGTTGGGGCCCGGCAATCTGCTGATGTGGAAAGGGCGAGGGAGTTGCTTGGTCGCTCATGCCTCCGGTTGGACCCTGACCCTTTTCCCCAGCGCACCTGCCGCCCGCCGCGCTAAGCTGCGATTTCCTTTCACGACACAGTGATTGCGTATGTTCTGTAGATCGACATGTAACCACCCGCCCTGCCTCCCCACTGACCTCGGAGCGACCCCTAAACATGCTCGCATGCGGGTTATCAAACAACGAGGGGGCGCCCACCGAACCTAACACTACGTCATGACCCGAAACACCCCAATTGGCGCCAACCATGCTATCCCCAATGCCTCGACCCAAACCATACTGCCCCTGCCTGAGCATGTCGTCGCCCAGATCAAGTCGTCAACGGCAATTGTTTCCCTCACCGGAGTTGTGCTGGAGCTGCTGAAGAATTCTCTGGACGCGAAAGCGACCAAGGTTGAAGCTGCGATCGACTTTGCGCGCGGCGGATGCTCGGTCGAAGATGACGGCCTCGGCATATCGCCCCTCGAGTTTCGCGAGGAAGGAGGCCTGGGCAAGCTCTACTGTATGTACATGCACCGAGAGCGCTGTAGATAGACCATTGACAGGCACAGGCACGTCCAAGTACCATGCAACTGAGCCCCTTCTTGGCCGCAATGGCACCTTCCTCGCGTCCCTCGCTACCATGTCCCTCTTGACCATCTCCTCGCACCATTATCAACACCGCTCGCACAATGCGATAACGTTTCACCAATCAAAAGCCGTGGAGAGGCAACTGCCGGCTTCGGCGCAGCACGAGATATCAGGCAGGCATGGCACCCGTGTCACCGTGCGGAACCTGTTCGGAAATCTGCCTGTGCGCGTCAAGCAGCGGTCGATCATAGCGGAGCAAAGAGCGGAGCATGACAGACTCTGGGATGGGCTGAAGAAGGACGTCACGAGTCTCTTGCTTAGCTGGCAGAGTCCCGTATCCATTCGTATTCGCGACAGCGAGAACAGGGTGGTTGTCAACCTCAGCATATCCAGCTCAGGGGCAACGGCACAGACTAAAGAGAGGGAGACGTCGAACACACGCTCTGCGCAGCTCTCATCACTCCTCAACGTTTTGACCCAGGCCAACTATATTGCCATTGACGAGTGGCCGTCGTGGGTACCAGCATCGGCTGCCACATCTGCCATTTCCATCAAAGGCGCCATATCATTAGACCCGGCACCTAGCAAGCATGTTCAGTTCATATCGCTCGGTATACGACCGCTGTGTGCGAACGCCGGCCACAACGAACTCTTCGATGCTGTCAACCGCCTCTTCGCTCTATCTAGCTTTGGCACTGTCGAGGATGATACCAACATTGATGAGTTGGAGAAACGGCGGCGACAGTCAGACAAGCGCTTCAAGCATGACGGGTACACTAACCGACAGCTCAAAGCACGCAAAGATGTCGACAGATATCCCATGTTCTACCTTCGCATCTCGTTGAAGGACGCCCATAGAAGAAGCGTCCCCGAAGAGCAGTTCCTCGGGGATGAGGCGAGCCTCCAAAGCGTGATGGAGGTGTTGGACGCGATGATAACTCAATGGTTATCAGTCCATCATTTTAGACCACGGCAACCTCGCAAGAAGCGTGGACGGCTCGATACGGCTTCTAGTGCTGCCGAGGGTCTCGCTGTAAGCAACTCATCATCCACGGAGGGTCGGACTACGTCCATGGCTTCGAATGGGCAATCTATCCGAAGCTGCTCCGCAACACCAAAGCCAGTCTCTACTTCGTCGCAGTCACTGAAGAGGAAGCGTCCAGACAAGACGGCGTCGCGCGAATTGTGCGAGAGGTCACGTCCTGGAGTCTTCGCAGAGTGGTCACGCATCAAAAGTGGAAAGCCTGAGTTCTTCAGCAGCGTTTCGACCGTGTCGAAATCTAAATCCGAATCAGATCTCGGTAAGGAAGTTAGTATGAGCACTTCGGCTGGCACAAACACCGAAGCATTTGCGAAGTTTGACGTACCGCCGCTATCGCAAGGTGCTTTGAGTGGGCAACGTCTTCTCGACGAAGCTTCCACGCCTACAGACTCTCTGGGTATCGAAAACAAGGAGAATGATGCTACTATTTTGTGGACAGACCCAACCACCAAGGAAGTACATCTACTAAACGCTCGAACAGGTTGCGCAGTGCCCGATGTTCGGCCGCGACCAACCACCGATTCTAATCCATCTACGTTCCACAACACGCAGGCATCTTCGAACAATTCGGTGCGATTACCAACACGAGCCTCGACGGCCGTACCTGGCAAAACGCCTTGGCTTGCCAATGTGCTAGACACGTGGGACAATCCAGTCTTCAAGCCAAGCGAGAAGCGTATACAACAGGCTGTATTACACGAAGACGAGTTTCGAGGGCACCGCTATTCTAGTCATGGTTGCTCCCGCATCGATATCGACAAGGCTTTCAACCAGGCTTCAGCAGGTGGCTCTAGTAGACTGTCGAGAGAGGGGTTACAGAACGCTCAGGTCATCGCACAGGTAGACAAGAAGTTCATTCTTGTCAAGATGAAAGATTCGACACAAGTGCAAGATGCGCGCTCAGGGCTTCTCGTGCTAATGGACCAGCACGCAGCAGACGAACGCGTACAGGTTGAGTCACTCCTAAGTCAGCTTTGCAATCCACTACAAGACGAAAAAGGGTATCAGACAAAGCTCGGCCACAGGGCGCAGGTAGCTTCTGTCGTGCTCGAGAAGCCGATGCAATTTGCAATCTCTTCCAAGGAACGAATACACTTCGCAACCCATGCCGTAAGATTCGCAGCATGGGGCATCCTCTACGACATCCTTGGAACGACGACCTCTTCAGCTGTTCCTGACACTGTCGATAGGGAAAAGCACGTTTTATCCGTCACTGGTCTTCCAACGGGTATATCGGAACGATGCAAAGCTGATCCCAAGGTCCTGATTTCTTTCCTCCGCTCAACGGTCTGGAAGTATGCAGAAGATCCGCATCTCGCTCCTTTGCCTACACCACTCACCTCATCACCGAGTAATCCCACCGATTGGGTCAGACGTCTAGCCACCTGTCCTCCAGGTCTTGTCGATCTCATCAATTCTCGTGCATGTCGCTCCGCTATTATGTTTAATGATGTGCTTAGTATTGAGGATTGTAAAGCTCTGGTGAGAAATCTGGCGAGTTGTGTGTTTCCGTTCATGTGTGCGCATGGACGGCCTAGCATGGTGCCGCTTATTGATTTGGGAGAGAGGGGGGAGTTTCCGGGTGGACTAGGTGCGCGCGATGAGAGTGTTGATGACGCAGGTTTTGTAGGGGCTTGGAAGAAGTGGAGGAAATGAATGTTAAAGTCGAGACTTGCTGTCAACCCTAGCGGGTAACCTCATGACACAGCTTGGCATCGTTCAGACAACGTGTTTTTATACCTGAGGTCCAAAGAAATGCTACGACAGACACGGTGATGCAATGTGCAGCTTGATTCTGCTCCAAGGCAGATGTATACACGGTGCGGAGCGCAGCGCGAGGTTTTCGCGCATGGCTAAGCTGAATTGGGTATGGTCTCTTTGTCTATCAAATCGTCTGGGAACAGCCGTGGAGCGTCAGCATCGCATTGCTGTTCGCCACCATCTTGTATCTTGCCTGCAACTTGATATTGATATATTGTGCAGAAAACCCAAGCAAAGATCCGGACGAGATTTCCATTCGCCCAAGTCTCATTCCATTTACCGACGCTGACATGGCAGAGTCGAGTCAATGTACGTCATGCGTAAACTTCTTGGACATGCATATCTCAGCAGCCAAGCCTCCACTCCGCTGCTGAAGATCCATTCCGCGGATAAAAGCGCATGAAGCTAGTCTCGTGACTTGAAGTTGAAGCGAGCTCTCACCTCAACGAGTGGTTCTTCATAGCCGAATTGAGTAACGATGCGCATGACACCCCGCGATTCGGGAGACGTTTTGCGGGGATTGATCGTTGGAAAAACGGAGAAGATGCAGCAATAAGAAGGCTTAAAATATGGTTGATGAATGTTGTATGCACCGGCCTACCGCATAACAGAATGTCGTTCAAAGAGAAGGACCTTGAAGCTGAGCGAAACGAGCATGTCAGTATTTTCCCAAGCCCTATCAAGCCTGAATGCTAACGACGAAAGATCTCGTTCGATGAGAAGAGCGATCGCGGTAAAGATGGCCGCATCAACATTGAGGATGTTGTCGATCAATCAAATGATACATCAGGACAAGCATCGTCGCCCTTCGAAAAGGATGACAAGGAAACCCGTCGCATTATCCGAAAGATAGATCTCAGACTCCTGCCAACACTTGCTGTCATCTATGCCTTTGCACTTATCGACCGCGTTAATCTTCCAAATGTACAGTGTACCCCTGTTGCGATCACAAGTCGTATTCTGATCCATAATCCAGGCGCGCATAGCAGGCATGGATGAGGACCTAGGCCTCTCTATCGGCTCACGTTATTCGATCCTCACGATGATCTTCTTCATCCCTTACATCATCTTCCAGTTCCCGTAAGCAGTGTCTCTTATAAACTGCATGTGAGACAACCACTGACCTCGTACACAATCTTTAGGGCCAACATCATCATCAGAAAACTTGGTCCCGCCGTATGGCTACCTTCTCTAGTCATCTGCTGGGGGGCTGTCACGATTGGCATAGGTTTTACGAATGATTGGACGCAGGCACTAGGCTGCAGAATCATCCTCGGCGTCCTGGAAGCAGGGTATTATCCAGGTTGTGTCTTCCTGCTAAGCTGTTGGTACGTGAGATTTGAGGTACAGAAGAGGTTCAGTGGATTCTATCTGCTAGCCCTTCTTGCAAGTGGTTTCTCGAATATCCTTGCTTGGGGACTAAGCGAGATGAGAGGCCTTGGAGGTCTAAACGGATGGCAATGGATATTCGCTATAGTAAAGTCAAGTTCCTACCTACTGCCATCAACCGCTAACCCATCTGAAGGAGGGCGCCATCACTGTCCTACTCGGCTTCATGGGTTTCGTAACAATAATCGACTTTCCCGATAAAGCCAGCCAGCCTAGCCCAATAACAAAGCGCCCTTTCTTAACCTCTGCGGAAGCCAACATAATTCTTGCCCGTATTCAACGCGATCGCGGTGATGCCGTCGCCGATAAGCTTACCTGGTCAACCATCTCAACGCATCTCCGCGATTGGAAGATCTGGGAGTTTGCCTGGCTCTACTTCCTCAACAACGTCGTCGCATACAGCTGGGGGTATTTCTTACCCATCATTCTACGCAACGACATGAAATACTCCGTCGCTATGAGTCAGATCCTGTCTTTCCCGCCATACGTGCTGGCTGCAGCTTGGATGTTCGCCACAGCATGGGTTGCCGACCGGTACAGGATGCGTGGTGCAATCATTATATTCAACTGTGCATGGGCTGTCTTGGGAGTATGCATGATGGCATTCCTCAGCAACGCTCGTGCAAGATATGCCGGAGTCTTCTTAGGTGTTAGTGGAGCGAATGCGAATGTGCCCAGCTTGTTGAGTTATATGCATAACAACATCGTGGGTCAGATGAAGAGAAGCGTTGCTAGTGCGCTATTGATTGGAGGCGGAGCCTGTGGAGGTATTGCAGCATCGAATATCTTTCGACAACAAGATGCGCCAAAGTACACGTAAGTTCCATCCACCAGAGATATGCCAGAACACGAGGCTGACCGAAGCAGACCTGCCATGGCTGTTGTGATTGCGACTCAAGTTCTGACCATAGTCCACGTGCTTAAGAACTTTTGGGTGTACTCACGAGCGAATCGCCAGGCAGATCGAGGCGAGAGGATCTTGGAGGGACAAGAGGGCTTCCGACAAACGCTGTAGATATTGCTACCGTACTTGCGATCGCTCTGACGACCTAATATGAAAATTTTGACGATATGCCGCTACGCTATGCTATGCCATGCTATGATATCAAACTCAACAAATGGTGCGTGATGCGACAGCTTTCTTTCACAAGAACATCCCGCTTTCCACATACGAACTGACACTATCCCATCAGCCTCCGCCTCCTCCCACTGTCGACCTGAACAGTATTGTCTGGCCCGATACTGATACTCAAACTGCTAGTATCATCCTCGCTTCCAGCCCTCCTCCTGTCTCGGTCTCTGCCGCTCACAGTCTGACTCTTACTCCTCTCGGGTTGTATGACCAGCCATGTCGAGCCTCCGCCTTCGTGCTCTTGTTCCATGAGCTGTAGTTGTGGACCTCCGCCCCTTTCGTCTCCTCTCCGCATCTCCCTATCACCTCGTCTCACGTCGGTCTCGCTCAGTCCTCGGTCGTTGCGGCCGCGCTCTCTACTCGGTTTCGGAGCTTTGGAGGGTGGTGGGGGAGGGAAAAGGGTGTGGAATTTGGCAGTCTTGAGGGGCATCGTAGTGAGGGATGTAGGTAGTGGTAGGGATTCGATGAGGGTTAGCTTCTCTAGTGGTATGGTTGTGAGAAGGGAGGCGGGCAAGTCGACGGGTGAGCATGCGACTATCGCGTGCCGTAGATGGGTATTGGATGCGAAGAATGATAGGTTTTCTGTGTTTCGTTAGCGATTTTATGTTCTCTTCCCCTGAGCATCCATAGATACATACCTCGAACCTTTCGTCCCGCTCCGCCTTCCTTGCCTACTCCGGTGTCTATCCAGTCGAAGCTGGTTATCCTTCCACAGAAGCCAGTGGAGAAAGCTCGCAGCTGGCCCAGGTTCCGCACCTTGTCAAGCCGTACAAGGTAGTTCGCCATGCCTTCTAAGTTGGCATATACGCGCACAATGATGTCTAGTGAGTCGGCATCATCCGGGAACTGTTCACGCAGGTATTCCCGAATTCGGATGTTTAGTTCATCTGCTAATGACTCCCCACCTTGAGCTTTGCGTGTTATGTATTTATCGTGGAACTAGGATCATCAGTTAGAATATGCGGTCGGCAGCGGCATTATTGTGCATACCAGGAACCCCTCCGCATCGGCGTCTATAAGCACCAGCACGAACGGCCGTTTGGCTTGTGACTGCACTAGAGCTTCTTCCTTCGCCTTGGACTCTGCCAGCTGACCTTGCATCGTCCGCGTGACATCTGCTATTTCCGCCTGCAATGTCCGTCGGACATTTTGTTCGGAGCCAAGGTCGAGTTCACATTGTGCGAGGCGTGCTTCTGTCTTCTCGAGTTTGTCGAGGAGTTCCTATTTCACCGTCAAAACCCCCTCCTCACCTCCAAGACGCCGTCAGTAGCATACCTCGATAAGCTCACATCTCTTCTCCTCGAGGATCCTAAACTGCGTCAACCGATCGCGAAACGTCATCGGAGGTGGGGCAGGCGGGCCCGCAACAACTAATTCCGCCATCTTCAAAGTGGGCGGATGTCACACAGTCACAAAAGGCAGGAAGTTACCAAACGACAAAAGATCTGGGGATCCTAACATTTAAGAAGACGCGTTGTTTTGGGCTCCCGCGCAGCGCTAGCTAGCTGTTTTGCATGTGCATGGCCCAAAAGTACGGTGACGCCGGTGGTGCGAAAGATGGCAGGTGCTGATTGGCCGGGTATGTGGGGAGAGTTGGGCTGATACGCTGCCTTGGGGTTAGAAGACACCGGAATCAAAGAGAAAGTCGTGAGCTGGCGGGCTGTGTTCTAGTCACGGATACAATCAGTGTGGCATGCATCATGCGGCGCGAGCCGCAATGGGTCGTGTGTGAGGCGGAGATGGAGGGGTGATGGGGGCTCTGGAGGGGGTGTGAGGGGCATGTTCTTCGCCTTGTTAGTCCCTCGTTTTTCGAAACATACATCACATTACTTCTTTGTCTAATCATGCCTAAGTGTTGCTGCCTCTGGGATCCGTTCTGTTGTCTATCTACGAGATTGCAGCTCTCTGAAACCCCCCGGACCTTATTCATGGCTCACTTATCGACAGGCTCGCCAGTCGCATGACCTGGATAATTTCGGTATCTGGTATGGAAACTGTCATCAACGTGCGACGGTCAATTTTGCCTCCAGACGTGCGAGGTAGCTTGTTTCAAATGACAGCGCATATCGGGCGCATATAGACTGGGAGGTTGAGACCGAGGAGTAACTCTCGTAGATATCTGCGCGATTTCACGCTGGGTGCCTCGTTCATGACAACAAAAACCTGGATCTGTGGCTCGTCCTGCTCATTGTCACTCTTGGAAACTACAACCGCCTCCGCCACTGGCCCGCTCCCCTGGTCGACGATAGTTCGTGAGATCTCTACCAGCTCAATGTGAAATCCGCTGATGTGCGCGATCGACTGGTTCAAATGTCGAAACACCACAGAACGCACCCCAGTTTCGTTGATAGACCCCCAGTCACCGGTCCGAAAGCACCTTGACCTGGTGTCTGAATATGTCCGGAAACTATTGTCATCGTCTTCAGAACCGAAGTAGGCAAGGCCAACGAATACGACTAGGTTGCGTTTGCGGTCTTCGCGAATAACTAGTATCAGGTCTTGCGCATGCCCGAATTACATGTCGGTAGCCCGGGTGGTTACGTTTGCATTGGCGATCCAACCGAAGGTGACCTAGTGAAGCGGTGTTTGACGGGAGGTATTGAAGTCGGACAGTAAACTCTTGACTGGCTCATGCACATACTACCTGGACAGGTCCATAGTCGTGGATACCAGTAAGCTGTGAAAGTAAGATCTGGAGCGCAGCCAAACCGAAATTCACCCCTGAAACATCATTGTTATCACACAGGCACCCGATATCAAAGGACAGGCTTGCGGATATGATGCACCTGAAGCGATGGAAAGCAGGAACGGCATCAGGGTTACGGAAACCAAGAGTCGCAAATGGTAACACTGGCAAGGAGGGACAATCTCTCGTGTGAGCCTTCCACTCGCGTATACCAGAGATTGGTAAAGGCGCTATCCTGAAGGCAAAACTGCTTTCTAGAGCAGTAGTCGAATTGTCTGGGCTCTCAGGGATCGTCGATAGTGGTACAGATAGCGAATAGTTGGTGCTGAGAGGCGTCCTGCGAGGTCGAGTAGGGGTGTTAAGTTCTTCGGGATGCGATTCAGGCGATGAAGATAAGAGAGGATCTTCGTCGATGTCATCGTAGTACCTATTCATCCTAGCCAAGAGACAGATATCGGAACCAGACAGTGAGAAGCGCTTTGAAGATGATCCCAAGGCGCACGGCCGGGATTTTCGGAACGCTTTGGATGTCCAGACAGAAACTCGTCATTCGGGTTTCCTTAGTAGCCCGAGCAATCGTGCAACATATAGTAAAGCAACTGTACGAAGTCTTTTTATTTTATTTGCAGCGACCATATGACCATCGACTACTCTTACAAGCCGCATAGCTCTAGGGCTTTGCTATAAAAACCACAATGTATCCAATGCCAATCTCTGAATCCCACAAAATCAGTAACATGAGTAACTCCAGTAGCATCCTCACATCTGGCGACATGAGTGCTCATACCGATGCTCTAGCAATTACCGAAACACCTGGGAAGTTGAATAAGCTTTCTTTCACCCTTCAGGCACCATCCTCCATGTACCCGAGCTTATACAAACATACAGCAAGTAATATGATTCAGGCTCTGGGGTTCGGCGTCTCGGTTCGGGTCTCTGAAACATTGTCGTGACATTCCAACATGTCCAATCTGCATTCATTAATGAAAATCCAGGCAGGAGTGGAACGCTCTCAGTTTACTAACCTTTCGCAATCAAGTTGTTCAATCGTGTACATGAATGCAATGAAATTCAAGTCCTCTCTATGCATGATCGGGTCGAGTTCTGCAGGTGGCTGAGACTGCCTGATGTGTTCTGATCGCGTGCGTGTTGCCTGTTGTTTGGTGTTCCTTTTGCGCTGCCGTGTCGCAATACCTTTCATAAGTCGAGCCGAAATATACACAGGTAGGGATTGACTTAAAGCTGGTATCGAAAAGTGTCGCATGTTAGTGGTCATGTCATGTGATGCCACACTTGGCCGATCCAAACCAAGTCGATCAGACAGGATAAATCGTTGCTACGTAAGGTTGCATGAGTCTCGCGCTTCACATAAGGCTTCTGTACGCAAAGTATTGTCCGATTGCTGTACTCCTGATTGAGGCTTGGACGAAGTTGTTGTTATGCTCAGCCACCATGCACTTTGCGGACCCATGCTATCTACACCTGTCCTGGTTAGAGCTGATTTGACAGGTGCCGCTCAACGAACGCGTTGTGATTTTGTCCAAGAATTCAACCCAGCATATATAAGTGTTGGTTCCAAAGAATTGAGCGGCCAGGGCTCTGTCGAGTGGTGAGCCTCGCACGTGTTGTCAGCTTTATATTAGCCGACATCGGTTCTGACCACTGTCGCAACTTCTGTGTCCCAACAAACGACTGAGATGCGACATTCGCCCACTCAGGTATCGAAACAAATTCTTGTTGGGTTGTTGTCGATATCCATAATTGTGATCCTGCGTCAGAAGCGGACCGTGCCATGGGTCCAGACGTTCGAGTCGAACTTGGTATCAATAAGATGGATGAACTGTAACGTGTGTCAAGATCTGTCCGGCTAAAGCGATGTTGCACATGCTTCCCACTAGGCTTGATCGCTATAAATCAAAAGCGGTCGCATCATGTCGACCGAGACCTGTAATAAATGTGGTGCAGGGAAGCTAAAGATACTTGATAAGCACCTGTAGCATCGAAAATGCCGATTAGAGAATACCGAACGTTGAACACATACTCTGCTCGAGGTGGCGATGAGCAGACCTGCGAAACAACCCAGTGTGAAAGAAGAGATGAGGTATCATGGTGGAGTGCGTGTCATCACTTCGCCCGGAGCACATGTCTACTTAGGTAAGCATCACTGATGGGGTCGCAAGATATATATGCATCAGAT